TGTTAGGCCACTGTGTGCTATGGTCCCGGTGACCTGAGTTCGATTCCTGGCCACAGTGAATACACTGTGTAACAAAAAAAATTGCCCCTGCGTAGTAAGTGTTATTTTCTAATTTCTTATGCCTCAAAATTACAGAAAATGGCTAGTATTTCCCACAAACCTTTCTTCTGTGACCAGGACAGTGATATTTTGAAATGTACCTATTTTCAATGAGAAAACGCGGTGTGCATCTGTGTCATTCCTTCACGTAAAGTCCTGGTCACAAAAGCAACCTTTTTGGGGAATAATAGACATTTTCTATACTTTTTAGGCACAAGCAATTAAAAAATAACGCTTACTACCCAGGGACAAAAATCGTGTTACATAGTGATATCAGCGCCGAGTAATACCAACACTTCTAGATTTGAAGCTTTTGTGACTGCAAGGATTCATATTCTAAGGTTTTCGGTAAAGTCACGTAGGTAAAAAGTAAAAATTTATAAAAGTAAAATACAATTTATTTTTATTTAATTTTACTTTTATAAAATTTTATAAAAAATTTTTACCTACGTGACTTTACAGTCTTGCAAAAGATTATTTATGTTTACTTTAGGTGGGTACTTGTGGTTTTCTTTAACGCTTTCCACATAAGGGGCCGTCCATAAATGACGTCACGCGATTTTGGACGATTTTTTACCCCCCCCCCCTCGTCACACGGCGTCACAAAAAGTCAGACCCCCCCTCAAATATGACGTCACAAAGCTCTGCTCCCCCCCCCCCCCCAAAACCATATTTCCATTTTGAAAATAACATGATTAAAATCACTTTAAACTATTGTCATTGCATTGTAGTGCGTATTTAATGTGGCCCTGCACTCTGATGTTGTAGGAAAAAAACATTTATAAAATAAGTCTATTTAATTAAGTAGAACGTGTTGTCTATATTTATTCAAAGTTGCGCATTTTGACGTGACGTCACATTTCTCACCCCCCCCCCTCGTCACACATCGTCACAAATGTCTGACACCCCCCCCCCCCTAGGTGCGTGACGTCATTTGGGAAAATATTACACAACACCCGCGTATCTGGACGATTTTTCTTCCTTGTTTACAGTTGGCACGTGTCTGTGGAGGCGATAAAACAACCGTGATGCAACACTGACAGCACGTGACGTGGCTCTTGACTTCTCGACTCGAGTTCAAGAACAAAAAAAACATGCATTCGGTCTGTCCGTCCCGTCCGTCTGTCACAAATAACTCTCATAAAGACGATCCATTGTGAAAGGAACTTTAGTGCAAATGAGTTGCGTTCCTATTTAAGGTCTTCATCTAGCAGTGGGTAGAGAGTGGCTGATGACGATGACGTGTTGCTAGCTACGGATGTGCTGCTTTATCTGCGCCTTGCGCTACCGCTTTGGGTAAAAACGCATCTTGATAAACGGTACGTAAGCCATGCGTACGCCTGGTTCTTCTTACTTGTTGTTCGAATGTTTTGCCACAAGAACGTGTGGTTAATGCAGACTTGATTCCTTGCAAAATGTATCCATTTGGTGTTTGAACATCTTAACACCTAAATTTTGATTTAAAGCTTTCGTGACTGCAATGATTCATATTCTTGGTTCTTTCGGTGAAGTCACGTAGAAGGGAAATAATAAAATAATACCAATATAAAACAATAAAAATTCTCACGACATTTCGACTGCAACACAAGCAATCATCATCAGGTCAAAAACCGGCACTTTGGCAGAAAAAGCGCCACTTTTTTTAATTTTCTTGCTGTGGATTTCACACCTGATGATGCTTGCTTGTGTTGCAGTCGAAACGTCGTGAGAATTTTTATTAAAAAAATATTTTTTTCTTGCTGTGGATTTCACACCTGATGATGCTTGCTTGTGTTGCAGTCGAAACGTCGTGAGTATTTGTATTGTTTTATATTTTTATTATTTTATTATTTCCCTTTTACGTGACTTTACCGAAAGAACCAAGAAGATATATCTTAACACCTGCTTTATTGACAGAAAGGGTAAAACAACCTATTCTTTTTTCGATTTAAAGCTTTCGTGACTGCAGGGATCCATCTTCTTGGTTCTTTCGGTAAAGTCACGTAGAAGGAAAGCAATAAAATAATAAAAATAAAACATAATAAAATAAAATAATATAATAATATAATAAAATAATAAAATAACATTTTTTTTATTTTATTGCTTCCCTTCTACGTGACTTTACCGAAAGAACCAAGAAGATCAACCTATTCTTATTTTTTCATGCTTGTTTTAAAGACCTTGCATCGTGCAACGATGTTTAAATGGCAGCTATAAATGTCTAAATTTAGACATGTAAAAGATAGTATTATCGACGTGTGTACAAACTGCAGTACAGGTGTCGCAACCGCTCAGGTGTATTGGTGGAATTCCCCTCGGAAACTAAAACGACGTCACCGTAGTTTAAAAACACGAATCCCCCAAGACAGACTCCTCATCAAAACAAAGGCAGAATGTCCCTTGCGTGGTATTGCATCACAATCAAGAGAACAACAGAGCAGTAATAAATAAATAAATAAGCCTGCGTGTCAGGCTCGGGTACAATGTGGCTGAAACGTCTTGAGAATTTATTAAATTTTTTTATGTTTCCCCCCCCCCCCCCTTCTACGTGACTTTACCGAAAGAACCAAGAAGATGGAAAAACAGAGTCGGACAATGGCTGATAGAAAACCCCTGGTAACCCCTTAAAATGTACAAAAACAGAACCAGCCATGACAAGAAAACCCAACAGAGTACAAAGGAGACGGAGACAACAAGACGGTGTTCATGAGACAGCACAAACGCAGCACGAATTCGATCGCAGACAAGGCAGTACGGTGACCAGGAAGACAGACGGAACAACTCATACGACAAAAGAGACATTAGGGGCCGTCCATAAATGACGTCACGCGATTTTGGATGATTTTTGACCCCCCCCCCCTCGTCACACGGCGTCACAAATAGACCCTCCCACTCAAATATGACGTCGCAAAAATCTGCCCCCCACCCCCAAAACCATATTTCCATTTTGAAAATAAAACATGCTTCAAACCGCTTTAAACTATTGTCATTGTAGTGCGTATTTAATGTGGCGCTGCACTCTGATGTTGTAGGAGTGTTGTTATAACACTTAGTGTTGTTATAACAATTCTATATTTAATTAAACTTGCGCATTTTGATGTGACGTCACATTTCTCAACCCCCCCCCCCTCGTCACACATCGTCACAAATGTCTGACCCTAGGTGTGTGACGTCATTTATGGACGGCCCCTTAGTACACGTTCCACGGACCCAACGAGCAGGTACAAATAATACAGGCAAGGCAAAGCAATGCAGAAGGCACTTGGCCATGAACGTATTTAAAAATGAATTGGCCAAACATATCCCAGTGTAGCAGGACCCCTTTGAAAACGAGTCTTGAGACTCATTAAGGCTTTCCTGGGTGAACAAATACATCGATTATAGAGAATCATGAGCAATATTAATGTACACTAATTTACAAAAGGAAATGGCTAAACAAACATATCCCAAAGGAGCAGGACTCTCCTGAAAACGAGGCTTGAGTCTCAGTGATGCTCTCTCCTGTGAGTAGAAACACTAAAGCGAGACAATGCAACGAAGCCGATACAAACAACAATTGATTTCTCGAATTGTGTCGTTTAACACAGCGTTGTGTGGTTTATCAACAAAAAAAACTGAACACTGGCCTTGAAATAAAATATATTTTTAAGCTGTATATATTTCTTTGTAAGCCACTGTAATTGATGAAAGTCTTGAGTTTTTTTTTTATGCATTAATCTATCGGTAATAATATAGGGTAAGGGGCCGTCCATAAATTACGTCACGCACCTAGGGGGGGGGGGGGTGAGACATTTGTGACGATGTGTGACGAGGGGGGGGGGTCAAAATCGTCCAAAATCGTGTGACATGAGGGGGGGGGGGGTCAAAAATCGTCCAAAATCGCGTGACGTCATTTATGGACGGCACATAAGCATGGAACGTTGGATCAACATTCATTGGCCCATGCAACAACGTAGAGCTAACGTTGGCACGCGGTTGGCCCAACGTTGGCTCTATGTTGGAGTCGATACAAACAACTCCTGTTAAGATAAAACTAAAATTTGGACCAACTTCAACTAAGGGGGGAATTTCCGTGGGGGGTGGTGGGGGGTCGTGGTCGAGGTTGGGGGGTGGTGTCCCGTACTTTTCGGTTAAATAATTTCAAAATAAACTATGACATCACGTTAAACCGCCCCTCCTACTTTAGATTGTGTTGCTGCTATAAATGTCCACATGATAAGCAACTTGGTTGAGCTGTCATTTGTGACAGGAAGGTCGCTTCTGAAGAAGAGCTGTTAAAGCTCAGTGTGCCTTTCCTGGTTAAATAAAACGTTTAGTTAGCTTAGTATATTAAAGTTGAGTTTGCACTCAGTGGGCTTTATCTGTTAAGATAAAACAAAAATAGTTAATAAATAACTAAAAATTGTTCAATAGTTTCGCTTTACTTTGTTTTTTATTTAAAGTTAATTTGTTTTACCTTTCCTATACCGTGCACACTCCTATCGTGTTTTTAGTCTTTTGTTTTAACGTTCTTTGACATTTGTAAAAAAACATTAAAGCGCTTTATAGCTCATCGGATTCCTCCCGTGGTATAAATAAATATGATCAAATAAATAGAAAATAAATAGAAAATAAATATTATCAAACAAATATAAAACAAATATTATAAAATAAATATCAAAGAAATATTACATACATATTATCAAACAAATCACAAATAAATATTAAACAAATATCAAATAAATATCAAATACATATTTACAAAATTATACCAAACAAATATTAAATAAATATTATAATAACAAATATTAAATAAATATTAAATAAATTTTATCAAACAAATATTAAATAAATATTGCCAAATAAATATCAAATAAATATTACATAAATATTATCAAACAAATCACAAATAAATATTAAACAAATATCAAATACATATCAAATAAATATTCTAAAAATTCTACCAAACAAATATGAAATAAAAATTATCATAACAAATATTAAATAAACATCATCATCAACATTCGGAATCCACCCCTACCCCCCTCGGTCCCAGCTGTGCTGGTGGTGGGTGGGGGTGGTGGTGACGTCACGGTTGTTGACTCCCGGCAGCCGCAGCTGAGAACCCGGCCACAGTCAGTGGCGACACCGAGAGGCTGAAGCATCTTTGCAACAACCACTCCTCCTCATCATCCTCCTTCATCATCATCATCGTCGTCTGTGCTACCGGACACGTTGACCACCAAGTAAGCACATTCGTACGTGTGTGTGTGATGTATTTTAAAGTAAAATCATTGATCGATTCGCTCGCGGCCCGCGTTGTACTTTTGACTTCGTATCTGTTCTCGTTTAGTGCTGAGCGGGCAAAACAACCAAACACCACATCCGTGTTTTTAACGTCGAACCTATAAGTTGCTACATACCCGTTGTGTTACACACACACACACAGCGATGTTATCGTACTGTGTGGCGGCGGGTGTTGGCTTACATCGTAGCGGCTACAGCAGCGTTCGTCGCCTATTTTTTTGTCATTAAACTCCCAACAACTCCGCCACTAAACGTGACATTCGCCTTCAACGCCGCTCACGACACACACACAAACACCGCCAACTCCTCGCCTATCGTGCACGACGTGGCATGCCGGTGTTGAAGCTTTGGCAGCAGAGGCCGCGTTCGCTACAGCAACAAAGGCAGTCGATTATAGCCACGGCGATAGGACAAAATTAACCCGTAAAAACAACGTTTTTCACTATAAATCCTTTATATGCGTGGCGGCTAGAGTCCTCTCGTCCTCTGGCTTGAGATGGCTTGCCACCTATGGGTCAGATGATTGCATTGCAGCATTAAGCAATTGGTAATTAAATATAATTTATTTTTTCCTAAAAAGTGTAAAATTTAGGGAAAAAAAACGACCGAAAGATTTGCACGGTCGTAAGCAAGCAAGCAAGTGAACTTAATATAAAGGATTTAAAAAGCCTGCATCTAGCAATGGATCGATCGTGGAACGTATTGATCAATGGACATGGGCAAGTTGGAGGCGTTATGGTGAGAAGAGACGGTGGTGGTGGGGTGAGGATGGTCGAAATTCAACATCGGAGAAGTCATTGGAGCGGTGGCGCAGTGGTTAGCGCGTTATGCTGCAAATGCCCCCTGGGTTCCATTCCCGATCACGGCTAACATCAGTGGCGAGTGATATTTGAACCGACCCCCCCCCCACCTACCCTTCCTCCTTCGCCTCCATAACCAGAACCACCGTGGTGAAGTATGGTCAAACATCTTCCGTGACCGACATGTGAGTAGGAGGGGCCCGTTATCCAGCAGTGGATTGACAACCACAGGACCAGGACCGTGTACGCATCAACAACAAATGTGTCGGAGCAGTCGCCTGCCAGTAGCTTGCAACATGTACAGTATTAATACTGTCAACGCTTTGTTGTTGTTAGGGCTAAAGTGACGCAAACGCCTGAAGGCATACTGGCAAAGCTACAGCACAGGCGAGGAAATATCCTCGTCTTGAACACAGGCGAATTCATGCAATGCCCTTTGTTGACCCAGGAAGACGATCTGAACGTCGGTATTTTTCAGATGTGTCCTGCTAGTTTTTCGGATGTTTTTTTGGCAATTCCAGTACTTTAATCATTGCTTTCGTTAATGTGACCACCTCCTCCTTCCCCACTGCAGCTGCAAGTGGCCGCTACATTGCCACTGTAAGAAAACAATGTTTATGGGATTCACAAAGCCACCGTGAATCGCGACAATGTATCAAGTTACAGAGCAGGAGCGAATACTCGCATCTCAGACAAATGACATCTCTATTTGTTATACAATACAAGAGGTTTTGTGTTTTTTTAAAGAGACACACGTGGGGAATTCCCCATGCGTGCTTTTTTGAATATGCCCAGATGCACCTTCTGTTGTCTGACCTTTGAGCAGCGGGTGACGCAATTGGAACGAATGGGGGCATGTTTGGGGCATGTTTGGGGCACGTCAAGGCATGTACCTGAAGTTCGAAAACTGGTCACAGCTTGAGAGATATTTCAAATTATTATTGACGGTGGATGGTAAGCGTGACGCCATTCTGCAAAGTGTAAACATTGTCCTGGTCTCTCATACGATATGGTTAAAACATTTTTTGTTTGGAATTATAATGTATACATTTATAGGTAAGATGATTTGTGAATCAGAATACAGTACCGTGCTTCGATTTTACCACTTACCTGCTGATAAGGGATGCAGTTGAAATAATGGGGCAACTTTCTAAGATTCTCCAGCCTCTTGTCAACCCAGCAGTATAAATCGGTGCACCACAATGGATCGGCAGGTCGTGTGTGGTGGGGTAACGTCTTGATGCTTCCACCGTTTCTGGGACGTCTGGCCAGTGTGGAAGAGTAGACCAAAATACCCTCTATAGGGGCCCTCTCTAGAGCTCCCTCTGGTGAAGGCCCTTCTGCCAAGCAGTGTGCTGAGCAAATTCGGGGATGCACTTTTACTCGTGTGTTTATTATTCAGATATAAATAGCAGCACGTGCATTTCTGCAACACATTTATCATGTAGTTCGCAGTGTAAATATTAAACACGTGGTTTATTGCGAGCTGTTATCTCAACATCATCAGCTTCAACCTACTGAACAAAGGACCATGATCTGGATTTCATGCTGTGTTTTACTGGTGGCACTAGGAACTGTTCTGCTGGAATGTGTTAAGCATGCTGTTTCAGGGGTGCTGTTAAAACGACCTTTACTTGAATTAGGGACTTGTCCAGAAGAAATACCGGTTCCTATTCGTGTCTAGCTTAGTCAAATACTAGACAATTTGGCAATCGCTTAACTCCCCAATATAGATCCTCACTCGACTAGTCATAATTTAAAATTTTGACTCAAATTGTCAGCATGCTTAAACTACGTGGTTCTCCTGTCATTTAGTCTTATTGACCCACCTTTGATAATTCCACACTTTCTCGAGAGGACAACCACTGCTGTCTTATCGCAAAGCAGTACAGTACTCACTTGCTTATCTCTGAATGCATGATGATAATAATGGGCGGATTTGACTCCTGACTGGGATTTAAATGCACAACTTTCCCAATATGATGAAATAACGTCCCTCATTTCGCCAGGAAAGCAATGCTGAGTCTCAAGACTCAGGAGGGTCATCCTACGTATGGGATTTTGGTTAATTCCATGAATGAGTCTTTAGAACGTGGGGGGGGGGTGGGACTGGAAAATCCACCATGTGTACGAGAGAGTAACACTCCACATAGAGAGTTTCATGAATCCATATCAGCACTGTAATATCCTGGCCACCTCCAAGTACATACGTATAGACTGTTGAACATGAAGAGTTGAATGGTACAAAGCAGAGGTCGCAAACGGGTTTTGATTCCTTACCCGTACCCGGCCGCACCAGGGTCACAAACGGGTACCCGTACCTGGCCGTACCCGTACCCTACCCGTACCCAGCCGGGTACGGGTAGGGTACGGGTATCGGGTACCTGATTGCGACCTCTGGGATGAAGCCATGTTGCAGGTGCGGGTGGGTTGATTTTAGGAACTTGAATTGTGAGAAGAGACAAGACGTTGGGAAATGAGTGACAAACAGTTACTCACCAGTGACTCACGGTCTACCCGTACCCGGCCGCACCAGGGTCGCAAACGGGTATCCGTACCCGGCTGGGTACGGGTAGCCGGATATCGGGTAGGGTACGGGTATCGGGTGCCCGTTTGCGACCTCTGGTACAAACATGGCTTTGTCTTTTGAAATGTTTTGCCTTATTACATAAGTGCTTGTATGCTTTGTTGTGCTCAGTCCTTGGCCTTTTCCTTCAAACAGGATCGTTCGAAGGACTACAAATCCCTGTGGCAGGCGTAATGGATGAGCAGCACAGACTGAAACTTCGGCGCTTGAGAGTGACTTTGGTGAAAGATCTCAACCCCAAGGCGCTGTACGACTACTTGGTGGCAAACGAAATCTTCTCCGACGACATGATCGAAGAAATAAATGTAAAGACATCCTTGATGCACAACACGGGTTGACATTGACTCACCCCATCGCATATTTTTCAGCCCGTTTCAACCGTTGATTATCCAGTTGCAATGCGTTTGCTGCTTTGCTGTACATGTTTTAAGCGATTTGGGTTGGCGGTGGTTGTGGCAGTGAGGCTGTACATTTCTAACTTGATTCATATTTACATGTTTACGTTAACTTGTATGTATATATAATTTTTTAAAATCATGATTCCAGGGTTTTGTTCACACTTGATCCAGGTCTCCCTTGAAAAAGAGACATGTAGTCTGAAAGGGGCTCTTACCTGGTTTTATATGAAGCTAATTTATCTTATCGTATTGTATCCAGTTAGCATGTTGATTTGATATATTGTCACAATTTATCAAGTCAAATTCCAATAACCATATGTATCCAGTTAGCATGTTGATTTGATATATTGTCACAATTTATCAAATTCCAATAACCATACTCTTGAAGAAACATGCAAACTTGTGAGTATTACCCCTAAGTGGTGCTGTCGCATTTTTGGCCTGTGGGTCTGTGCTCAGTAACCATAATGAGAACAAAAAATAACCTCCCACAGCTGCCGGTTAAAACACTTTTCTTCCTGCATCTTCCCTTTCGCCACTAGATTTTGGAATTCCCTCCCATTGTCTCTTTTCCCCAGTTATTCCAACCCTGCTCAAGTCAAGAGAGACACTCTTATCTATTACCCTTTCATCAATGATGTTATTTGTCGCTGGGCGCTTGGCGGTTTGGGACTGTTTGTCGGCCTGTGCTTGGATAGCGTGATTGAGAGAAAAAAAAAACCAACCCAACCATTTCCACCTGCCGCGTGTGCTATCAGAATTCCGGCACTCGGCGGGAGCGTGCAAGCAAAATGCTGATGGAGCTGGAGAAGAGAGGCAGCCGCGCTCTGCCCATCTTCATTGAGGCCCTGTACGACAGCAAGCAGTCGCACCTCGCAGATATCATACGCGAGGAACTCGCCTCCGACAAAATCGACGCTCGCAGGCGCAGCTTGCCTATCTTGCCCATCGAGCCTCAGAATGTGCCGGGCGGTGCTCCGGATTTCATTTCAGGTACGCACACACACATGACACGTGGCGGTTGTGTGTACGACGAGGAAATTAAATCCATGATACAGGTTTTTTTTTGGGTTAGATCGCGTAAATATGAATGTGTCGTTAAACCCGCCTGCCCATTCACGAGCCGTCACATGGACCACTGGTGTGTCGAGCACAGTCCGATTGGACGGTTCTGAAGCAGTCGTCTTAGATTGGCGTGGGAATTGGTTTGGGGATTGGCGTGGGACAGATGAGTTGGGAAGAAGGGTCGAGAATTTCAGGAAAAAGGGTAAAAGGACTTGTGAGAAAAGCTTGGGGCACCTTTATGGAGTTGTTCCCTGAAGACTGCTCCTGACTACATGTCTGCAGATCTTCTTTCAATGGGAAGAAGCTATATCTGAATAATAGGATATTTGCAGATCGATTGGTGCCGTTGATAATGAGTTGCGTGCTATGGGGCCACACGTAACAGGAGTTTAAACCGTACGTGCTTTTATGTATAAATGTTGAACTTCTTTCACATCGTACATAGCCGGCCATGCTAATGTGCTTGTCTAGGAATTTCAATTTGTCAAAGAATGAAAATCTCCGTAAATATAAAAGGCAAAGTTGTGATTATGTGTGTCTGTTCAAAATGTTTAGCGTACTTCCCGACATGCAACAAACTTGAAATTTGCCATGTGGGTACTTTCCAGACTGTACACCATGCAAGAATTATAAAAATAGACTTTTATTTTAGTTTTTTTGGGGGGGGGGGAGGAGCTCAATAATGCATTTATTTTTTGCACGACAAGTGAGCTGTGATGTCACATCTGTCACGTGACCCGCGCATGTGGAAGCGTAACGCATTGTACTGTAGTGGTTAGCGCGCTGTGCTATGAACCCAGTGACCCGAGTTCGATTCCCGCTCATGGCCACCACCAGTGACGATTATTTTAACTGCTCCTGGGCCCTCCCCTAGGTCGACTCAGCCTCAAACGAGTAACTGGTGTGGTGTGTGAACATCGCCACTGGGGAGACAAAGGCGGTCGGGCGTGGTTAATCCAAGCCCCCGGCGAAGCTGGGTAGTAAAACTAGTTAAATATAATTTTAATTTAATTTACAAAGCATTGAGCATCTCATGATGCTGCAAAATCTTACCGAGTTGCCAAACATGCTGAGGAATGTTTCGCCATTTCTCCCTCAATGGGATCTTTGTGATGTTTTGAGAGGAATGTATTCTGTCGTGAGATATCCAACAGGTGCAAGATGGTAAACCCTTAGACTTTGCACAGACAGTTCATAAACCTATTTGCTGTACTGCATCCTGTTAATGAATCATTGCCCTCCAGGCAGGTGGCTCATATGTTAAATAGAACTCCTCATGATCGACCAGTCCCATGCTCAGTGTTTTACATCGATTTAATAATATTACCTTTTGTATGTATGTTGAACCTTTTTCGCACGGAATGTAGCCGACTCTGCTAATCGGAGGTGCATAATAATATAATTAAATTCGCTAACGTTTTATTGTTATATCCTGTAGGTAAATTGCATAGAGCTCAATAAATTGATGTTTTTTGAGCCAAGGCATTGACTTATTATTTTAATCATACCCACTCACAGTTCAACTTGTCAGTTCTTTCCATTTTAATTTATCGAAAAAATAGGCGCTTTACGTTTAAAAAAAATGTTTACCCAAAATGATCCATGACAAAGCATAATGAGTTTTTTTTCATGACTGTTTTTTGTGATGAAGAGGAATTGATCTTGTAGACAGGCCCCAATATTGCCAAAAACATCTGGCAACCCAACAGCATTTGCTTAACAATCTTGGCTTCTGATGAGATCCTGAAGTTTTAAACTGCTCCAGTGTCTGCTTGTTTCAATAAATGCTGTTTTTTTAAATAATATTTGTCTGAATAGCCAACACTTTTTATGTGGAAAGATAAAGGTGTATTTATTTACTCTCCTTCAACAATAAAAGTGTATAATATTTAAATTTTATTTTCAGTTTATGACTCATGCAGACAGTAATTCTTAAGAAGCACTGTCATTACCTTCAAAGTCATGTCCTTGAACAGACAATATGACATCTCTGGAAAACATCCATGAGATCATCTCATCTTTAAATTGTGAAGTTGTGAAACTTGCTTTAGTTTTAGACTTTGATAGTTGTTGAAACACCTTTCAACTCAGGTTTTTGTTAAATTATTTTTTTCTATCACATGGTGCCATTTCAGTAAAAAAAGCCTGTTTATTGCTTTGTTGTTCACAGATTTAAAGCAGAATGAGGGAGCTGCCGATCGAGATGAACACCGAGTGAGTCATTATGATGTTTATCAAGCTAAGAAAGGCAGCTTTTATCTGCCATTAACAGCTCACGTTGCTGTGTCTCCCTCTGAACAAAGATTAGTGTGTTACACATTAAAAGTACAGCCGCAGATGTCTCTTTTGTTTAGTCCACAGCTAAGCAGAATCAAGGCATGGCCAGAACTTGAATGGGGAGACTTGTGGTGTTATCCAGTTATAATCATATATTTTCTATCATGCTGCCATTTCCTAGGATCTTGTGCCTTTTACTTAAATGCTGTATATCCTTTCTTTCTCTGTGTCCTTCATGAAATTAATACTTTTCTGACGTGCTCTCCAAAGGTCTACTACCCCTCTTTCTTATCTTTTTGCAGACTGCTCCCAGTTATAAGAAACACCCCATCCAAGTCCACCTCTATCACCTTCGTTGTAATGCGTCGCTTTTCATCCTTGTGATTAAGCACTTCTTTGTTTTTATCTCTGTCCAGTTTATACTTAGCGATTCAATTCGCCTTCAGCTGCAATTATTTCTGTGTTCTCTTTGGGGCCTGTCGACATCTCCAATTTGTATAAATTGCCAGCCTACAAACAAACGTGGTGTTGTATTATTGATGCATTTAAGGATTTGCATTCTAGGGTACTTGAATGCCTCCGCAACTCGAAACACCTTGCATAACATTTCCTCTCAGCCACCCTTTTTAAATCCTTTATATTAAGTTCGCTTGCTTGCTTGCGCGCTTACGACCGTGCAAATCTTTCGGTCGTTTTATAACCCACTTCCCGTGATCCAATCGAGCTGACATTTTGCACACAGACTTGTTGTGCATGACAATTTATTTTCGTGAAAATTTTTTTCCTAAATTTTACACTTTTTAGGAAAAAAATAATAATATTTAATTACCAATTGCTTAATGGTGGCAGGCAATCATCTGACCCATAGGTGGCAGCCATCTCAAGCCAGAGGACGAGAGGACTCTAGCCGCCCATTTCAAAGAACAATGTCCTTATATACGACTTTCCTCATATTTAATTTAAAATACCAATGTGATAAAAATGAAACTCTTACTCAAGAAAAACAGAAATGAATAATAAAATAAAACCGATGCCACGCATATAAAGGATTTATAGTGAAAAACTTTGTTTTTACGGGTTAATTTTTTGTGGTTTAGCTAAGGAGACCGCCAGTGGCAGATGTCCCTTGTATGGCACAAGGTCTCCGTAGCACCAGTCTGCAAGTGAGCTTTGGCCTGCAATAGGGGGAAATGTCTACGTGGCTTTTCCCAGTTAAGTCATTCGGAAATATTCACCACGATGCCGGCACACATGGCCTATTTTCAAATAACGGCACTGGATATTTAACATCGACTGTGAAGCACACAGCGCACATTTTATTGGTAAATACACCCGCAGTATTAACCAGGGCGGGAGCTGGGCTCGAACCCCTGCAACAAGCGACGCATGCACTACCGCTCAGCCGTGTCACATTGTAAACCTATGAAAAGACGCTGTACAGAGGAAATTGACGCATCAAAACTCTGCTCAATTAAATCCTTAATTTGGGTGGCTCAGATGTGGGTGTCTGCTTCTTTGTGGACATAAGCAAGTTAGGCACACATTGAATAACAGTTCACTAAAGCGCAACAAACTGTGCATTTTCTTGGTTCTTTCGGTACAGTCACTTAGAAGGGAAATAATAAAATAATTAAAATAAAACATAATAAAATACAATTCTCATGACGTTTCGGCCACAACGCAAGCAGCCGTCCTCAGGTGAAGAACAGGTCTGTCGGAAAGACAGCGTCTGAATGAATACCACCAAGCTTAGCAGCATATATTTAAGCTGGGTTAGGGGAGGAAGGGCGCCTTGACAAGAATTGTATTTTATTATGTTTCTTTTTATTATTTTATTATTTCCCTTCTACGTGACTTTACCGAAAGAACCAAGAAGATGAATCCCTGCAGTCACGAAAGCTTTAAATCGAAATTTTAACCGTGCATTGCTGACTGACTGTGTGTGCAGGAATATCCAATGAAGACGTCACCACGTGGGAAGTGTCTGATAATCAACAACATGGAGTTCAGAAAGTTACAACCGCGCTTAGGCTCGGAGATTGACTGTGCAAAGATCACCGACATGTTCACGAACAATTTCCATTTCGACGTCACCGTGAAAGAGAACCTATCCAAGAAGGTGAGGCGGCTGTCGGCTGAATGAGCGACAATCACACGCGACAAACCAGGTGCAGACGTTCAGCTGAGCCCACGCTGCAGCACAGAAACGCGACACATTCGGCAATTGCACTGCCCTAAAGAGGAGACGCGTACAGTCGGTGACGATGTGGGCAGTGGCCCTTCTTCATGGCAGAGATTGAGTGGACAAGAGTGGGGGACTGCATTGTACACTGGACCCTAATTGGTGGTGGTGGTACCTGCAGTCGGAATGCAAACAAAAAACACAACTCTGATAACTGTCCTTGAAATTGATTGGTCCACACCCGAGACAGCTTTCCTTAGAGCCTAGTCTCACATGGTGTTGGACCAGATGACGCCAAAAGGCGCACAACTCAAAGACAATGCACCATCAGAGTATGAGAGCTCGGGGTAAGCACTTACACCATTGGAACCTCATTTGCCAGTAGCAAAATATGATCATTGGTTTTTTACACTTTTATCTGGCAACAAAATTTACAGTTTTGTTGCCAGATAGTTTTGTTGCCAGATAAAAGGGTAAAAAAACAATTTTCATATTTTGCTACTGGCAAATGAGGTTCCAATGGTGGTGGTGGTGTTAATGGTTTTAGCACATTGTACAAGTCGGGCATACATACACAGCTCAAGTTTAGCATAATAAGATTTTAACTTAACAAGAACTTTGGGGTTGCATGCATTCACATACTTGGAGGTTGTGTGTCTCCTAACAGATTGGAAGCTTTCTTCTAGGCAACAGTAATTTTATTCAAACTACTTGTCACCCCGGTTCACTGTTTAGCATGGCCATACAGTTTGTGTGTTATTTAAATGAAACTAATTGTATTTATGATGTGGTGGCCATGCTACTCATTAGTTATTCTCGCCCACCGGTCATCAAGCGACATGTCCTGTCCAAGGCCACTTTTCTTTCACAAACAAACCTAAGTCTTTTAACCAGTCTGTTTGCTAATCAGTGACTTTGCCTATGAAAGCCAGCTCTTGGGTTTTTACACGCATATCTAACCCGCTGCCTCTCCGCTTTCAGGAAATGCAGGGCGCCCTCATGTCGCTCGCAGCTGATGACCACACGAAAGCGGACTGCTGCGTCGTCGTCATCATGTCGCACGGACGAGAGGTGCGGCCATCGCGTGCGCGAATCGGTTTGCGAGCGGTAGTTGAGGACCTGCAGTTGACGGTGTAAGAACCTTATTCTTAGTTCTTTCGGTAAAGTCACGTAGGTAAAAAAATTAAATTAAAATTAATAAAAATAAAATAAAAATCACGACGATTCGGAGGCAACACAAGTCTCCGTCATCAGGTGGGACCGTCACAGCCAGATTTTTTACCTACGTGACTTTACCGAAAGAACTAAGAATATGAATTCTTGCAGTCACGAAAGCTTCAAATCTAGGTGTAAGAACCTGTTCAACAAGCAGCCTGTTCAACAGGCAAAGTCCGGCAACCAGCCTCAAACTAAACACAGCGGCCGCGTGCATTTGTATGCATTTGTGTCACGCGTGTGTAGTCGCATTGTTAATTGTTCCAGGAGCATACATTTCAAAGAATTCGATGGTTGGCAAAAGCTAATTCAATATGTAAAGTGTATATTAAATGCGTGTTTGCACATTACATGCTTGGCTATTGTTATATAATGCGTGGTAGCGGCGAGCGATGGTGCAGTTGTTCACACACTGCGCTAATGAGCTCAGCAACATGAGCCCGTTTCACAGGCACAGCTGATATTCGTGCCATGTTGTATCTGGAGCAGTCTTCCCCCCCTCTCTTTAAGTTCGCTAACTTGCACACTAACCAGTGTGGATAAATATGGTCTAACAACTCCCACAACAAACACTACAATGGAGAGTAGGGCTGAACGATTAATCGATTTCAAATCGAAATCGCAATTTTTTGCGATTTAAAAAGTCCTATTACTTTCTTATTGGAATTGTTTTATTATTTATTATTATAACTTTATTTATTTAACTTAACAATTGTTCTATGTTGGATTGTTCTATTTCAATTAAAACAATTAAATAAATACGTTGGAAGCAATTCATATCTTTTAAGTTCTCATCCTTGCATTAGAATATATAGAGCAGTTCATATTTGATGGTATCATGTGCTAATGCTCCATCACATGTTTTAAATCTATTACACAGTGAATATTGAACTGAAGCTTGACTTTAAAAAATTAAATCTCAAATCAAATATATCTGTCAGAAAAATCGCAATTAGCTATTTTCCCCAAGTCGTTCAGCCCTAATGGAGAGCTCCCTCCCCCGTCCATTACACGAACGGCTGTAGATTGCCAAAGGGACATAAATTATACATAATTTCGAGCTGAACAGTCCACTCTTGATAACGACATTATTTTCTGCCGAAACAAATGTCAAGAACTTCGATGCTGTTAACTGCAATTGGTAATACTACCCCGTCCCCTTTAATGCTGCATAGAGAAATGCATATCGCTTTGTGTGAAGTCAGCATTTCTTGCTTTTTTTGGTTAGCCTCGCCCAACTAACTACAGGAATGTGGATTTTCTCGCACTGGCTCACGGCTGAAAATGGCAAATGAGTTAACGCCCCAGACACATTTTTGCAGCAAAATACTCTGAACTTTAAACACACCTCTGAGATAAATACACCGTGGGTCACACTTTTCTGATGAGCCCCTATGAAATTGAAACCCACTGCTAGGTTGCCTCGTTTTAATAATAAACTAAAATTATTAGGAAACATGAATCCGGCAAAACATGCTCGTAGACCTGATATTATTTAATCAAGTAAACAGTTTCCTTTGCTTGTTTAATTAAGACTACTACTGCTACCTCAATTCACTGATGCAGTGTAATTATGCAATAAAATGATAAACATTTAAGGGGATAATTTTATCGTGCACAAATGAGAATATGTTCCATGAGGCTAGGCCCGAATCTGGACAAGTATGTGTCAGCAGCATTTGTGTAAGCAAGAACGCTCTTGTTAGACAGGTTAATTGCAAACAGTGCGGGATGCTTTCGGGGCGGTGCAGCAAAATCATACGATCGAAAATTGTGCGCACGGTGAATTTTGTTCACATGCTGCAAAGTCTGGATGTTTAGAATAGAATTATGTAGTCGTGAAAACTGTTTGGTGAAAGGGTTTTATTCATTTTTATTTACACTTTGCAAGAAAATATAGAACAATCTAAAGTGCAGCATTACAATATAACGCAATGTGAATTCATATCTATGATCTAAATACATGGACATCTTTCATAAGGATAATTACAATAAGAATGTGTGACTCATACATATGATAATGATGATGAGGATGCTGATGATGATGGTGCTACTGTTGATGATAATAATGGTGATGGTGATGAGGATGCTGCTGGAGCCGTTGCTGATGCTGGTATTGCTGCTGCTGATGATTTTGATGATTTTACATCTACAGATAGAGCACCGACGGTTCCCGGGGGCTGTCTTCGGCACAGACGACCTGTTTGTGCGCATGGAGGAGATTGTTTCTTTCTTCTCCGGGACTGACTGCCCCTCACTGCTGGGGAAACCGAAGTTGTTCTTCATCCAGGCTTGCGGAGGAGGTAAGCTGCTTGGATACTATCATACAGTTTATAAACATCGGCCATGATCAAATTCACTGCTGGATGAAGGCCTCCAAAGCTGTGACGAAAGCCTCTCCACCGTCTCACGATCTTGCGATTCGTAATCCACCGAGACTTGCACATGAGCAGGTGTTGCCGTTCCATCGCCACGGTGGATAAGACAGGTGTGCTGTAGGCTGCTGCTGCTACGGGTCTACGTTGTCGGCAGAATAGCAGTGCGGTGAGATCTATTGTCCTGCAGTACACCAACCCATACTGACCAGCGTGGTGAAGTATGGTTGAATAAACCCCATGACCCACAAAAGTGGTGGGAAGGGGCTCATTGAATTTGAAATTAACAAAAATGGCTAGGCATGCAATTTATACGCGGACGTGTTATACTGATAGAAGAAAAAAAAAGTTTTTTTATAAAAATGAGACAAAGTAATCTTATTTAGAATTTAATTGTGACCCCCAAAACCCTGACGATTCATTGCATCACATGGGAGGCGGTGGGGGGGTGCAGCTAAAACTATAAACTAAACATGTTATTTTACCAGGTAAGGCCCACTGAGCTATATAGCTTTTTTTAAGAAGTGACCTGGCCACAAATGATAGTTCAACGAAGTGGCTTTTGCGGACATTTATAGCAGCCACACACTCTAAACTCATCTTTCTAAATGTGGAGGGAGTAACTGGAGGACCTGATGAAAAATTTACGCGACCACGGGGAGAACACGCAAACTCCAAATATACAGCAGGCATCAGGGTCGGGATCGAACCCACGGCCTCCTGCATACCAGGAGAGGTAGTTAACATCTCGCCACCGTATAGGCGCTTATTAATTAACAACGCGTTCGTTGCTCTCATTCCCCTCTGCAGACGAGAAAGACCGGGGGGCTCGGGGCCCGCAGGAGAGCGACGGCGGCGACAATGGGGATCACGTGAACGGCAACGCGACGTCTGTCGACGCCATGCTGTCGGAGCTGGACGACGAGCCGGACGACGAGCCGGACGCGTCGCCCGTGTACTCTGAGCAGGCGCGCAACCAGAGCCAGGAAGAGGAGGACGCCACCCCGCACCTGCCGTCCATGAGCGACATGCTTGTCGCGTATTCCTCTCTACCAGGTGCTTGGCACGGACGGCGTGCTGCCTTCTGCCTGCCGCGCGAGTAACCGCCGTGGTTGCGGCCGGCGTCGTTGGCGTCGTCATGAGGTCACGATCCGTCCACTACTGGATGATGGCCCGTTCCCAAGCTGTCTCCACGTGCCACATACTGTGTTGGTGCATATATCTGGGATGAGTTTCGGATTCGGGATTTTTAGATTTCGGATTTTCAAAGGATGATTTTTGGATCTTTTTTCAGATTCCTTCACATTTTTACATTTTAATGTGTCCCCTGTGCTGGCAAAACAGTGATGCCACTAGATGCCAAATGACAAAACTTTGTCAGTAAATCCAAGGAAGTGACGTTATTTATTTTGGCGTCATACTTTTGGATTATTCTGAACTAATAAAATATTGGCATCTTCTGCAGGCCACACTTTTTTTGATGTATTGGATCATTATGAAAATTGAGAAGACATCCCAATTACTCATGGATTCCCCCAGCTACGGCAATTGGAGAGGGATCCCCTTTTTGCAAACCCACGATAGAGCCAATTGAGAAATCTGCCATGGTCTTGCGATTTAACAATCCACCTGGCATATGCACACCAGCATATTTCTTAGCTCCATCTCCACAGTGGATGTCCTCTTGGCATGTTCCTTCCCTTGTAAATGTCTCAGGCTGTGTGTGTCAATCCACTGTTGGATGAGGGCCTTGACACTGCGGGTCATGGGGGTTATATTACCATTGGATGGTGTGGGGAGGCCTTCATCCAGCAGTGGATAAACAATGGCTGATGATGACCATGAATCTTGTGTGGAAGATATTTGAAGTATATTCGTTACTGTAAGGTATTTAAGAAGCAGTGCTTTAAATGTGATCATTATTACCACCTGGGTCAAACTTAACATAATCCGAACCCAAGAGACCTGAATAGTCTCATGTGCAAGAGTGGCTTGGATCGCCAAAAGTATACAAACATCGGAGACCTTTGCTAACCCGTACCGTCAATGTGTTGCAGGGTTTGTGTCGTGGAGGGACCGCAATCAGGGATCCTGGTTCATCCAGGTGATGCTGGAGGTGTTTAAGAAGCACGCAGTCAACGAAGACCTTATTTCCATGATCACACTGGTAAGGATACCACAATAAGTCAATTTGCTCAGCATTGTTTTAAACGCTCTGTCCAGCAGTATAAATGCATATACCGCGGTTAGTCGATCGGCAGGTCGCGTGCGGTGACCAGTGTGGAAGAGTAGGCCAAATTACCCTCCCGTGGGGCTAGTGGAGGCCTTTCAGCCAGCAGTGTCGTGAGTAAGAAATTTCATGGCTGCGCCTTTACCACCTTGAAATTTACGATGGGTTGCTGTACCGACCGTGGTGGCGCACGCTTGCAATCCAGAATTCCCAAACCCAAGCAATGGATAAGAGATGGCAGTACAGCAAATTCGGTTGCTGGACCTATCTGCAGTGATTTTATTTTTCAAGTGTTGTCGCATCGTATGTGTGATGGGTTTTCTCAGGGTAGTGAAAGGTCTTCCCACATGCAAAATACTCAAGAAGGAAATTGGCCAATCATTAAAATGAAAAACCATTCACAGTACTGGAACAAAAAGACGTTGAGAATTGGTGAGGCAGTAATTCACACGAACTTTGTGTGACGAACGAGGTACACCATTACACGCGAGCACGTAACTCGCACGGACAAACTGAAATGGCAGGAAGACATCCACTAGAAACCGGTGTATGATGTCGGTCTACGATATATCGTGTAACGAAACGGACCTCGCCGTTAAACGTGCAAATTTGAGCCGACGATGGCATATGGTTGGAATCATTGGGCTAATCTTGGCCAAAGGTTGGCCCAATGTCATAAACATTTATCGGGGTGCACCTCCCATGACGACGTCTGTCTTTGAGTAACTGTCTTATCGAGCGGAAGCACGTCATCGTGTCTTGTTTTCTTGTTCGTTTCAGGTGAATGAAAAGCTGTCTGATGAGTACCAAGCCAAGGGTGTCTTCAAACAGATTTCCAGTCCACTCAACACCCTCCGCAAACGCCTCTACTTCAACCCAACCTTCTGAGCGTGGCGCAGGAACTTCGCACAGTTTCCATTTACATGTACGTAAAACGATTTCCAAATAAGAATGACGCAAAATGTTGCACGTTCGAATTTTACGTAAAATATTTCACAACCAGTTTATTCGTGTTGTGTTCGATTTGTCTGCATTTTTGGATTGTGGAGGGAGACTGTGTGAAAAAATGTTTCTATTCCGTTGACAAAACAGTATTTCGAATACATGCGCAGCAACAGCAGCACAATCTCGGTGAGCTATTTAACTTTTTTTTATAAGGGTGGGGGACCAACTTGAATGAACTGCACTATGGCACACAGTACCCTAACCAATACAAAACGTGTGCACATACATTTAGTCAATCCACTGCTGGATGCTGGCCTTCCCATGCTATGCGGGTTGTTGGGGTTAATTCACCATACCTCAGGCTGATGAAGACGAGGGGTGTATGCGGATACAATCCAACACTCATTTATGCTGCGCTGCCCTCTGGCGATTATTCAGCTCCGCAGCAGCCTATAACACCTTGAATGCAAGGTGGTTGCCCATCAAAAGCCTATCCAGCATCAAACCTGTTTAGTTTCTGAGATCTGATGAGATTGGGCACATTTTGGGCGATTTGGTCTTGGGTGGTACAAACTTCACTGGCTGGGTTTCATATATAATTCAGAACAGTTTGCAATTCTAGCTTTAAGGCTTTGACAGAATACCAGCAAGACACCATAACCATTGCTAAAGCAAAGGGCAAAATATTAGCTTAATCAGTGACAAAAAAACATAAATTAGCAGTGAGTTGCTCTAGAAACTTGCACTCGGGCTTACAATTAGATTTCGGCGGTGGGTTTAATTTAACAGAGTTGTGTCTTCCAATGTGTTGGATACTGATGAAGTGGGGACATTTGCTTTTAGCCGGGCGGATGGTAAAACAGAATCTGAGAGCTTCGGGTCTCTGGATGAAGCGTTTTGTGTTTAGCATTCCATGAAATGCCTATGCATCTGTTAAACGAATAAATATATTCTTGCCGAAGTAGTTCGATATTTAACATTGGTTTAAAGATAATTATTTGTTTTATCTTTATTGTATGCTTGTTAGAAAGATAGTCTATTTTTTGTATTTTATTTACTTCGAGCTTAGCAGGAACAATTGCGTTTTAGGATGCATTTTTTACATTCGTCAGAAAATATTTGTACAAAATTAACTTAATTTGTTTTTGTAAGTATGCTTTTTCTAGTTCACAACCAATGCTTACGTAATGGAACTATAAGCTTAAACTATTATTTGATTGTAGCACGGTTTGGTGCTATGGGGCTTAGCATGTTACTGGAGTACTGTTTAAAAGGTCGTTTTGACTGCCTCCATGAATCGTTGGGTTTTTTTTTGGAAACCTTGACTGTTTTTCCTGTTCCACTGGACCCTTGAGTTCTACTTCTTACAGGGGGGGGGTTCCCTTTGCCTGATCACGCCAGGGATGTCTCAACTCCAATCCTCGCTGGACCGCTTTTTCGTGGTCACACCTGCCTTCCGCAACCACTTGCAAATCAAGTGTTCACACATTGTGCGCAAACCATGAAAGGCAAAACTGTTAACGTGGGCTGGGCTGCGGCGAGCGGAATGGAGTTTGAACAAGCTTTCCATTGTTCCCTTTAACCTGCTGCAAAATGATTGCATGGTTATGGGGGCAGAGTCGATGCATGTGTGCATGTTTGGGTATTACCACTCTGCATGTTTGAGTATTCGCACTCTGTGCCAGGTTCAGTTCGTTGCAGCAATTATTGGCGATGTGAAACTGAGCGGGACACAAATTGTAAAGGTGTCTTTGTAAGATAACTTCAAGAAAGTGAATTCGTGTTGTGTTACTGGTTGTAATTTTGTCCATGCATGAAACAAACTTGCATTGCGCTGAGCCATTCTTTTTAACCACTCGAATAAGCACCACCTTACTACTTTAGTGCACTTGGGGGCAGGAGAGCCTTCCCATATCTTCCGATGTACGATTTCTACGTTGAGTGCACCAATGTGTCTTTCTGTTCTATAGCCTCGTATTTTATTATCATCTTGTGAACGTTCATGCTGTGATAAGTGCCTGTGCAACTGAGTAAGGGAGTCATGCTTAATTTGTTTACATTTTTTTTTGTTCCTGATTAATGAGAGGACGTAAGTTTCGGTGATTTTATATGCACTGTTCAGCTGCAGCCTTATTGGAATTAAATGCGGACAATCATTCGTGTTCGGTTCGCTGCTCTTGATGTGAAATGTTCGTTACTGCTTTTGTATTGTTGTTTAATAAAAATTTCAAATAATAACGCATGCATTATTTTTGCTTGCCAATACCATTTTTGGCCCCGCAAAAAACCCCTCCAGTATTGAGACTCGTCTTCAAGGGGATCCTGCAATTTGGAAAGTGACCAATACCTTTCGGCATTTGACTTTGTGTGGGAGGATACCGGAGAAAAACCCACACATGTGAAAGGGCTGCACTCAACACCGCCATCAATTGACAACACGTCTCAGCTCCACGACTACAATACCTTTCAAACTGGTGGTACATCATCCAAGCACTTACCAGGCACCAACCTGCTTGGCATCTGAGATTTGGGCAGATTTGGCACAAGACTCCCCCCCCCCCCCCCACCTTTATGGAGATGGGGGCACTGCCCCGGTGCTTGGCAGAGCGCTGCGAAACGTATTGAGTTGCAATGAATCAGACCGACGTCACCGTTGCTTGTTCTACGTAATTTTATTGCAATACCTGAGGCAACCAATTAAAGTTTGGGGCTTCTACAAATCTAAAACCCTCTGTACCGAGGCTCCACCCCATCACTTTACACGGCCACCACTGTAGGCTGGGAATCTGCAACAATAACAACAACAACGGACGTCACTCAATCGACTGTGGCATCAACATTGAATTACAGACAAGTGGCGGAGCGTCAGGTCGGCACAAGCTCTGGTGCGAGAATGTGAAATGGCCTCCCCTGTCCGATTTCCCTCTGTTTGTGGCTCAGCGCGTGGGTGCACCCCCCCCTCCAGCCCTTGGGCAAATTGCATCTCACAATGCCGAGGAACTGCAGACAAGCCAGGCGGGTGAGCCGGCGTCAACGATTGTCTCATCTCTGCAGTGGCTCTTAGTTGTTTTCAGACAATTTAGTGTTCGTGCGTATAGGAGGAAATGGGAGCACCCAAAGAAACTCCACGCGTGCGAAAGGGCAACACGCGATCCCATAGAGAAGGGACAGATGGGTTTTATTCCGCACTCTGCTGTACCGCCTTCTGGCAATCCAGGGTATTATTTTGGCCCATCGACGTTCGAGGGAAGGGAACTACACAGCGCTGGATTAGAGACGTGCAAAGCCGCCGCCACCACCACTGGGCCCGTAGTTTTATTACAGCCTCCACACTCCACAGCTATGCCACTGATTGCAGAGCTTTCCATGTAGTACAATGCGGGCTCTGGGGTTGATGTGACAAGGAAGCTGAACGTCTTTCACGCCGTACGTAGCCAACCGTGCTAATCGAAGGTGCGGGGGAAGGACAAGAAAATAAGCTGACTAAGTTGTGGAGATGTCACCGTCACCCTGTGCATCCCCACGGTGCAAAGGGAATTGTGCACACACTAAAAACATTCTCATCACAGGACAGAAATATCATGGGACTTTTTTTTGCATGTGGTGCACAAGTACGAGTACAACACAAATTAACTCATCGCATTCGTGTTAACCACTGCATTATAGCGGAAGCAAATAGAATAGGCTGGTGTTCTTGGGGCATTGGTCCTCCTTCAGAGCACAGTAGAGGGGGGAATTTAAAAAAATCAGTGATTTAAAAATTGGAGATCACAATGTCAATTGTGGTGCCCTGAGAAAACTCGGAAAATTTAAGAGGTTGACATGGAGAGTTTCAAATGGACACAATTTTGGTAGACGATACGTAGCAGAAAAAAGCTCCAATTTTTTTTTTAATATATGCATGAACTCAAATCAACAGGGAAATCGAATGTGGCAAGGACTGTATTATGGGAAAGCCACCGATGTTAATCAGTCACCGTGAAGCGCTCATTGGTATATTAAACGTGCTGTTCCTGGATTCAATCGTCTTTTCTACAGTTCAATAACATTGGCTAGGGGTAGAGAGGCTTACTTACTTGTGATATTGCGTTGGCAGTGGTGCACAAACACAAGTAAGATAAATCATCTTTGCTACGAGCTATCGCCCAAAACGTCCCCTATTATATATTAAGTTCTGTAGTTTAGAGCTGCATTGTTTGACGAATGTGTTGAGATTTTTATATTGCTCTCAGCTGGCTTAGCCCGTCAAGAGTTAACTATTTACAATTTTAACGTATTTTATTTCACCAGGTAAGGCCCACTGAGCTACATAGCTCTTTTTCAGAAGCGACCTGGCCACAAGTGATACTTCAACGACGAAGTGGTTTGTCACGTGGAAATCTATGGCAGCCAAATACTCTAAACGAGTGATATTGATTCTAAATGTGGAGCGAAAAACCGGAGGACCCGGAGACAATTCCACGCGACCACGAGGAGAACACGCAAACTCCAAATATACAGGCGTCAGGGTCGGGATCGAACCCATGCCCCTTCTGTATACCAGGCGAGTTAGTGACCATCTCGCCACCGCGGCACCTAAAGGTGGTTAAGGGCGACAGACGCTACAGTTATCGCTGTCCTATTGCAAGGGCTGGGTTGTCTTCTGCTGAGATTGACACACCGATAGAGGCATGCCCCCTCCCCCCCGCACATCCATTTCACGAACACTCAGGCGCACAGATCATCGCTGCCTACCAGGAGCAGAGGTAGCACCGCAGCCTTCAGATCCACAGCACGGGGAGGCTCCGCCACCTGCACACAAGTTGCGGTGTTTAACTCATTCGCTCGGTACACCAAGGCAACTACGACAAATAGCTGCCATTCGCCACAAAGTGACGATGGTTTCACCGCAGCGCCTGTGCCAGGCTGAGTGCATTTTGAGGACTGTGGAAGTGGACTTCGAAAGGACAACCACTGTTGACTTTCCACTAAGTAGTCCCTATTTTATCTGCCCTCATGTTGACCACCAACGGAGGATTTGAACTCACAATATTCCGTGACCTGTGACCTCTAACGACTGTGCCAGCAGGCCAAATAAGGGTAGTTATGTACAGACTCAATCGGTGTGTACCCTTACTGCAGTCTGAGGAACAGCTGCAGGGGCAAGGGCTGCTGCCATCACCTGGGGAAGAAATGTAAACAATTACGCATCGCCTATTGCACAGCACAAGCAAAGCAACAAGGAACACGCGACAAACCATGACTGCGTAAGTGTAGCCGACAACATTTTATCTGTTGTCCTTCCCTCGCACCTCAGATTGGCGCGGTTGGCTAAGTACGGTGCGAAAGAAGTTCACCGTGCATACAAAGCACAGTCAGCTGTGGCTGCCACTCGATTGCCGAGTTCGCTACCTGATGACGCTCAACGGAGTCTTGCGGTGAATTGGCCTCGTGTGTTGACGATGTTTAAATTCAGTCATGAAAAGTCTTCATTCGCCGGTGAGAGCCGGAGTTTCATTGGTCAGAATTTGAGCAATACATTGGCACGTATAGAAAGTATCTGTGTAAATCTGTGATAACATCTTTGTTGGGTGGTGGAGGGTTAATGACAAGAATTGTGGGATAAAACGTGGCCCAACCCAAAAACTAATATGAATCATGTTCAACTACCGAAAGTTCTACGTTATTAACTTTAATGAGACCATCACGATGGAACACGTGCCTCTTCATTCAAGAATGTGACCAATTAAAATAACCTTGCAAAAACTTCTTACCAAGTAGAAGTTAAATTGATTTGTGTGTTTCTTAGAGGACAGTAGCAATACGACTGGTTAACCTGCTGAACCGCCCATACTGCACAACTATATGATTCCTCCAGTCAAAATAAACATTCTGATACTGAAAATCTGAGACCAAGAACAACTCCCTCGTCTTATTTCTCAATAAATGGAACTTCGACTTAAGAAGGACTTTTTCCAAAGTACATTTTTGCTGGTCACCATTGAGAACTCGGTTTAATTGATGGGTACCTGACACCCCGGATACAAACCCAGGTTATCTCAGTGCTGTCAGCTCAGCACTTTGAACCCTGAGCTGCCTGGCCACCTGACAGACTCAGTGTGAACGCTGCACATCGTCAGTGAACAGACACGTACCACTGCACGGACTGCCGGTCCCTCCACAGCAACACCCTGTGCTTCCACCTGTGTCCACGAACATGTAAGGTGACATGAACACACAATGAATGAATGAACGATTAATGCACAAAGCACTTTCATCTCGATGTCGAAATCAGCTCAAGCATCCCATAAATCACGCGACTTCTGCGTATGTTGAACTTCTTTCGCACCGTACGTAGCCAACCGTGCTAATCGGAGGTGCGGGGGATGGACAACAAAAGAAAAAGCAGTTCTAAAGAAATTCGTTTTCAATCTGAATACCTCCCCTCTCGCCGCCCCCTGTGAAAACAGACGCCGCTGCATTGATCAAACTTCAGCTTCTTCCTTCTCTCTTCCTCTCTTCCCTCCCCCCTCTCATCCCCAACATCTTGGCCCGGTCATTCCTTCTGCCTCCATCTCCCCCCATCTTCCTGCCCGGCGCACCTTCCTTTCTTCCCTACCCTACTCATCTTGAGCCGTGCCCTCTTCGTGTCCGTCTTGGGGACTTCCGTCCCTGCATCTTTTCCTTTACCGGTCATCCACTTCGCTCTTCCCCATCACCTTCATTTTTCTCTTTTCCATACATTACATTCTTGACTAGCCCCCCCACCCCCCTTCCTGTGGTGTGTCACGGGTAAATCGTTTTACAATTAGCTAAGAACCGAATTTTTCTGTGCACAAATAATTGATAGCTCTCTGGGCTAGGCCGGTGTAGGCCATGCGGGCGAGGCTTAGTGCACAGCTCTTCCGTAAGCCCACCGCTCGATGAGGGCCTCCCCACACTGTGGGGGTTCATCGAAGTTACTGGACCATACTTCACCATTCTGGTCAACGCGGGTTGGTGAAGCTGGGGCGCACGAGCGTGGGAGCGTGGGAGCGTAGAAGTACAGTGCACGTTTGCCCTCCCCCCCCCCCCCCATCGTTGAGTTAGTTGCCCATCCACCCCAACTTGGAGGATTAATGTCAACGGGAAAGAAATTTGTTGAATACTGAAAACAGAAGGAGAATTCGCATTTCACGTCGCATTGAAAAGAGGTTTAGGCGGCCGTTGGGCTCCCAGTAAACATGGAATGTTGGGCTAACTTTTGTCCAATTTTGGGTGTCAGACGGCACAGCACCTAACACGTTTTGTCAACTTGTTACCACGAGAGCACAGGCCATGAGTGGCATATATATTTTTTTACGTCAGAGCACAGATGTTACATGTACAGTCCGTTTGTCAATCCACTGCTGGATGGCACCCCCCCCCCCACTTCACCACGCTGGTGTGTGCAGGTTGAAAGTGGGGGAAACTGACAGAATAGCAAAGGATTTTTGTGGCCACGTCGCTTCTGAAACATAGGTTAATACCTCAGTGGTCTTTATCTGGTAAGATAAATAAAAAAAAGTAATTTAACTTGTATATATGTTTTATGTGATTGCTTACCTTTCACCTACTTTGCATTCCTGCCGTGTTTTGTAATGTTTTTTCTTGTAACGTTCTGACCCGCCCCTAGTGGACATCAGTGAAAAAGAGCTTTATAGCTCATCGGATTCCTCCAGCACGAATAAATATTCTGACTCTGTAATGGACACAATGAGCGAGTTGCAACTCACAGCTCCCTCCACCGCAGCTGCAGGTCCCTCCACCGCAGCTGCAGGTCCCACCTTGGCAGTTGCAGGTCCCACCTTGGCAGTTGCAAGTTCCACCTGCAAACAGGTAAACACAGAACTCGGTTTTAGCTTGAATTGAATAACCGCAATCAAAAGCCACGACGAATCCACTGCCGGATGAAGGCCTTTCCAAGCCACCGCCACCTCTGCCAGAGTCCTGCAATGTAGCAATCTTCCACGCACCAGGACAAGATCTCATTTCATTGCTCAATCTCCGTGGGGAGCGTCCAAGACTGGCGGACAGATGAAGCATTTGTGTGAACGACTGAAAGGTGCATGTCGATTGTGTGTGTGTGGGTCCTGTTCGTGGAGACACCACAATGCCACGTGTGTTTATTCGCCTATGTCCCATGTGGACGTTTTAGCGAGCGCCGTGCAATTAAACCACCGTCACGAATTTTACAATGACGGCTCGTATCAAACACACACACACGCGCTTGGCGCGGATGCTAAATAAAGCTAATGGAGCCAATGCCGTTAATTCAACACGACTCCTCTCCCCTGCTGCACGCAAGCGTTTGTACTACTGCGGCTAGCCACGTAAAAACACCTTGGGCTGTAATTTCACATCGGCACTCGTCAAGGGACAGAGAATCTGGCAAAACAGTCCTTTCAGGGGGCCTCCAGTTTGTTACGGAATTGAGCTTCACAAAGATGCACGCATGTTAACATACACACCGCAATTTAACATGTAGGCTTTCACGACCAATTATATTAATAAAACGGTTTTTGTTTAGATCGCTTAAATATAAATGCATCGTTAACTCACCACCACATTAACCCCCCTTCTGATCTTCGCACCTGAGAGGCTCACAGTGATAACATCACCTTACTCTGTTTAAGACCAGGAAAAGGAAGACATCGTCACAATTCTGGCAAAATCGCTTGATGAAGCTGGTTGTAATCACCAGTGAAGCGTCGTACTCACATTGTATATGTTGTGGGTTTAGTCTCCAACACACCGGTGTACCGAAGTAGTAACTAATAAGTACGTTTTATTTACATGACAAGCCTTACTAATTGGCTGCGTCGGGTGGTGGTGGGTTAACGACACCTATACATTTACGCGTTATAAACCAATTTTTTTTTATTATGAATACACACCGCAATTAACTTTATTTTTGTTTCGTGCATACGTTTACGAAAACAGGCGGGAGGGTTTCGCGAAACCGTTGTATACCTTCAGAGCAAGCGCCGGTGCAGCCACCACCACTTTTGCAACCGCAAGATCCGCATGGGCCACTGCAGCAGTTGCTGCATGCGGAGGAGTCGCAGGGCGTCTCACCGGTGGTGTCGCACGGCGTGCCACACGGATTGCAGCAGGAACCGCTGCAAGAGCCACCGCAGCAGTTGCCGCATGCGGCGTCACACGGCGTGCCACTGGACGGGTCACACGGCTTGCAGCAAGAACCACTGCAAGAGCCACCGCAGCAGTTGCTGCATGCGGTGTCACATGGTGCGCCACTGGATGTGCCACACGGATTGCAGCAGGGTCCGCTGCAAGAGCCACCGCAGCCGTTGCTGCATGCGGTGTCACATGGTGCGCCACTGGACGCGTCACACGGATTGCAACAGGAACCGCTGCAAGAGCCACCGCAACAGTTGCTACATGGGGCGCCACTGGATGTGTCACACGGATTGCAGCAGGGTCCGCTGCAAGAGCCACCACAGCCATTGCTGCATGCGGTGTCACATGGTGCGCCACTGGACGCGTCACACGGATTGCAACACGAACCGCTGCAAGAGCCACTGCAGCAGTTGCCGCCTTCGGTGTCACATGGCGCGCCACTGGACGTGTCACAGGGATTGCAGCAGGGTCCGCTGCAAGAGCCACCGCAGCAGTTGCCACATGCGGTGTCACATGGTGCGCCACTGGACGGATCACACGGCTTGCAACAGGAACCGCTGCAAGAGCCACCGCAGCAGTTGCCACATGCGGTGTCACATGGCGCGCCACTGGACGTGTCACACGGATTGCAGCAGGGTCCGCTGCAAGAGCCACCGCAGCAGTTTCCGCATGCGGTGTCACATGGCGTGCCACTGGAAGGGTCACACGGATTGCAGCAGGGTCCGCTGCAAGAGCCACCAGAGCAGCTGCCGCATGCGGTGTCACATGGTGTGTTACATGCAGTGTCGCATGAGCCTGAGAAAAAAATGAAAATATCAGGTTCGGGACTCGTAGCTGTTAAATTACTTCCAATGTGAAAACAAACCAAGGTGCAAACACACAGTGACAGAGCAGCAGACGAATAGGATTACAGGATTTACAGTGAGCAAATATATATTTGTATAACCGCTATCACACCTTCATTCGTTTAAATGAAAAACAACTTTGTACAACTATGGCTGTTATGAACACACAGAAGTGTGAATGCAAACTTACATGGACTCTGGCCACAAGAACCACATGCCAGGGCGCAGATTTCTTTGTCGAGACACGCTGAAGAAAGTCATGGGAATACCCCGGGATTAATAATAATAATGCAGTATATTTGGTATTCATACCATTCTTATAACGCACTCCATACATATTTGAATTAATGGCATAGTATGAGATATCCAGATTAAGTGGATTAAAAAAAAGTGATCTGAGATGCAGATTTGTGATCTTTTTTGCGCAGGGCAATTCTGTCACACTGGATAGTGCACTGCTCGTTGCTAGAATCCTGAATAGAACGTTCATCTCATCTTACGACAAATATCGTCGCTGTTCATTGTTATTAGATGTCTGCTCTACGAATGTATGTAGAATGTCTTTTTCACCGTACGTAGCCAACCGTGCTAATCGGAGGTGCTAATCGATTTCTTTTGACCAGTGTATTGGGGTGCTTCCATTGATGGCTGAGCAACCCAATCAATTAAATTGGCAGTGCAACGTACATTTAAAACAACACACAGAGTCTCAGAGCGACAGCATCTCAAGATGCTGCATAAGAGTGGAGGACACATGCTCGCAGCGGAGGCGACGATTGCAGACGGGGTTCGAGGTTGAGAGGTGGTATCACGAAGAGAGGCGTTTATTTGTGTTTGGAGGAGAAGAACGGAGGACTCGAGACAGGACTGCAGAAGGGAACTGTTGCAGCTGTGCAGGTGAACAGGGATACAGAGAGAGGTCCAAACAGCAGGCCACCAGGAGACAGAAGGAGAAACCTCCCATAGAGCGGAGGTGGACCTTGGCTGATGAATAGGAGGGCAATTTGAGCTGAGTAGAGAGTGAGGCCGAAAGGCGAGGAGGTAGTCAGGAGCAGGTCCACGATGGCGACTGCAAACGTTGAGAGTTCAATTCGAATGAAAAAAGAGGCCCATCGCACTTTGCCGTATCAAAGACTCACGTATGTCGGTAGATGGTGACGAAGTACGGAACAGCGCCAATAATTCAGCCAGTCCATCCTTGTCTGTGGAGCAAAGCGAGCGACTTGCAGGCATCAACACGGGGACAGTTTTAAAGATGTTGTAAGAACACGTGCGTGTGTGTGCCTGAGACAGTGGGGAGCGGTGGTGTAGCGGTTAGCGCACTGCGCTACGAACCTGGCGACCCGGGTTCGATTCCCGCTCACCGCCAACACCAGTGACCATAATCTGAACCGATCCTGGGCTTCCCCTAGGTTGACTCAGCCTCAAATGAGTACCTGGTGCGATATGTCAACATCGCCACTGGAGAGACAAAGGCGGCCGGGCGTGGTGCTGGCCAACCACCCCCTCGCGTAATGTTCCAGCCTTTATAGATGCTTGCTAACAGCACTTGCCCCAACAGTCTGTTAAGGCTATACGGGGGATCTTTGTCTTTGCCTGAGACAGTGAAACAGTCATCAGTGACTGAGAGAAGCCTCTGTACTCGAGTCGGGAGTCCCGAGGCGCCAATGGGGGTCCCCCTAGGCAAAGCAGGTGCACTCGGAGATGTTCCGTTACGCGATGGGCGCACGCTGGTCGACGTTGTGTTCAAGTGCAGTGCACCACGGACACCATCTGACGAGGAAGGTGTTGCGCTTTTTTAATCCTTTATATTAAGTTCACTTGCTTGCTTGCGTGCTTGCTTGCTTGCTTAGGACCGTGCAAATCTTTCGGTCGTTTTTTAACCCACTTCCCGTGATCCAATCGAGCTGACATTTTGCACACAGACTCGTTGTGCTTGACAATTAATTATCGTGGAAACATTTTTTCCTAAATTTTACACTTTTTAGGGGAGTTTTTTTAATATTTAATTACCAATTGCTTAATGGTGGCAGGCAATCATCTGACCCATAGGTGGCAGCCATCTCAAGCCAGAGGACGAGAGGACTCTAGCCGCCATGCATATAAAGGATTTAGAGTGAAAAACTTTTTTTTATGGGTTAATTTTTTATGGTTAGGCTAAATATGTATCTTTTTAAAATCTATTTGATTTATATTTTGAACCGTGGAAATTTTTTTTCTGTCTTAAATTTGAATCGCCCAATGTTGTTATGTTTACACGCTAATCGCCGTGACAATTTAATCGCCCAGGGCGCTATGTTAAATAAAGTTTAAATGATCGATTAAATACGAACGAAAGTGTCATCATATGTTTCTATTCTATTTGTATTATATTTCTATTTTAATTTAACAAAGTAAGGCCCACTGAGCTATACAGCTCTTTTTCAGAAGTTATCACAAATCATTGCTCAATAAAGTGGCTAATCATGTGGAAATGTATAGCAGCCAAATATTCGAATCGCATGTTTTTAAACGTGGAGGGAAAATCCGGAGGACCTGGAGAAAAATCGACACGACCATAGGGAAAACATGCAAATTGCAAATATACAGCAGGTATCAGGGTCTGGATCGAACCCACGACCTCCTGTACACAGGGAAAGGTAATTAACATTTTTCCACAGTGGCTCCCCAAGTTTAGCTAACACTGAGAACCCTGGTGGGACATTTATAGCAGCCAAGTCACTCTAATCGCATGTTTTTAAACGTGGAGGGAAAATCCGGAGGACCCAGAGAAAAACCCACACGACCACGGGGAGAACATGCAAACCCCAAATATACAGCAAGCATCAGCGTCGTGATTGAACCCACGACTTCCTGTACACCGGGCGAAGTAGTTAACATCTCGCCACCGTGGCGCCCCCAAGTCTTGAGAGCTCTGCTCACCGTTGCACAGGCGGCTGCTCTGGCCCAGCAGGGAAGGGTCTGCCGAAGCGGTGCCGCCAGACAGCATGGTGCGCACAGCCAGGAGGCCGTCCAGCCCGCGAGAGACGCCGCCGGATAAGCAGCTGCCGAACTTGCGCATCAGACGCAGGCATGGCTGCGGCTGCTGCGCGTTGCACGGGCAGTCTGCAGACAACGGGCGCCGACCCACGCACACGCGCAGATGTGAAGATCCCCCCACCACCCTGCACACCCACCCCGTGTTGCCTTACGCAAGCTGTTGGGGCAATTGCTGTTAGCGAGAACCTGTGAACGCCGGCACGGTGGTGTGGCCGGAAAACCCACGTCTCTCGCGTGCTGATGCTTACCCATCCCACAATGGATACTCATTTCAGGCGCAGGACCGGTTAAGTTATTCGCCACCGATGCCGGCCAAGAGTGGGAATAAAACTCAGGTGGCCAGATTTGTAACGTGGCGCGTGAACCACTGCGCCTCTGCTCCCCGATGTGCATGCACGCGCACACACACAGCGCACACACACACACAGCGCACACACACACACACAGCACAAACACACACACACAGCGCACACACACACACAGTGCACACACACACAGCGCACGTGCAACTCGACGTGTACCCGCGTGCCACTGCCTCCGAGGAGGCATAGAAAGCAAATGGATTTTTTACGACTCACCATGGGTGCAGTGGTGATATTATAAAGCTTGCAATCTCGGAGTGACTTGAAGGTGGGGGGGGGGGGTTGATAAATCGTGCAAAAATGGGACCAGTGTGATTCCATGCGAGACGCTCAGCTGCATGGCAATAAGATTCATGTACGAGGCAGTGCAGCAGGTAGGTTGTTGGAGACCTATCCGTGCGGTTCATCTCTGGGCAATTTGGTCACTCCAATTTTTGTTTTTCATAAAGTGACCATATATCCCAATATGTCCATGTTGAAACTAAATTATTGAAAGCACTTCTGCATAAATCATTATCATCACGAAATGCACTTTATAACTACAGTGCAATCTTGTCTTTCATATTTAATCCTGCTCTGAAGGTCCAGTGCATGAAATGTTTTCTTTTGTATTTTCAGGTCCAGGCTAGGGTTGTGTTTTAATAGTCGTCATAATAAAAGTCTTGACCCGTGGCGCAACACGGTCAGGGGAGTAGAGACTGTTGCACAAAAGGGCAGCAGACAGAGGGGCAAGATGAGCAGGAAACGGATGCTGGGGCGGAAGTCCCCAAGACAAACTAAGAGGGCGCGGTTGAGAATCAGCATATTCATTTATACTGGAAGAATCTGATGAGCTATAAAGCTCTTTTCGACAGATGTCCAGTAGGGGTGGGTCAAAAAGTTACAACAAACAATCCAACAACACGATATGAGTGCAAAGTATATAAAAGGTAAGAAAATCACACAAAAAAATAAAAGTAAAAAATAAAATCAAACTAGTTTTTATTTTACCAGGCAAGGCTCACGGACCTATATTGCTCTTTTTCAGAAGTGACATGGCCACAAATGATAGCTCAACAAAGTGGCTTACCATTTGGAAATGTATAGGAGCCAAATAGTGATGAACTGGGCAGCAAGGACAGATAGAATGACCGGGCCAAGATGTCAGGGATGAGAGGGTGATGATGAGAGGAGAGAGGAGAGCGAAGAGAGGAAATGAGTGAGCAAAAGTGAGCTGCACGGAGCAGCGTCTGTTTTCTGAGGGGGCGGGAAGATGGGAGGGATTCAGTCGGAGCGGTGGCGGGGGACTCACAGAAGTCACATGGTTTACAGGAGGCTTGCGCTGATATATATCTGCGTGGGCTGATGTATATTGTCATCATTTTCAAGCCACTATTAAGGCTTCCGCATGCCATGTGCGGGGTCATGGGGATCGTGTGACCATCCCACACCAGAGGTCGCAACCGGGTACCCGATACCTGTACCCTACCCGATACCCGGCTACCCGTATCTGGCCGGATATGGGTACCCGTTTGCGACCCTGGTGCGGCCGGGTACGGGTACGGGTAAGGAATCAAAACCCGTTTGGGACCTCTGTCCCACACCGAGCAGCGTTGCGCAGTGCGATCAAACCACCCCGCACGACGGCCACGACATGGGGAGGGGCCTTCATTCAACAGCGGATTGACAAAGGGCCTTATATACATAGGCACCGAGATATCAACAACTGTTTAATGAAACGACTCACACAATGCCTCGCTAATAAGTGGGTCGGTATAAGAAGAAAGAAAGAAACGCGTGTACTGGTGGTGGCGTCGCGTGTAATGCAAAGGTGGCGATGGAATTCACATTTTACTTCCCCGACACTCTGTAATTGGCTCTGTGCTGCACGCCGGGGGAAATGTCGCATGGCACTTGCTAAAAAAAAATAACCCAATTTTCATTTTGAACGTTGTATACCTCTGTGTATTGTGAATACATCCCAGTAAGCACATACTTAACAAGTGCTGTACTTATCATGCGGTTTCCCGACCGCACATAGCTGGGCAAGCTAGCCAACCGCTTAACGTGCAAACATTCTGGCATGAAATAATAACGACGCCCTCCGCTTACCGGGAAAAGCCTGTTCATTGGCAGTCCCTGAGCAATTGGGGAAGATTCCAATTTCGCTTCAGCGCTACCACCACAAGCGGTACTCGCATTATCACTGCCAGAGGGACGATAATGATGATGATAATAATGGGCCGATTTGTCTCCTGACTGGGATTTGAATGCACAAATTTCTCCAGTGGAATGTAATAATGTCGCCTTTCTTTAGCCAGGAAAGCCTCAACCGAGCCTCAATACTCTTTGAGGAGGTGTCGGCATTGGGATGTGAAACCACTCAGATTTAATGAGCGTTTGGAATTTTGGGAGAAAACGTGATTACCCAGCAGAAAAGGCATGCATGCGAGGGGGATAACACGTAAACACACAAGTGTGTTTAATCCACTTGCTATACTGCCATTTCCTGGCCACTACGAAGCAGAGTGGGTTTTAGAGCATCACAATGTTTGTGTGATTCACCAACCCTCGCCTCCCAAGTGCTGGCTCAAGGCATGCGCCTGTATGTAAGCCACAATTCAGGTTTTTGGGTTATACTGGCAGGAACCCACTGGTTCCACCAGCCCACAGGGGATTATTGTGTCCGTCCGTCCGTCGTGAAGGGAGGGGCTGGGTGGGGAGGGTGGGGCTGGGTGGGGAGGGGAGGGGCTGGGTGGGGAGGGTGTGGAGGGGCTGGGTGGGGAGGGTGGGGAGGGGCTGGGTGGGGAGGGTAGGGCTGGGTGGGGGGTGGGAGGGGTGGGGCTGGGTGGGGAGGGGCTGGTTACCCCGTGGTGCCCTTATAAAACTCAACGATTAACCGACTCACGCCGGCTTGTGCCCGCCCTCACAGTCGGGCATATTTGCGGAATACACCACGCCGCCGTTGACCCTGGCCATTGACCGAGCAACCCAACGTTCCTACCAGCTCCCTCCGCAAAATGTGTTATCGCGTAAATATAAATGTCGTTAAACCCGCCACCACCCAACAACAATTAGTAAGGTTTGTCACGTAAACAAAACATGGAAATTCGTTACTAGTACAGCACACCGGTGTGTTGGAGAGCTAATCCACAACATTTACAATGCGAGTACGACTTTTCATCAGTAATTACAATGAATGTACTAATCCCCCCCACTTCGCATAGGAAGGGCTCACTAATGACGTCATCACATCTATCCCTCTATTTCTGGAACGAAACAGGAGGATTTTTCCACACAAATCTGGCTGCCGCCTGATGATGCCGGTTGTAACTACTGGCAAAACGTCGTACTCAGATTGTAAATGTCGTGGCTTTGCTCTCCAACACATCGGTTAGTGCTGTACTAGTAACGAATTGCCATGTTTTGTTTACGTGACAACCCTTACTAGTTGGTTGTGTCGGGTGGTGGTGGGTTTAACGACACATTTATATATTTACTCGATCCAACCCAAAAAAAGCCTGTTTTATGGATATTGGTTGCGAAAGCCTACGTGTTAAACTGTATGTAATCCATTGATTTTTGTTTAGATTCTCGGTTCATGTGTGTTTCCTGTGCCACTGCTCTGTGCAATTGTGCTTCTCAATTCCATTCGTGTTTCAGGACTTGGCTTGTATATGTGCAAGACACAATTTCAGGTAACAAACGACGACGAATAGAAATGTCCGGTTTCAATAGATTTGTCTACCGGGGTTTGATGAAAATTCATTCTAGACTTGAAGTTTTCATGACTGCAAGGACTTCTGACTTCAATAACCTCCTTAGCTCCGGCATCTCTCCCACTTCAGTAAAACAAAAAAAATATTGCTGTGGTTGCTTGTGCTGCAATCGAAACGTCGTGATTTAAAAAAAAAATTCACTTACGTGACTTTACCGAAAGAACCAAAGAGTTTGATGAAAATTGTTCAATCAGCCCATCAACGACGCTCTGGCATTCTGAGCACAGACGCGAGCGTGAAGTAGTGCGTTTCAATCATCCTCACTCACCATTGATTCCTTTTCTCGGGGCAGCAGACCCCGAGGTGATCAGCAGGACGAGGATGATGAGTTTGGACAGCATGGTGGGGTTCTAGTCTCCTACTCGACACAGAGACAACACTGGAACCGTGGAGATGACATCGAATGCGTCAAGTGTTCACGCACAAGCACACGCCTTAAACGTGCGATGTGTGTGACAGCATCGCAGGAAGTTGCTGCACAATCAGATTCAGAATATGCATTTATACTGTAAGGGCAGGTCAGAGCGTTGCAACAAACAATACAAAAACCCGATAGGAGTGTAAAGTATAGTAAAGGTAAACAAATCACTAAAAACAATATACAAATAAAACTTAACTATGTTTTATCTTACCAGATAAAGCCCACTGACGTATTAACGTAATCTTCAGAAGCGACCTGGCCACAAATGATAGCAAAAAAAATGGCTTATCATGTGAAAATTTATAGCAGCAAAATAAGCTAAAATAATGTAAATGCCTGTTTTTACAAAAAAGCGAGGTGCATCAGGTTATTAGGATTAGGGTGAACGGCAGAAAGTAATATACCGCATTCAACTGTACGCATGTACAGCGTCTAATAGCAGGATAAGCCAATATTGTAACATTGTCTTGGGGTTACAAAGCTTGTGCATATATCTACATTCATATGACTGCATTCACTTCCAGCAGTGAATTGACAAGGAGTTGTACACAAACCTGTTAAAAAAAGACAAAACCTCGCTGTAATTTTCTAATTAAAATCAATTATTAGCAATTTAAAACAAGTGACTGCAATGTAACTGTACGTCAAAAAACTATCGTAGTCATGTTCAATATTTCTGCGGCGTAACTTTGCATTTAACACAAATTAAATGTAACCCACCGAACGCACTTTTAAGTTTTACAGGTCATATTTTTTGATGACCGAGACGATACGAGTGCATCTCGTGAAGACGGTATATGTAGCACGATGGTTGGTTAAAGGCGCATTGACATTTGCCATTAAAAACGGAACATTACATCTTTACGACACGTTAATCACGGCTGTAAAATATTGCCGTGCAATTCAACCACGATTATGAAGACGAGGCAAGAACACATCGTATCAGAACAAGCCACAGCGCACGGCACCCAAATGTCAAAATTCAAAGCGTAACACTCACGGGGACGATAGCAGTCACGAGCCGTGTCTTGTCATAGAGCATGCGCGATCTGCCGGCTTGTCGAGTTTTAGACGTGGGCGACTGCAACGTCACCGGTGCAGCTGACCCCAACAACCATCCTTAAATATCAAGGGCCCTGTATCGATCCGTCAAGCACCCCTTTGTCAAGCAGCATCCTGAACTGCAGCCCTCTGTCCATTTGCTCTTCAATATCGCTGTTACGAAATAATACGGTCGTGGAGCTGTGGTGTGTTCCACGTGTATAGAAACATGTGTTACAGTCCATCAGCCAGAGGTCGCAAACGGGTTTTGATTCCTTACCCGTACCCGGCCGCACCAGGGTCGCAATCGGGTACCTGTACCATACCCGATACCCGGCTACCCGTACCCGGCCGGGTATCGGGTAGGGTACCCGATTGCCACCTCTGGGATGAAGCCATGTTGCAGGCGTGGGTGGGTTGATTCTAGGAACTTGAATTGTGAGAAGAGACAAGACGTTGGGAAATGAGTGACAAACGGTGACTCACCAGTGACTCACGGTCTACCCGTACCCGTACCCGGCCGCACCAGGGTCGCAAACGGGTACCCGTACCCGGCTGGGTACGGGTAGCCGGGTATCGGGTAGGGTACGGGTATCGGGTACCCGATTGCGACCTCTGCCATCAGCCTATTTATTGGATTCCTGGACCAATATTATCAAGCAGTATTTAAGCATATTTTGAAATGGTTTCAACCTTCTAAAGCTCATCCGCAGCCATGCTTGTTAAATAAATGCTGCTGGAGTTATCAGATATTGTCACAGTCACTCCATGTAAACTATGGTATCCGGTGTTCTACAATGTCAGCTGTAATAGATATATTTATTTAAATACTGCAATATTACCAGCATCCATAAAAACACACAACAGTGACAACTGTCCATGAATGCAGCTGAAAATGTTTAAAGCCATCTTGAGCTTGCCTTTAGGATATAAAAGCATACAATATTTAAAGCGTTATTCATTTTTTTGCATGTAAAGCAATTCCAAGGAACTTAGATTGAAATGCAGTCATTAAGCTCATTACATGACAGGCAGTCACAATCAGTGGTTTACATTTTTATTTAGCAATAACAAATTACACGTGTTCATTTTCAGTGTTAACTTAGGTTATAATTTGCGTGTGCAGAACTCATTAAAATGTTAAGACATATCAGTGCAACTACATTACATGATGTATTGGAAGTTTACACACAATATACAAGCACAGTTCTACGAAACCTGTAATGTAATTGTTAAAGTCAGTGCAACACATGGGACATCAAGCATAAAATGGCAAGAACGTTCCCGTAAAACTTTCCAATCATGACATTTGCATGAAGAATACAATGAGCGTGAGTGTTGAAGCAACGTGAAATGTAACTTGAGGAGTGAACCATGTTTGATGAACTTATTTCCACCGCACGTAGCCCACCGTGCTAATCGGAGGTGCCGTATATTATAAAACGGTCCACTTTTCAAATTAAAAGTGCTTACGTGTTTTTTTTTATTTCAAATTATAAATGGCAATTTTGGGATGTTTTCAGATTATTTTTTATCGTTTACATTATCTACCAATGTCAAATGTTCTTGTGCCACATGACATCACTTTTGGCAGGGAGCGAAAGTACAGTAACGTTATTATTGTCACTTCCAGTTTTTGAAGCAATCCGAATAATACGTAATTTGGATCGTTCAAAATTTCGTACTCAAGGCACCATTTTCATATTTTTGATCAATCTGAAAATCGGCAGCACATACCAATATCATTCGACACTCTTTTCAAAAGCTTTCTTCTGGTCATTCCTCTTAGAACGCGAGAGCCAAAAGCAGACCGGGCAAGAGCAGGACAGAAAAAGCGATAAAACATCAATTCCACCAACACTAGTTTGCTTTTTGAGGGCGTGAACTGAAAATATCAGCGATCATAGCCTCACTGTCACCTGCCACTCCGAAAGCAACAGAAAGAGTGGCTACCAGAGAGTGCACACCAAATGTGTGGACAAGGCAAACAGACAGAGTGGGAATTGCATACCAGTCATCATTTATCCATTGTGGCCAATGGGAAACAAATGTACACATGGCCATGCTAGAGAGACGGTAACGAAGGTGATGTTGAAACTAGCATTTGTGATTGGGATAAACTTGCAAACTAACGTGGCTAAAAAGACACAAGCATGAAAAGGTAGAAACAACTGGTGGATGTTCAGCTCAACTTTCAATGTTTACCAATCAATATGCTCAAATGATGTATAATACAGCTTAATACCAATACACATTTATACTGAATTGGTCGGCATAAAACGCAGCAAAAATATCATTGGGAGAGATGACAAGAACTGCAACTCTGAGAATAACCTCTCTACGTCAGCATTTGATTTCTATCGCAAACATGTATTTTCTACGTTTTGTTTAGACCCATGGCTAGGTTCCCAAAACCTATCAGTGTTGAACCAAAGCAGGTCACACTGCTCCTGCTCGGGTGACTACAAGTGCACATTTCTATTTCTTGGGTATGCGATAAATAAATTGAGCATTTCTTAATTTACAGTACTTCAGGGACTACAAAACTCCAGCCCAGAGTTATGCTCTTACAGGTCCCGAGTATACAAAGTAAAGTGTAACATTACACGACTGTTGCTCAGCAAATGCAGATAAATGGAACAGTGGGCAGGATGGACTGGAGTTAAGAATTACAGCGACCAAACCGCTCCTTCAACCACCTGATGGCATCAGCCGGCGAGTTCCTCACACATCCGACGTTGTGCTACTTGGGTTGACGTTCTGGAAGGACGGGAGCTTCAACATTTCCTTGTGCAGCTCCAGCAGCTGCTTGGCTGGAAGCCCCACTGTCTCCTGTTGACAGGAAGCAAGAGAGAACAAGTTAGACATCCAAGCTCAACAATAAATTGGCCTACTAGACCAATGTTTTACACAGCAGCACTTGTTTAAAGGAAGACCACCTCCCCCCTTCCACCAAAAGCGTTATCTTGAATATTCACGCTTAAGTCACGTGTCCCAGGCTGCCATTTGAAGCGACGTTTTGAGAAAAAACCAAGCAATTTTTAAGTCATGGTTTATGTGCCGCCGAAGCACTCTAAAGGTATCGCTGCAGTGACCCCAAGTAAAAATGCACGACGTTAGGTCATTAAGACATTACAGGTGTTCCCTTGCGACATAACCGACTGCAGCTTTAACAACGAGTTTCTCATTAATGACGCTTCTAAGTCATGCGAGACAGCCCGGGATGCACAGCCTCGTTACTTGTCTACAAGATCGGAGTTGTTTTTTGAAATAATTTAGTTTGATAATTTTTTTGAAGACAAACCGCAGAATTGCTTCGACCTCATTGAGTCACATAGTAAGTGTTACATCATGAAGCAATTTCTCCGAGTCTCGTCCACCACATCATGCTGACGAAACTCATAGAAGGCTAAACAGCTCCAAGATTTGGCCTCGTTTAAACAAGCGCTGTTGGTTAACATTCGTCTCAAAAGTACCATGGTTGATGGAATGAAATGCTCTTCTAGATTTAGAATGAAAGAGACCCTTTCCTCTAACTTTTTGTTACCCAGAACTATTGCTCACTTTAGTTATCCAATAAAGGGAGTGGTGGCCTGAGTTCTATTCCCGGTCACGGCTAACATTGGTGGTGCGTGATATCTGAACTGGTCCTACACCTCCGCTTCACGAACAAGCACTGACCAGCGTGGTGAAGTTTGGCCAAACAGCCCTGGTGATGGACACGGCGTGGCGATTGTTGTATTCACCCGGGAGTTGATTTATGTTGGGCTGTAAATTTACATTATTGTATTTAGCAAAATTACTGCAGTGTTAAGTGGCTCGCAGAAGTCCTCTGTTGACTCTGGAACATTAATGATGATTCTGAAATAAAAACTATGGTCAGGTGTTTGTCTTGCATTAGTGTTACGAGAATGGTGAGTTCTGGCTCCAGCTTCAAAGTTAACTGGCCCTACAGTACAAAAAGAAAACTTTCCGTGGATTTTATACAATAAGTCTCATGAATATAAAAAAGTGGTACAGTTTCAGCACAGGCCCTGTAAGAAAACGTGTCCGAGTGAAAATTGTGAGTGTTAGTGACCTGGATGGAAAAAAATGAGTGGGTATTAGTAAAACAAAAACATGCGCAGTAAACATTAGAGGGCATAAATTAGTTGACAGAATTAATCAGGGAATTAGTATAATTAATTTAGGATGAAAGGCCAATTTGTTAAAGATTAAAACAGCATTCTATTTACAGAAAAATAATACATTTTCTGTAAAATGTATTTGCTGTTTTACATCTTTACAATTTGACCAAAAGAATCAAACCCCTGTAAGATGTATGTCTGCTGCATACAACAGATTCATACTTAGGTGACACATAGGCATGCAAAAAAACCAAGTCAGGAACACACTGCTGTTTGTGTACACATTTGGTTGCATAGACATTTGATTGTGTAAATATCATATGCACCAAGAAAACAGACTGACTAGCATACTACCAACAAGACAACCCTACAATTGAACCTTATGGCGGTACCCCAGAGTACCATAGCACCCCGGCTCTCGCATAATGCCCGTGATGCAGTAATTTTTAGTCTGTTGATGGTCAGCGATGCGGCAATCGACTCATCTCGACGAGCTGTACACGATGCACCACCATGGTGCGTACGAGCGTTCAGGGTTTCAGCACAATCGTCCTCGCTGCGGTTCGACATTGCGGAGTGGCACTGATTTAGCATTTATTGATACCCCAGTCGCAGAGTTACGTAGACCCCTGGAAAAAATAGTGTCCCAGAAATAAAACATTTAATTGCCTCGGCCCATTTTGTATTATTTGGTACCCATAACGAGTGCTTCCAGGCATTCAAGAACATTGGTTACAATTATTATGTTATTAGGCACAATTACTCATTCCTGCTAAATATATCAATGGTGGTCAAAAGGGTTGGCTACATGATCTTAGTAATATGTCCGAGTGTCCAATAAAATAACATTAATTCAATACAGTACAGGTCTGTATCAATAAATACGTACAAAGTGTATTCATGTGCATAGTGCACATCAACAAATTTTACATGTAACATAAAGTAATCCTACTTAGCTAAAATAATCCAAGTACATTCATACAAAAGGTGCATGAAAATCACTCCATCGCAATTTTTTCTTTCTTTCTCTCTCCGAAACTCAATCGCAACTTGATCAAAGCTCCTTTACAATAGAACACAAGCCGAATAAAAATAGGTCCGCTACATTTCAGAGGGAGCGTATCAACGAGACGATCACCCCCCCCCACCCCTCCCTTAAGAGGCGAGCGCCATCATGGGGGCTGCCTGTGCTGGAGCGCGTGTGTCAACACACTCAACGTGAAGAGGGGACACCAACGAGGCCCTCGTCAGCGGTAAAAGCCCGGCTAAGCACGAGCTGTCCGTGCGGGGAGTGCCACTCAGCGCGTCCCCCCGCAAGCGGCCGCTTGTTTGGGGACAGGGCGGCTCAGCAAATCCCTCTTCATTGAGAGGCTTGCCAGTCATTGCCAACACACGTGGACAACCGTCGCCGCGCCACTCGAATTTAATATTTCACCTTTTTTTTTTCCTGCGCTTCGTGGATTCTTGCGCGCTTAAGTATAGGTTGTAATTCAAAAGTAAAAGTGATTTTCTGCTCAAATGGAAACTGAGGCACGAGTGACCATCATCAGTGATGTAAATTCCCCATTCCTATGGCGGGGGGCAGGTCTATTCATAGGACAACCATTGATGATTTTTCTATAAAGTGGTACATATTTTATTACCCCAGCAGGATGATGGGATCAGTCAAACCCCCAAAATTTTAACTCACAGCCTTCAGCATTAATAATATAACAGAATTACAGCAGGAAATGTGTAACGGCAGATTAAGTTCATTGTTTAAACTTGCACACTGGTAGTGTTTACAACTTACACGGTAAGCACTAAAAGTTTTGTTGATAATAACCATTGATTCACAATAAAATAGCGAACCTTTAAATAATTCTGAAAAGTTAATTCAAAGACCAACACATTTTACAATGACACAATAATGCATTGTATTTGTTTATTTAACACTAATATATTTCATACACATGAATCCTCTAACTTAATTTCCTTATATACTCAATGGCCGTATTTCCTTTTTGTAACGATGATCATTGCTAACAACGCCTTTGCTGAATAAAGGTACAGTAGAAAAACCAGGTGTACAAACCATCACTAATCTCAGTAACACATACAAATATGTACGTACGAGTATCTGGCAGAGGACGCTTTTTATTGTCTTTCGGGTCACACTCGCCAGTAAAAGGTACCTGAAATGGTTGCATATCTGGATTTAGCATCGATAACCTCCAGATACGATTTTTGTGAGGCTTTAGTAAATTTTATTGTTCAGGTTTTGTCAGAAAAGGTTTGAGGGTGCAGAAATTTGTTTTTTGAATTTTAAAACGTAGCTTTAAACTTGGCATGACCCAAATGTTAAATGTAATTCAAATAAATTAACACAACTGAAAAAGCCAGGCAATATGCCTCCTTCCCATAACTGTCCACAAGAAACGTATTCTAACACATCCCATGACCCACGTGGAATTCTGGGACTGCAAGATCACGGCAGCAATGTCAGTTAGTTTCTCCAAGTACACAATTACTTGCAGCCATTGGATGATAAAGAAAAAGCACCCGCCACCAAGAGCGCACAGAGGAGACGAGATTTCCCTCCACCAGGAAAACGAGTACATCAGTAATGTGAGGACAACGCGCAACCACCACCACTCCTCGGCACCTTACTGGTCACACGAGAGAGTTGAGGCTCTCTGGGTTAACACGAGGCTTTGAGCCGGCCTTGGTCATATCCTTCCTGAGTTCGGCCAGCTGACGAGCTGGCTTCCTGGCCCCTTCCTGGTGGGAGAGGTGTGTCGTGGGGAGCAACGTCAACGATTCGGTGGCTATCGCAGCCTGACCTGGGTGCAAGCTTCAAGCAGCAGTGGAGGAACATACGGATCCCTCTGGTTTCTCTCTTCACATTTTCAGAAACATGCATCTGGAGCATTTGGCTGCTATAAATGTCCACATAAGCCACTTCGTTGAGCTATCATTTGTGGCCAAGGTCACTTCTGAAAAAGAGCTACATAGCTCAGTGGGCCTTTTGTGGTAAAAAAAAAAGTTTAGTTTAGTTTATAGCCGACTGTAGGCCAGATTTGGCTGGAGACTCCATTTCATAATTCAATTTAAATGCATTATATATCGTGCCTTATCATGACAATTACAATCTCATAGCACTTTGCAAGATTACAACGATAAGGCCCACAGCCACATAGAAATGTCTATCTGGTGATGTGATGCTGACAGCATAATTAAGAGTTTAATTGTGGTGGGGATTTTTTGTTGTTGAAAATAACACACACAGCCCGGCATGGCAGACTATTTGTTTTTCTCCAATAATTAAGATGAGGAAGGGCTTTGATCATAATTTTTCAAACATCATTGATACAATTTAAACAGATTAACAAATTGTTTACCATTATTATTTCATGCATGTTAAAAAAACAAACTTTCAAATGTGATGGCCAAATATCACCATGCATTGCAATATAGAATATGAATGCCACCAGGTTACAATAAATATAACCAAAACGTTATTTCTTGACTTAAAGCTTTCGTGACTGCAGGAATTCATATTCTTTGGGTCTTTCGGTAAAGTCACGTAGATAGGTTCAAAGAAAATAACAAGCGGTCGTCAACAGGAGGACGACCGCTTGCGTTGCGATCGAAACGTCGTAGTTTTTCGTTATTTTCTTTGAACCTATCTACGTGACTTTACCGAAAGATCCAAAGACAACGTTATTTGTTGTTGACAATTCACGAACATCTTTCTTGGATACCTGCGGGTTTAAACGTTTAAATCGGCATTTCATTGATTTATCGCCTTGGAACACAAATCCAAAGACAATACAATGCATACAAATCTTGATGAAACAGATGTTCTGCTTCACGATGCACTCAACACATCAACACTTGATGCGCGCACACACTTATCACACACACTCGGCCTGTGTGTCCCTTCAGGAGTAGCTGAGCAAGGATGACTGGCAAAAAACGAACGATACCCCAATTACTGGCACTTCATGGAACTAGAACTCCACGTATTAAAATGCTGATCAACACCGCTGGGCTATCCGGGTTTGGTTTCAGCTCAGTCTGGGACAATGTACTCATACTTAATCGATTAATTTGTGCAAGAACTCCTGCAGACATCAAGCTGCAGTGAGTGCTATGTATCAGTGTAAACCCCTTTATGTTAATATTACATACGTTTAAGTGCATTGTCACGGCTGAAGGGGTGGCACAATTATTAGTGCGCTGCACTCGGAAAGCAGTGACCCGAGTTTGACACCTGGCGATGGCTATCATCAGTGCTGAGCGATATCTGAATCAGTCCCGAGCTGCTCTTTACCAACCGGCATTGACCAACAGTGACGTACGGTAAAATAACCCTCACGACCCGCATGGCTCGTGATGCCCTCATCCAGCAGTGGATTGACAAAAGGGCTGCATGCCAATTTAGGCATTTTTTGGAGTGAAATAAGTGTCCGCCAGCACATGAATGGGGTACACAGGAGTAAGCCACGCCACTGCATTCACACAACACAAGCAGATTCAACTTTTCCAGCGAGTACCTCGCGAGCAATCGTACGCAGCGCTCACCTCAAAACGGTGCTCGATGTGGGGTAGGATCGTCTCCAGGAGGAAGGAGGCGTTGTGGCGAATGAACTTCTTCTTCTCGGGGTCCTGCTCGCAGCGCAGGCTGTAGTCCACATGCTGCACGGCCACCAGGATGATCTCGATCAGACCATCCACCAGGACCATGTGCAGCTGAAACACAAAGAGGACGGCGGTTTGCAAAGTTAAACCTTAGAGTGGCCTGCTGGCTCAAGAGGACATGCTGCACAGCCACCAGGATGATCTCGATCAGACCATCCACCAGGACCATGTGCAGCTGAAACACAAAGAGGACGGCGGTTTGCAAAGTTAAACCCTGGGGTGGCCGGCTGGCATAAGAGGGCAAACGCAATGTCATAGAGCACTAAACGGATACTACTGAGAGACTGGTTTCAAATATGGGCAATCGCGTATGATCAAAGCGAGTGTTGTAAGGTTGATGTTCTAAGCCAGGTTTCTCAAATATACTGAGTCTCAGCCCACCCAATAAGTAATGACTGCATACAAAAAAAACCCATCATAAAATGTCGTGTTTCACACAATTCGGCTTATTCCAGCTGAAAATTGCAATTTCAGTTTAACTGACAAATATGATGAACCTTCCCTACAGGGCATAGGTGTGCCACTATTGTGATTAAATAAGTCTATTGAAGTGGTTTTAGAGAGTTGGGTGATGTCATCATCTGAGGTTGTTTTCTGACAGGTTTGTGCACTGCTGTGGGAGTTTTATTCTCATGTAATGTTTTATTTACATTACATGAGGATAACACAATTGAAACTGGACAAAACATTAGATGAGAGATATAAAGTCATACACATAGATGGAAAAAATATTCATCATCTAAGATATGCTGACAGTCATGATTACATTATTACAAATGCAATTTGATGTATTATGAGCATAAGAATAGAATCGATTAGGTAGAAATGTATTTGATTAACCGATGCTTCAATACACACCTAAAATTTCAAGAATAAACTGACAGCTGCCCGTGTGGAATACATAAATTGCATCTAAATACGAGTGCGATGGGGCCGACGGCAATGCGGCTGCGCCGTTTGCACTGCGTCCGTACTTCGGCCATGTAGAGTTTGAGTCCATCCTCCAAGAAGGACAACAGCTGTTTGGTGAACGCCACGATAGTGTAGCTGAGATTGACCCAGCAGTCTTGGCCTGTGTACTGGGAGAAGTTCGAGATGCCACTGGACATCATTTCATCCTTCAGTTTCTGCAGGGCTTGTGGAGTCATCAAGTTCATCTGCCTCCACATTTCCTCCTATGAAAAAGGGAAAAAAAAAAGAAATGTAACGCATTGTAAACATGTTGCACGTAAAGACCATTTTTGTCGTATGGGCTGTTTGGCTCTTCTAATTTTATCACAGAGATATTCTGCCGAGGCAAGTTTTCAGCCAGATATGGTTTAGTAATTAGAGGTTAATTTGGAATAAATCAGCCATCATCGATTGTTTTCAATTACTCCCTTACAGTGCTGGAGGCAATCGGGAAACATTTGTTTTCAAAATGGCTGCCTGTAATGGCAAGCACAATAAGACGTATGTTATGAATACTTTGACAATGGGTCAAATCAATATTGGAAATACAGACTACAAAAAAATATATCAATCGTGAAATAATACATGAGTAATAGTAGCTTTTTTCCCTTTTAACTGGTACAAAACCGACACCTTAATAAAGGTGTCAGTTTTGTACCAGTTAAAAGGGTAAAAACCTACTATTATATTTTGCCACTGGTAAAAGAGATCTCATAGAATACATGAGTACTTGCAGAGTAAAACCATTAAACGAAATGTACACAAATTTGAAAGAACCAAGAATATAAATTTGAAATAAAGTACATCGGATGTTTTTAAATTTATAAAATGCACAATTTATTGACGGTGGTGGAACAATCAAGGAGACAATGTGCGATCTCCCAGTGTAAACATTTAATAAAACTAAATCACAACCAACAGCCAATTTTCTACAAATAAGTTTTTATACTATATTCTTGGTTCTTTCGGTAAAGTCACGTAAAAGGGAAACAATAAAATAATAAAAATATAAAACAATAAAATTATCACGACGTTTCGACTGCAACACAAGCAATCATCAACACAAGCAATCGGTAAAATCACCTTTTACGTGACTTTACCGAAAAAAACAAGAATATGAATCCCTGCAGTCACGAAAGCTTTAAATCAAAAGTTTTTATACTGTTTGAAAAACAGGTGATTAAGTGAGCGATTTAAAATGCAGCCAAAAATATTTACCAAACACATGTTACAATGGAAACAATTGCATAATTGATGATGCTAAATTCCATAGGTGCGTTTTGATATTTGCGGTCACTGCATCGCACACTTTTATATGCGCTTCTGCGGCCGTCTGGAACTCTCTTCCTTCCAATATTAGGCCACTGTATTGAAAATTAATGTCTCTAGAACAGCTTTCTTTGTTTAGTTTGTTGTTCTTCCCCCGCAGTTGGCTACATACGGTGCAAATGAAGTTCAACATACACACATTCTGCTGGGGGCACCAACAAAACCAATTATTGTTCAGGAAGACAATTTTCTTTTGCTGTTATCCGAGATGCAGAATCAACGCAAGCTGAGAGAGTGGCGCGCAGCAGTCCCCTTACAGAGTTTCGGTGCTTGGTCGCCTCAATGATGATGTCCTTGTAGCTTTGAAGGGCAGCCTTCATGTCCTTGAACAGCAGAGACTGCAGTGTGAAGGTGAGATCCAACCCAATCTCACTGAGCTGCACGCCACAGGGAACGCACGCAACAACGCATGTGTTCAATTAAATTTGTGCTTCTTACAGGAGGAATGTGCTGAATTAATAATTCAATTATCAGGTTATAATAACCATTGACGTAATTTACTCCAGAAGACATTTTGCATCGCAAAATGTAATTGGCGATAGATATATATTTTAATTATTGCACTTGTACAAATAATTGGTCAGGAAATAAGAAAAAAATTAGTGCTTTATAGTGATATTTTTTTAAACGAACAATATGATTATCGCGGACATTATATTGTATAATGTAGAGTATGAGCATATTGCGGTAACTCTGGCTGAGACCTTAAACTCTCAATACTTGGGAATTTGGGTTTAATCATAACAAAATAAATAAGCATACAATGTTTCCTTTACACATCAGCCTCTCCAGAGGAAAAAAATAAGGTATTTTTTCCACAACCGAACAGCCACACAGCCTTCTGGGAGTGCATAATTTCAGTAGCATCGATTTCAAGGCAATCAAACTCTGGAGGGGTTTCTTAGGTGGCTATCTGGTTTCAATCCAAGATTCTCAGCCCTTTGTGCCACTGAGAGCATCTCTAGAAACATCGTTATTCTCCGTACCTTTTCGCAATGCCTCTTAGCCACGGCCACGCACTCAGCTACAGTGGAGAGGCTCTCCTTGCTGTCAAACACCTGTTTGCAGAACGCCCCAGCGAACATCTTCATCGCAGAGCGTGACCACACCACAAAAGCTGAAACGAGAAAATTACATTTGTTTTTCAGCTTAGACACTCAGCACCTTTCAACAAGAATTAGGTTTAAGAGAAAAACATACTTAAATGACAAATGGAGTATCGCTAGCTTTGCATATTTAATTTAGTGTTTTTGTAATGCAGACCTTTTGAAGATTACAGAGAGCAAAACCCTTTGCCACAAACAATACAACACCACCCATTTGGTGGTCTCACACCGTTTGAGACGAGGCTCAAAAGAAAGCTGTCTCTGGTGTGGACCAATACGTTTCAAGGACAATGCATATACTATCAGAGTGTGTTTTTTTGCATTCTGACCACAAGTATTGTGGTTAATGTAGACATGATTCCTTGTAAAAAAGGTTTCAGTTTTGTTGCCAGAAAAAAGGGGAAAAACCTATTCTTATATTTTGGTCCTGGCAAAGGAGGTCCCATGATGCTGTATATTTGTGGACTCAAACACGGGGAAGTGGGTTTCGTAGAGCATTTCACTAACCACTGCGACAGTCTTCTTGGTTCTTTCAGTAAAGTCACGTAGAAGGGAAATAATAAAAATAAAACATAATAAAATACAATTCTCACGACGTTTCGGCCACAATGCAAGCAGCCGTCCTCAGGTGAAAAACAGGTCTGTCGGAAAGACAGCGTCTGAATGAACAACACCAAGCTTGGCAGCGTATATTTAAGCTGGGTTAGGGGAGGAAGGGTGCCTTGACAGCGACAGTGCCCCTCTTGGTTTCAAACAAACAAAAAGACAAACTCGCTTCCAACATTGACAACACTATTTCATGACAGAATGAAAAAAACGGGAGGCACTTAGAGAAAGGTTCAAAAACTCAGAGCGGAACCCAGCAGGAAAGGAATGAGGGGGTGGGGGGGGGGAGGCAGCCGTTTGTGCCGGCGGAAACCGGGTGCGGCAGCCGACGTGGTGGCCGTACACGAGTAGCAGCCGGAGTCGGCAGCGAAATCCCGCTCGAACTCGCGTGCCGTGTCCAGCAGGCTGGTGAAGAACACGTTACAGAGCTTGTTGATGTAGAGCAGTGTGGAGCCCTCGATGCGCAGCTGCCGCGTCGCCGTGTGCACCGCAGCCTCGCGGTTCTTTAGGAAGAGCTCGCACGCCTGCGGTCCCGGGGGAAAATATATATATATATTTTTTACGACAAATACGACGCAGGGGTGGTGTTGGTTACGAGGACTTGTAGAGGTGAGCGGGTGGCTCAAAGGGTTTAAGCCGCCACCGCTGAGATCCTGGGTTAGAATGCAGCCAGCCACCCTTGATGAAACTCGTTTCTCAAGTGTAGAAAAGTAGACTGTCTCAGCCCAGTCATAAAAAATGCACGATAAACTATAATACATTTTTATTCATTTGTCCAATTCCACATCTGAATGTTTAAGTTTAATTTACACGTGAAAAAATACTCTTTGCAGAGTATATATACGAAAAGGCATACCCCCGAGTGAGGATATAGGAAAATATTCGAGCGACTTTAGAAGTTGCTGAGAAATCTGCCGTGACCATTCCCCGACACAGGGTGGTGCACTGCTCGGTGTGGCATTCCAAATGGGAATGTCTTTGCCTCATGGCATGGAATAGCGCAAGTGAACTGTGGGACATAATGGCAGAGACCTTAGTTGACTGGCCGAGGCGGATGAGCTGGCAGACAGCGCGCCGTGTTGCCCTCGGGCCACCCCTCAGTGATCGGTCGGGCGACAGTTCAAACACCAGCACGTCTGTCAGCTGTTTCACCCGCTCCTCAACCTTCGCCCTAAATCGTGCACAACACACACACAATGAGTTTAGACTCTAGACCCATCGTTATCCTGTACATAATCTAGGGGCAAATGTTGTTAGAGAGGACCCTTTAACAAAAAAGAGAGGCGCAGGCTGAGGTGGTAGAGTTAGCATCATGCCCGGCTTCATGTCTTCCTGGGAGCAATGATGGCACAGTGGTTAGTGGACTGCATTATGATCTCAGCGACCTGAGTTTGATTCTCGGCCACAGTAAACATTAGTGGCTAGGAATATCCCAAACAATTCTGGACGAATACCCCTGGATAAAAAACCCTACGATCAACACCATGTTATGCAGCATTCATTCGGCAGTGGATTGGCAAAGGACCTTAAAGATCTCAGGAGAACCATCATACTTTCCGATACTAATAGCAATCACTTATAGAGCACGTTACACGATAACTATTCACATTTACTGAAAATATTACCTTATTTATATACAGTAAAACCTTGGATTGTGAGTAACTTGGTCTGCGAGTGTTTTGCAAGACGAGCAATTTTTTAAAATAAATATTAATTTGATAAACGAGCGAGGTCTTGCAATACGAGTAGTACGTGTATACGCTTTGTCTGCCGAGCGTCACGTGATCACAACCGATATACGAGTGCTTTGATATACGAGTGCTTTGGATTACAAACACGTTTCCGGAACGAATTATGCTCGCAATCCAAGGTTTTACTGTATCTATTTAGTCAGCAATTTATATGTTGGATGGCGGCTATTTAAACATTGATGCGTGGTTTGTCTACTAACTTCCAAAACTAAGTGCTTCTTCCGGGCTTTTCCAAAATGCGACTTACACTCTTTATCTATTGCACACAACCACCATTTGATCTGCTGGGTACATCTATGGAATGCTTGCATCACAACAATTTGCAGAAATATTTGGCCGCAAGTCAATGCAGCCAATTGCGTTGCCTTGGCAACGAGAATGTCACACTCACCTGAGCTGTTTTACAGGCAGAGTGGTGGGCTTGTCTTTCAAATACGCTTTAACTGCAGGGGATAACAATACAAATGACAATTAATAGTAGGGCTCTGTATTCTCTCATGTATGTTTAGTACACGTGTAGGCGAACACCATCAGGTTCACATTCATTGCATTTACAACAAAATATTTGGCAATAGCAACATGCCTGTGCGCACTTTGGATATAATGAAACAATTACAGGAAGGCTTTGCAAGACATTTCCTCAAATTGCATAGTATATACAAGTTTCATGGTGTTCACGTATCACACACACAACACTAATAGCATCTGTTGTACTCAATTCCAAGTAAAGTTATATTAAATCACAAACAGATAATGTTTGGGCTGCTGCTGGATGCACTTTGAAAAACACAGAACCGAGACTGAATGTATTAGCTCACTTTCCTAATGTTGACGTTAATTTGTACACAAGTTTTGAACATTTCCATGCACACCAAAGTAAACGAAAACTATTTTTATGTAACCAGATTAGGCCCGCTGAGTTATGTAGCTCTTTGTCAGAAGCAACCTGGCCACAAATAATAGCCCAACGAAGTGGCTTATCACGTGGAAATGTATAGCAGCCAAATACTTGAAGCGCATGTGTCTAAATGTGGAGAGAAAAACCGGAGGACCTGGAGAAAAATCCACGCGACCACAGGGAGAACATGCAAACTCCAAATATACAGGGGTTAAAAGGTCGGGTTCAACCTTAATCCACAACCTCCTGTATAACAGGTGAGGTAGTTAACATCTCACCACTGTGGCGATTTGACTGCGTTCCAGTCGAATCCCTCATAAAATTGAGTCTCAATAAACTGGCCTAACCAACTTTTTCGACATATGCTTGAGCACCATTGCCAATGCAGTGCCTTTACGTCTCGCAGGAAAGGCTTGCGTTGATGGTTCCCGGCTAAGTGCGACTCACGTTTATCCAGGAGGTCGACCGCCCCCTCAAAGTCGCGCTGGGCGATGCACACGTCCAGGTCTTCAGGCAGCTCCTGAATCCACTCAAGGGATAGGTTCACTGCCTCCTCCTGCGTTGGACTCTCCGCCGGCTCGTCAACTTCGAAGGCTGGAGGAAATTGTGTGTGGTGAAATAATGGAGAGGGAACACAACACACACACACGCATGGTCATAGTCACACAAGGCAGTAGCCAGGAATATAAACTTAGCGACTCACTCTCAAGGTCAACATAGAGGTCGTTATGGCCAATGATACCGATAGTACCACACCTCATTGCTGATTAATGTTTTGTGTTAATGGGACAGCATCCGATGTACAGTCGCTATGTAAAATCTGCTCTTACAGTATCCCAGGATCTGGCGTTAGGTCTTCACTTTGTCAAAAAGTTGATTCAACCTTCAATAAACATTCTTACTCACTCAACATTGCCATTATTTGGCTGTAAGTTGTCCCCTTGTTTATCAACTTCTGGGTGCCCACTCCAATGCATGCCTCGGTAACCTGCCTTTGTCCATCCTGCACGTTTATCACCCGCATCTACCCCCTTCCCCTGACAGCATCTTCTATGCTTTCTTGTTATGCTCTATTATTATTATCTTCTGAAGTTATAATTAGCTGTGTGTATATTTATAACCTTTCTGTAAGACCAACATAGAGTTGCAATGGTGAACCCTGCTTATACAATAATATTATTATATCTGTGGCATAAAAGACATGGCATAAAACATGAATGCTTATATGCAATCATAGTCAAGCGTTAACACAAGCGCAGGAGTGCAGTGACACAAATTTACAGCCACACACCAATACAGTAATATACATGCCAAGCTACATATACACAAAACAAATACTCAAAACAATTGTTAATGAGACTGCCTTGAAAGTAAAAATTTATAATAGGCAATGCTTCGAGCAAAGGCCCTTCTTGGTAGCACATAACTGTGAAAAAGAGCCATTGCCCATAAGATCATCCATTGTTTCCTTTTATGGCAGTATTACTGACTAATGTGTTGATTTTGTCGTTAATTTTGCTGGTGCACCGCTGACAAAGCAACATCACCGAATAATTTGTTCACTTGCACGCAATGATAAACAAGGGCATGACACGGTCCCATAGTTACACGCATAAACACGGACACGTTCAAATTACAACACGTGTCTAAAAAAACACGGAGAGGCTTTCGGCAACGTGGTGGAACGGAATATTGCCGGGAGGCGAGACACATACGGTTCGCTGGCGAGTCAGGGGTTTTTGGAGACATGGGCCTCTCCTCCTCCTTTTTCAGCTTGTCACTCGCAGCTTTGCTCTTCTTGGTCTCGTCGAGGATATCCAGCCACTCTTTCTGCGGAAGACGTGAGAGACAAACGCAACATCACAATACGTACGCTGGGCCGTCTGGAATGCACAAAATGTATTTGTAGATAATCGTTTTCTCTGGCTATCACATGCAGGCTCAGCATTTGTTATCATTAGACTGTCTGGGAGGTTTCAAGTGAATTAAGCCTTACAAATGATGGCAAGCAATATTATTCCACTGCCACTGTTTTCGGAGACACATGGCGTCTTTGTTTCAGCTAAATTGTGGGTCACCCTTTTTAAAAGAAAACACTTACACCTTAGACAACATGCCGTGCAGCTTGCTGTAATGATGTGTGATGCATCTTGGGCAAGATTATATATGCACACTATCTTATACCATGTGTAATGGGTTCCGGAGACACTTGTAGAGGTAGCTTCTTTATTACAATACCACACTCCAACAGTCCTGATACTCTGTTACAGCCTAGGGACACAGCCTAGGGACACAGCCTACTCTGGCTACGCTCTCGGGTCCTCCGGCTACAATAACCCTAGGGGAGGCTACCTGACCCGACCCAGCCAAGGTGCGGGTCTAGACTCTGGCTTCCTTGGAACTCGCCCTTACAAGGACGTAGAGCCGGGAGTCCCAGAGTCCCACCACTGGCCCGCACAGCGTCCTGGCCCTGACAAGGACAAGCGGGGCAAGGGGGTCCAGGGTCCTAAGCTGGCTGGTCTTGGGTCTTGAGCTGCGACTGGTCCCGATCGGCTGGGGAGGTCCCCTTTTATGCCCCTTTGCCCATCGAGGGGAGGCGTTGCGTGGGATCATAGATCCCCCGCAGCCCCCCCCTCGGCGATACGGGGCACCCTTGCAGATGGACCTCGTCTACCACTGCGGGTAAGCGTGGCCCATCTAGGGCACTACACATGCACCACTGATACTTGTACAGTGTTGAACAACAATCCACCTTTATTTTGATGTTTTCTGCTTGAAATATGCGGCAATCCGGGTATTTCATCACCTTGAACATGTCCTTCATGGCTACACAGGGGTGAAATAGTAACTGAATTAGGCTCTCTTACAAGAACACAAGAGCTCAGTTATGCATTGTTAATTATAAAATATATTAATTAAAATCTGTTCTGTCAGTATCAACATCAACTTATTCTGAAAACACCATCAACTTTGTATTGATGTTTCCTCTAATGTGACGGAGAACAATGTGAGTTATAATAGGCATGGGCGTGTACGTCTTATCTGCAAGGTCACTACAAACCACAATGTTAAGTCGTTGTATTTCCAATCTTTGCTCTGAAAATTACACGCATTTATAGACAGTGATTTTATTGTTTCATCCTATGTTACAATAAAAAAAATTGCTCTTCTGAATGTCAAAATTCTTTCCTTGTTAACAAAAATGTTAATTGACAATATTGTCAACAAAACTAGTTGCAGCAAAATACAATGTCAGAATTCACAATGAATCTCAAGAAATGGTGCATATTAAATGCATGAATCAAAATTAGTCAACTCTCGCTTACACATGGATGATGTTGGTTGCAAATCAACTGTGCTTGTGAATAAAATTATCCGCATGCATGCTGGTTTAATTATCCGCTGTTCATCACTCTACGATGGTCATTACCCTGGCTTATCGAGTGAATGAGCCTTGTGTGGCTTTGGGAAGTGCTTACGTCCATTATCCTTGACGTTGATGATGGCCAGGTCTCCAAGCTGGTAGAGGGAGTGGTAGCGGTAGCGGACAGCTCCACGCCTGGGATTTCAAAAAAGAGCGCACACAATGAGTTTGATTCACTACAACAAAACCCGGGTTCACAATCCACGTGTTGGCGAAATATTCTCTTTCGTCATATCCTCGGGCCAAAATCTTACGATATAAATCGCAAAGGCCATGTATTTCAGCTATTCTAACAAGACGTAAAATAGGCCCTGCATTCAGCCTTCTATGAAGGTTTCCTGTAATTGACACGTGCATTACAGGCATTAAAGACTGCTGTGGAAATAACTCAGTTGGCAATAGTGGCCAGTGCTCCTTGCCTTTATTAACTCGCACTGATCGTCGTGGTCAAATAACTCCCATGATCTGCCACAATGTAGGGAGGCCCTCATTTACACAAGACCCACAATGTATTGCGATGCGTGCATTGTGTTGGCAGTGCAACCTGTTGGGCAGCCATGTGGCGATGAGGAGGCAGTCGTTCATGAGGAATGCGTGCACCCTCTGGATCTGGCTCATGGTCTCGGCGTCGTACTCCACCAGGTCCCCGTTGTACACCAGGTACCGGCCGGGCGTCTCCATGATGTCCTGTGTTGCACACGAATAGGAATGGTTATTAGGTGTGGTATTTGGCTGCTATACATTTCCACGTGATAAGCCACTTCATTGAGCGATGATTTGTGGCCAGGTCGCATCTGAAAAAGAGCTATATAGCTCAGTGGGCCTTACCTGGTAAAATAAAATAAGAATGTTCATCATTACACTACTGTACCATTGAAACAGTTTTGCTGCAGTGACAGAGAAAGATAATTATTAATGTAAGGATCCACCATCCCAGAAATGCAATGAATTTTCAAAATTAAAGGTTGTGATTCTATTCAAAGATCAATCTTATTTTTGGTCTGGTTTTCACTGGAATGTAATTGATAAAATACATGAAAATAACAGCAAAGTAAGCCGAGAGGTACACCACTTCTTTCTCCCGTCCCTCTGGATTAATAATAATGTTGACAATCGTCAGTTTCTCTGCTGGGTCTTCATGTGGCTCCACAGACCAATGCGGGAGCACAGTGCTGGCTACATTGGATGCAGAGCTACTTGCCCAGTAGCACTGATTTGAATGCAAATTTTCATTTTTCGAACCCCATCTCCAACTACACAATACGATTTTTTTTCTAAAACCTGCGAGCCCGCAATTATATCGCAGTGCCATGCGCTGCTAGAATTTCAGTCGGGGATGTTAGCCCTTTGCAGATTTTGTTTCAGGGTGCCTGTGGAACGTTTCATTTGGCACACCTAGCGGTTAAACGATTTAACCATGACTTGTCCAGTGATGCCACCTTTCAGAGGGTCATTCTCTAACATTGGAGTAATGAGTGTTGCAGACAGACAGTTCTCGTAAAATTATCATGAATGCACAACTGAAAAAAAAATCTAAATTCACTTGAAAAAGACCAAATAAGCTAGAAATAATCCCGTGTGATTCATCAGGGCTTATGCAGACACCGAAAAAAAGATCTTAAAAAGATAATCTCATCACTTAGATCAATCTTACATTGTTATACGCAAAGTTCAAATCGATGATCTCAGAATTGCAGATTAAACAGCCAAACATTTTTCCATTAAACAACTCCAAATTCTCTGTTTATTACATAAAATGACAATATAATTTTTGATGTGGAAGAAAAGCGTTGAAAAGTGGACATACCTTACAACCCTCAACCTTCTCCAGAAGGGTGGTAAGGGTCCTTTGTTTCACCTCCTCGGTCTCTTTGGGAAAAGCAGTTGGCTTCTCTTTGGCTGCTTCCTCTGTAAAATGAGCATCCAGGTCAGAAAACTACTTTCTGTACTGCATCCTACAGGCACCTCTCGTTGGCATGTAGTTTGGTGTCTCACACAGGTTCCATTTCTAAAAATATCGGTGTTGCAGCACATTGCCTATGACCAAATCATGCAAGAGTGCAACCCAACCTCAAATTATGGAAGCTACGCCGATTCTGTAATGTGCTTGGATGAGCGACAACCATGGATAAAACAGGTTCTATAGGTTGCTGCGGGGTTATATTGACAGCAGTGCAGAAAAGCTATTGTTGGATTCTACTATGCTCAAGTGTACGGTCAAACAACCTCCGCAAACTATACGGTGTGGGGAGGCCTTCATCTGGCAGTGGATTGGCAAAATGCACCTTGCATACACTGCATGACCCACCATTCGATCATTTGCTAGACAACATTTCGAAATTCCAGTATAAAACCTACTTATCCTGTAGCCCATGTTAACTGCCGTTTCCTCTCTGCAGAAAAAACATAGTATAGGAACCATTCTGAAAAATGCCGGTGTAATATACCGTCATATATATCGTGCTAATTTCAAATTATGCACTTTACACCTCGACCTGTCTGGATAATGACAATAATGACCAATGGTTATTGATGGTCCCAGATGCTGCTTCACGATAAAATCCGTAAGAATCTTAATGCTAAATGCAGTGTGGTGTACGGGTCCTGGGATGCAGCCCTGAATGTGCTCACCCTTATCGGTGGATAGCAGGAGCTGTGTGATGCTCTCCATAATGGTCTTCTGCTCTGTCAGGATGTGGCTGAGCTGGTACATCTCACTCTCCAGGTCTGCGTATATGTTGAGGTTAACACACCGTGCACATGCATCCACCAAGCAAAAAGGAATGCGTAAAAAATCAGTCATCGGAAAATATTAAATGTCTCTGTGATCAATGGGCAAATCGTAATTTTTATTTGTGGCCCAGAGCCACTTCTTAAAATGCCACATTGCTGTGTCTGGTACCAATCTCCCGATCAGAGCCTGAACATGAGTGCCAATGTATTAATGCCAGAATAGGAGAAAGGCACCATTGCCTTCCAGCACATTAGCACCAATTTTATTCACCTTAAATTCAGTCGACCCCCTACTGGGATTTAAACGTGCACCTTTCCAAATGTGAGTATCAAATGCTAACCAGTGCGACATAGCTGGTATAAACCATAGTTAATTTACCATAATTTACTACATTGAAAAGAAACAATGGTCAGTCGAATTCAGTTTTGTGGTATGGTAACTGTGCAATATAGGCTTACTTCCATAAGGTTAGATCATTACTAGTTCAGCACACCGGTGTGTTGGAGGGTTTACTCTCCAACACATCAGTGTTCTGTACTAGTAACGAATTGGCATGTTTTGTTAAGTTGACAAACCTTACTAATTGGTTGTTGGGTGGAAGCGGGTTTAACGACACATTTAAATTTATGCGATCTAACCCAAAACAACTCTATCATGGATATTGGTCGCGAAAGCCTACGTATTAAACAGGCTTACTTACCAACATATTTTGGTTTTATTATGGGAACCTGGTTAAATAATATAATATATAATACATATACACTATGGAAAACGCAAATTGCATCTGAATGAATCTTTAGGTTTCAGGAACCCGAGTATTTTTGTAAATAAAACCTGGGCTCTCGCTTTCCGCCAAATTAAATGTAATACACATCCAAAGTGATTGGATAAAAATGCTGCACAGAGGATACAAGAGATCTCCTTGGCGGTCTCAATGAACTGGTGGTAATTCTTGTAGACATTTTTCTTCAGATTGAGGGCAGTTTCATCCGCGAGGTTTTGGATCCTCTGCCGATGTTCCTGAAGATCACGGTCAGCGTCCGACTGCTGAGACAGAGCCTTCACATCTGGAATGACAATGGAACTTGAGTACAGCTTACCTTACTGATATCCAAGCAGCGACACATACGCATGCGTGCTGTCTGCTCTAATTCAATAGGCAGACATGGTAGATTGCAACGTCTCTCCCCATGCAGACCAATGCCACAGCACGTTCCACCTGGTGTGGGTAACAATTCTGCAATACGGTGCATGCACCGTCACAGCCCTGTTCTCAATCCACAATTGGATCAGAGGGCCTTCCTTCCTGCCCACGCCACAACTGTGGATTTGGCTGCCCACAAAACAACCTTATACCAAATTTTGACTTAAAGCTTGATTTTTATTGTTTTATATTTTATTATTTTATTGTTTCCCTTCTACGTGACTTTACCGAAAGAATCAAGAATAACACATTCCTGCGGAGGGAGCTGGTAGGAACGTTGGGTTGCTGGGTCAATGGCCAGGGTCAACGGCGGCGTGGTGTAATTCCGCAAATATGCCCGACTGTGAGGGTGGGCACAAGCCGGCGTGAGTAGGTTAAACGTTGAGTTTTATAAGGGCACCACGGAGTGACCAGCCCCTCCCCACCCAGCCCCTCCCTGCACGACGGACACGATAATCCCCTGTGGGCTGGTGTAACCAGGAGGTTCCTAGCAGGATGAACCTTATACCAGCCTACAACACATGCTAATCCTCCATTCTCTATCCAGGCTAAAATCCGCTGAGCTTCAGAGACCACCGTACGAGATGGGTAATCATCCCGGGTGCAGTAACAGCTGTCCCAGTCAAGCGGATGACCGCAGTCCTCTTAATAAAGCAACAACACAACATCCCTGGCCTCCACAAACAGATATTAATATTAATGCAGCATTTGTATTCAAGCTGTACAAATGAATGACATTATTGTTATTAATGCAAGAACGTCCTCTACATGGGCCAATGTTTCAGCACCGGTCTTCACGTGTTGATAAACGTTAGCGGTGCAGCAAAATCCACGCACTGTTGTGCTGTATTCTATGCTCCCAGGTCTTCACCAACCCCGCACTAGCCCACCTGGCGGTGCGTATCTGAGCCAATAGGTGGAAATTCCACATTGCCATGACGGGAACCAGTCTCTCCACAATGCATAACGCAGCCAATGTCGAATCCTCTCACAATGCGGTACTAATTTTAATGCATCGAACCCGCGCAGATGATGATGGGCTGCGACAATGAGAACAAACACGACTGTGACCACAATTGGTAACAATTTGACGTGCGCTGTAAATTGGGATCGTAAGCGCCGCTCACTCACACTCCTGGGGGTCGAAGTTAGGCACGATCAGCTGCCGAGCCAACTTGGATGTCTCCGTCATGACTTGCGGTTTAAACCGATATCAATCACGACCCTGTATCGACACGGACGAGTACAATAATAACACAATAACAACGATGAGGTGAGCTTAGCGGCAGCGTCAAAGGGCGCGAGAGAGGCGAACACAGGAAGAAGACGAGCCGAGTCAGGGGCCTAAGTGCGCATGCGCGAATCGAATCGCGGTCGACATTCGTCACGTTCGGAATCGATTTTTTGAATCGATTCTTGTGGGTGTGTTGTGTGTACGATTTGGCTGCTCATTCAGAGGAGGAGTTGGAGACGCTGCTGCTGAGACTGGAGCATGCCACTAAGAGGTGGGGCCTTACCATCAGCCCCAACAAAACTAAGCACCTGCCTGGGTATTTTGTACCATCGGACACTCCACCCCCACAACTCCCAATCGGTGATGGGGCAGTTGTGGAGAGAGTGGAGAGTTCCCCATACCTGGGCAGTGTGCTTATGACCGGCTCCAGTCTAACAGCAGAGGTCTCACTCCGAATCAGTCGAGCGGCATTATCTTTTCATCGGTTGCGTAACGCTGTGTGGAAGCTTCAGGTCTTCTCGGCCATAGTCATTCCTTCCCTTCTCTACACTTGCGAAACGTGGACCCCCCTGGCCTGCCTACGATCCATCCTGGGTTTAACCAGGCTGGATTGTGTGAGGAGCTCACAAATCCTTGAAAGATCTGGACAAAGTCCCATCGGTGAGCTCCTCCGGCAGGCAAGGCTGCGTTGGCTGGGGCATGTAGCCCGCATGCCCAGCCACCGCATTCCAAAACAGCTTTTGTTCGGCCGGATCGAGGGGGCTAAACGGGGGTGGCACAGGCTAGAGAAGAGATGGAGTGATGTGTTACAGGAGGACGTGGAGCTGAGTGGACTTGCCGATGACTGGTACCAGCGGTGTCAAGATCGGCCTCAGTGGAGGAGGCTCGTGAAGGACGCTACTGGGCAGTTGGAGGCAGTCGCCCTCCAACAACAACGGAGGGCGGAGGAGCGACGCTCACAACAACGAGCGGAGCGCCGGGTGGCTAAAGCACAGCAAGTTGGCACAGTAGGGGGCACAGGTGGTGCATCAGCCAGTCATCTCAGTCATCTCAGTCAATCAACCCGTGGCACCTGCTGGGTCTGCCCCGTGACCTCCTGCCAGCGGGCGTTCGACACTCCACGTGGCCTTAACGTGCACCTAGCCTGGCACAAGCGTCGTGACGTCACCGCCACTTAGTGGCGAACGGTGGTGGTTGTTGTTGGTCTGCTGTGTGTGTACTTCCTGGAGTGTTTATAATCTTGTTATGTATATAGTCTACTGTTAGTCTCTGCATTGCATGTACTGTTAATACAGTCTGTACTGTTGGTCTACATTGTACTGCCCGTGTACTGTGCGTCTCGTGTATACAGCCAGTACTGCTGGTAGTGTGTACTGCATCTACTGTTCTGATGGTTCACTTTGTACTGCCAGTACTGCTGGTTTGGTGTGCACTGTTTCCACTGTAGTTGGTTCGCTTTGTACTGCCAGTACTGCTGGTTTAGTGTGTACTGTTTGTATTCTCTGTACTGTTTGATTCGTACTGCGTGTACCTTGTCAGGTTTGCACTTCCTAGTTGTTAGCAGTGGATTGGCAAGCGCCCGTCGGATATTTTAAACACTTTAGTTTAACACGTAGACTTTCGCGACCAATATTATTCATGATAAACGTTTTTGGGATAGATCACGTTATTTATAAATGTGTCGTAACCCTCCACCACCCGACACGGCCAATCAGCAAAAAAGTATCACGTTGACAAAAGACAAATAGTTCACTACATTTTATAATTAGTCATACCTCGGTATACGACCGGTTTGAAATACGTCGAATTTGGTATACGTCGTGTTTTGACGATAAAAAATGTCTTGGGATACGACGTCTTGCTTGGGATACGAGGCGCTTGCGAGAACTTGTATGGGTCGGGATGGGTCACCGCGTACCCGCGTAGACCCCGTTCACGACTCTTCCTCGCCACCATCCTCGTAGGCAATCAACTCTTCTTAGCAGGGTAAAGTGACGTTAATTTTTGTTAAATTAAATTTTAATTTATGTAAGCATTTATTTTAACTTATGTATGCATTTTAGTAATAAGTAGTGTCTAAATTATTTTATACAACCCCATTAATGTATAATATGCCATATAAAATATAATTTCTTATACTCTGGAACTGATTATTTCCTTTCCCTTTATTTATGGGAAAAATGTTTGGTATACGTCATTTTCGGTATAAGTCCTACCTTCTGGAACGTATTAACGACGTATACCGAGGTACCACTGTATTAGCACGTTTGGCTCCGTACGATGCGAGAGAAATTCACCATACGTAATTTTTGGAACACGTTTCTTTCCTCAACCACAGTGGAGTCGCATTGTTAGTCTTTTATAATGACTATGCTATTGTATTCCCCCCAAGACAGATACATAAATACTTGCACACAGTCATGTAAAGTTCACATTGTATTTTTAATGTAAAAAAATTACCATACAGTGTCAGTCGTGATATTTCAATATACTCGCATAGGTATAAACAGATGGTAAAATTATCAAGTGTCTAGTGCTAATACTAACAATAAGACAGTTTTATACAAACATGTTAAATCCAGAACTACTGGCTGAGAACCTAAAACAAATCTGCAACATCATTTCAAATGTCATCATATGTACACTTGCAAAAGTGCACCTTAGTAACAAACACTGCATTTTATATTACACAAAAACAGCATTCAGTAAAAAAAACCTGGGAACAATTCTACAATTTTAAAGTTAGTAGGCTGAAATGCAATTCATGATTACTGCCCAAATAGCATGCCCATTACAATCCAAGAACAAATAAATTTTTGTATGAGCATGGCAGCACCTACAGTTATCACTGAGGGATATCTTCTGGATAAACCCTAGTTGTCTCGCCTCCCAGCCTCCTCCTATGCATGTGAGAGTGGTGGGATTGGCAAGGACAATACATAATTTATTTGTAGTTGCAAGCGGAGGATCTTCTTTCGGATTGAGAAGCAAAGGAGGTGGCACTCACTGGAGCTGGTTATAGTCGTGCAACCACGTAGTTACGAGTTTAGGAATTGGGTACAAGTTTCTCTTCGGATATAATCGAGTGAAGCCGTATCCCATGTTCGCACATAAACTGTGTATGTATTGCTGTACATGGCTTTGAACGTCAAGGAGTGTATACATCATCGTAGCTTTGCTCTCTGGCTTGGGTCGCTCGGTTGTTTCCAAGCCTTTGCTCAGGCTCGGATCATAAAAATGCTGAGCATGGCTGTGACAGTGCTCCGAGTTGGCTCAAGTTAAGCATGGCTTTGAGCAAGAGCCGTGACGAAGAAGACAGGTACAAGTGAGCATTCTATTTGAGCCCCACCTACACATTTAGCCATGGGAGAGGAATGGAAGATTGATCAGTTCGCTTCTTAACATATGCTGGGTGACACAGGGACATCCCTATTCGTGATTAGAGTAGTGAGAATTATTTTATTTTATTATGTTTTATTTTTATTATTTTATTACTTCCCTTCTACGTGACTTTACCGAAAGAACCAAGAAGATGAATCCCTGCAGTCACGAAAGCTTTAAATCTAAATTTAGAGTAGGTGATTTCCAAAGCCTACAACAGTTAACTTTTATTTGTGTTAATAACGTAATAATAAGTTACGTGCATAACCATCCTAGGTAATTATCGAATGAGTTGACATCCTTCTACCGTGTTATATAAACGTTAACAAAAAATCTACAATGAACATGCAAAAGATAATAAATTAAAACTCCATTTACACACTGTTTACGTGTAAATGTTGGCATGAACAGTGCAACAACAACATTCGCCACTAAGTGGCGGTGACATCGCCACGACGCTTGTGCCAGTGCACAAGCGTGAATCCACACGTAATCCTACAGATGAAAGGTAATAAACAGTCGGTCACTTTACATGAATGTTATTTCATATTGCAAGTCATTTTTTAGCTTTGACCTCTGCATAAGTAATGTCTGGGTACATCACAGCATAAAAGGCAATACTTTAATGTAACTGCCTACTGCATCATCTATATATATAAAATCGTTCATGTCTGTCTGTCTGTGTGTGGACTTTGGCCCATACGCACTTTCATTGGACGGCGGTTGCCCCTGGCAACGGCTAGCCACGCCTTCGCCGCTTTCATTGGACCTGGCAACGGCTAGCCACGCCTTCGCCAAGGGCTGCAGTTTCATTGGACGGCGGTTGCCCCTGCCAACGGCTAGCCACGCCTTCGCCACTTTCATAAGCTCCGTATTTAATTAAATAATAGCCATTACACAGTATTGTTGGAGCGCTGAGGGGGGGGGAAGGAACGCCACCCGTACCCTGCCTCTTCCAAGCCGACAATTTTAGGCGAGGCCGCAGGCTTTGCACGCTACTAGGCCTCGACACCCACCACGCCACTCTGAGGTAAATTCATCAAAGTTTTTCCTACTCTTCACTACACCCCCACCACAATGTGTGCTATTAATATTACTTTTAAACCCAACGCGCCAACAATCGATTACTTTAATGTTCACTGTACAAATACTCATTAAGCTGGGTGAGCGTACTGCCAGTCTATCATGTACACTGTAGCCTGCTTATTAAGCTCGGTGAGCGTACTGCCACTCTATCATGTACACTCTAGCCTGCTTATGAAGCTGAGTGCGTGTACTGGCAGTCTATAATGTGGACTCTTGCCTGGTTATTATAATCGATTCTTTATATGTTCTTTGTACAAACAGTCATTAAGCTGCTTGAGCGACCCCAGTTCGATTCCAACTCACGCCCACCACCGCTGACGATTATTAGAAACGGACCTGGCCCTCCCCTAGGTCCACTCAGCCTCAAAAGCGTAACTGCTGTCGTGTGTGAACATCGTCACTGGGGAGACAAAGGCGGCGGGGCATCGTGGATCCAAGTCCCGGGCGAAGCCGGGTCATGTGTATGTGTGTTTGTGTTTATGTCTATGTCTGTGTGTCTCTATGTATGTGTGTATGTATGTGTATGTATGTGTTTGTGTGTATGTGTGTCTGTATGTATGTGGGTTTTTTTTATGTCTTTATGTGTATGTCTGCGTGTCTCTATGTATGTGTGTATGTACGTGTGTGCATGTGTTTGTGTGTATGTATGTGTGTGTCTATGTATGTGTGTGTCTATGTATGTGTGTGTATGTGTGTGTATGTATGTGTGTTATGTGTCTGTCTGTGTCTGCATGTATGTGTGTGTGTATTGTGTATGTGTTTGTGTGCATGTATGTGTGTGTTTGTGTGTATGTGTATGTCTGTGTGTATGTGTTTGTGTGTATGTGTGTGTATGTATGTGTGTGTATGTGTTTGTATGTGTTTGTGTGTTTACGCTCGCATTACACAAATGTGTTGCTGGTCTAAGGCGTTCCTCGCACAGCATTGCCGCTTTATTATTTCAGTCGTTTACTGCCTTACGCACCCTGAAAGTCGTGTGTGTCTGCAGCAAGCGCGTGTATGTGTACCTATGGACGCGCGCGCGTGTGTTGTGTAGGGGGAACGGTAGTGTAGTGCTTAGCGTGCTGTCTGTGTCTGTGTGTGTGTCTGTGTGTGTGTCTGTGTGTGTGCGTGTGTGGTGTGTGGGGAGCGGTAGTGTAGTGCTTAGCGTGCTGTCTGTGTGTCTGTGTGTGTGTGTGTCTGTCTGTGTCTGTCTGTGTGTGTCTGCGTGTGTCTGTGTGTGTGTCTGTGCGTATGTGGTGTGTGAGGAGCGGTGGGTGTAGTGCTTAACGCTACGCTGCGCTACCAACCCGGCGAACCGAGTTCGATTCCCGCTCACGGCCACCACCGGTGACGATTATTTGAACCTCCCCTAGGTCGACTCAGCCTCAAACGAGTAACCGGTGTGGCGTATTAACATCGGCACTTGGGAGACAAAGGCGGCCGGGCGTGGTGGATCCAAGTCCCGGGCGAAGCCGGGTAGTACAGCTAGTAATTCACATATATTTACAAAGCAGGACTTGGCAGACACTGTGCAAGTTAGTTAGGGGAAGTGAACAGCCTTATAAAAAAATACACTTGCAGATAAATATTTTTCAAATAAAAAAATGTTTTTCAAATAGGGAATGTTTATAAGATATGCGAATTAATTATTTCATTGTGGACCTCCTATGATGTGAAACACCGATCTCATAATGAGGCTGTCAATGTGAGGACTGACGTCCACAGAATTGGTCTTTGTTATTGCGGAATGGTATGAATGGTGCATGATGTTATTGGAAGGTAGAGCATATGGTTATAATCTGACCTTGTGGGGAAGGGTAAAAAAAGTTTTCCTCTGACAATGATGGAAAGCAAGCGTTGACGGTGACATTCTTGTAAATGTATGGCGTAGTATTTTTTTTTTATATTTACGTGGTAGGTATCAATTCCTAAAAGTTAGTCTCAAGAATTAAAGTTTCAAATCCAGTCCTGGAAGGCTGGTTTTAAATCCAAAAACATGAATTGTATTCCAATAGCATCAGGAAACTCTCCACACATTAGGACAGTGGTTCTTAACCTTGACTGCAGCTTTGCTCCCCCCTTTAGTTCTCCATCGTAAAAAAATGTTCGTTAATACTTTGGTTTGATGAAACAAAGTAGCCGTACTTATGTGCCCGCGATTAATTTGTTTTTCTATGGTTTACCTTCTTTAAAAATCTGGCCGTGTCTCGCACCCCCAGAAAGGGCATCTCGGACCCCCAGGGGGTGCGTGCATCCCAGGTTAAGAACCACTGCATTAGGAGAAATGTGCGACTGTTGAAATGCAATGGAACATACTATTTATCAGTGCTAAGTTTCTCTGGCACTGGACCAACGCTTTAATGGTCAAGGAAAACTATTTATTCTGGCTTGTGGGCAGAAAATACAAACGGATGTTATGACCTGTTGATGAGTAAGTTGAATTGTAGATAAACCTTAAAACAATAATGCCCAGTGTCAACATGAGCTGATGTAATGGCAAACAAAAGGGGAGAAGATACCCAAGTTTGTTCAAGTATTATTGGCATGTCACTTGTTTTGTATCCTGGACATTGTTTGGGGGTTGGGTAATTAAATTCTCAAAATCATAACACCGGAAGCAACAGGAGAGCTTCACCATTCTTTCCCGATGAAGCTGATTGTAATTATCAGCGAAACGTCGTACTCAAAATTTGTAATGCTGTTGATTCTCTCTTCAACACACCGGTGGGCTAAAGAAGTGAATTCTTTTGTCCTTTGAAAAACGTGATACATTTTTTACTGTTTGGCCGTGTCGGGTGGTGGAGGGTTACGACACATTTATAAATAACGCGATCTGACCCAAAAACCTATATTATGACATGCAGTCCTATGAGGTTGCTCTAGAGCTACCCAGTTTCATCAACGAACTGACCACTTCACAAATATTATTCTGATTGTGACAGTATAGTCAGGGTGGTTTAATAACCAGCAGTGTTTACTAATATTGATACTATGGGGGTACTCTTATGGCAAGACTACCTTGTACAAATTTCATACATTTCAACCACTGTCCTAGTGCCTTTATCTGTGTACTTCTACATCAATGTGGTAATCATGATGACATAAGGTATACGTTTATAAATATTAATGTTGTATTCCCAATTTAAACAGCTAGGACTCCCAAGTACCTATACGTGTCACACTTAGCAGGTTGTACTTTGTTCTTCCCACCGCTTGAGATTCTGGGCGACACCTATTTTTATTTTTCATCGACGTGACTTTACCGAAAGAACCAAAGAGTATGGATCCTTGCAGTCACGAAAACTTCAAATCTAGAACTTCCATTTAAGTTGGCAAATGCAACCGTTCCCACCAGCTACTGAGAATGAACCATTATTTCAGAAGAGGCTGACCACAATCAACATTTTACAGACAAATCGGCACTAAAATGCAAAACATGCACAACAATCGAAGCTGTACATATTCTGCACTCGAATACGACAAAATGAAATCCGCACACATACATTCTATACACATTTCTTTTTATGTACACAAAACATGTCTGTATACTTAACTATACACAACTAGCTTTTTTTGCCCGTCCAAGGACGGGTGGATATTGCAGTAAATAATAAATAGAAAAATTTATCAGCTCATGATTATAAATGAGGGGGGAGGGGTGCGGTATGTAGAGTGACTTAATTAAGATACACCTTGAAATTCTTGGTCAGGCCCTCAGTCACTGTGTTATAGTGATGCCACTGCAATGATGGTACTGTGTTTTAAAATGAATGCTGTACAGGAAGACCATGACATGGGCACCACTAAGATCCTGTTTTTGAATGAGTTTCAGCTACCCGTGATCTCAACCTGGCTTTTACTGTCATGAGCAATGGCGGAGTCATGAGCAATGGCGGAGTCAGAATTTTCAGGTCGGGAGGGCAACCCATCCAGCAATGAAAAATGATAGAGGAGTTGTTAGCAAGTAAGGACTTGCCCCTTGTTTTTTATTCGACGCGTGTGCGGCGATGGCGCAGCCATCGATCGAGGGTCGAATTCGAACCGTGTTGTGTGATCGGCATCGCGTTGCTGAAGGTGAATGCCTTCAGGGAAGTCGTGTGCCGTATACGCAACTGCGCACAATTCTGTGAGCTACTTCTAACTGCTTTGCCATTACTTATTGACAATTACGGACTCAAGACTATTGTCCTATCATCTCATAGAGTTCCTGGCACGTAATAATATGCTTCACAGTGGCAGTGGGGGTCGCAAAATGCCGATTTATTACTAATAAACCCCAATGATCCGATCGACATTGGGGATTTCGATCGGATCATTGGGGGGGCACGTGCCACCCCACCCCCCACTGGCTCCGCCAGTGGTCATGAGTTGATGGTCTCAGATCGGTTACCAATGACTGCACAAAAAACATTGTATTACATTGTTCCTTTAATTTTGTTAAATTCAGCTCTTGAGAATTAAACAAAACTGGACTGGCATGTGATGAACACTGTAGTGTATATAAACAGTATTGTGTTAGTGTAGTTACACAGCAGCCTATTGAAATGCCCATCTCTTGTTAAAGCTGATAGCACAATGATAATGAATTGGTAAATTATAAAACAGCAAAAGCAGTACACTGGGGGGACGTAGTAATATCACTCGACGATGCGCTTGATCACAATTTTCAAGTATCAGACACACCGCCTATGTAACTAGGCATGTAAATACTGTACACACCGAGTAATCGATTTAAACTGATATTTGAAATAAATGTTTTCCATTGTGTTGGCGAGAGTTGCTTATTTATGGTTCATGAAAATTGCGTGAAATTGGAGGTGACAAAAACTGTACAAATAATGCATCAAAAAATGAGAAACAATATAAATAACAGTAAGAATGAAATGCACTGCAACTCCAACTTGTGACAATTCATGCTTGAGTTGACACATAAAAATATGTACATTACAGACATGCAAACGCACGTACAAATAAAGTCAAAGATCCTGCATTATAGCTTACAGTGCGGGAAAAAGTATTTTATCCCCTGCTGATTTTGTACATTTGCCCACTGACAAAGAAATGATCAGACTATAATTTTAATGGTAGGTTTATTTGAATACTTATTTCCCTCATTAACATGCAAATCAATGTATAACATTTTTGACATGCGTTTTTCCGGACTTTTTTGTTGTTATTCTCTTTCTCACTGTTCAAATAAACCTACCATTAAAATTATAGACTGATCATTTCTTTGTCAGTGGGCAAACGTACAAAATCAGCAGGGGATCAAATACTTTTTTCCCTCACTGTACTTCTGAGCCAAGTGCTGGTGTGGCCTAACATTCGTGATTTGCTTACCTTATCTACACTTTGCACTTCTATCGTGTTTTTGTATTGTTTATTGTTGTAACATCTGACCCGCCCCTACTGGACGTAAGTAAAACAAAGAGCTTCATAGCTCATCAGATTCTTCCAGTCGAGATATTCAGATTTTGAAAAAAAAAATCTGATGTTTACATACCTCAGTAAGTACTCGATTGACGCTCAGATTGATTAAAGGGTGGCCCAAAACAAGTTCTGATATTGCTTGCTACTGATGTCAGCTGTGGCCGGGAGTCCGATTGCCTGGTTCATAGCTCAGTGCACTAAACCACTGTAAATACTGCTGCCCCCATATACACTCGTGTACATATGTAGAGGAGTAAAATGGGGACGTGACGTCAGGTGTGTCGTTCAGTGTGATGACGTCACGTCTCCTAGGGTACTTAAGGGAGACCCCGTGACGTAAGCGGGGTCACCGTGGGAACGGGTAGAGTAAGAAGGGTGAAGAGGGAACCAGGGGTAGAGAGAGGGAACGAGTAGTGAGTCTGGGGAGAAGCCGGTGGTAGCCATAGAGGTGCTTCTCTCTCCGCTCGGTGGAGTCGGCAGAGTTCACGATCTGACACGAGAGAGAGACCGGAGCTAGCCGGCAGGGACCCGGACTCAGAGTAGGACCCCCCTAGCCCCTGGGAGTTGTGTACCCTGCTGTGTAATATTGATAAGCTTTAATAAACCCTGGCGAAAGCCCTTAACTTACCTCCGTCTTCGAGTACGTCTGTCGGAACTTCTCTACACATACACAAAGAGACATCAATTGGTTTTACAGAAACGTATTAGTAAGAAGTCTATGTGGTGTACGTCGAGTCCACAACTTGCTCCTATACCATCCCACCGGATGTCGTTGTTGGCGGATCCAGAGTTTGCTGGGTGCCAAAAGCTGAATTCGTCCTCGGCCAGCTTGCGCATCTTACTTGTTCGAAATGCAAGACGGCGCAAAGTCCCGTCAGCAAGCGTGTGGCTGCACCGGCGCCGCCTCGGGGTACGGGTTGCCCGGCTCCCGGTCAGGGTGACTTTTGAGCTGGTGGCATCGGAGGTTGTCGCTCTTCTCGAAGCGCTTGCCGCAGAGGTCGCACGCGAAGGAGAAGCTCAGCTCGATGTTGTGTTTGCGCATGTGCCAGTTGAGCGACGCCTTCTGCCGACAGCGGTACCCGCACAGCTCGCACCTTTGAAAACGCGCGCGTAATTGGGAAGGCAAAAAAAAAATGTATTCGCACTGTCCAATGCCCATAGCCAAGATGAACGCAGAACAACGTCTCGCAATGTATGAAGCGTAAGGGGATGGTGGTGTTGGCAGTTCACAGATGAACAGGAATGGCCTGAAAAGAAATACTCACGACTCATGAGGCTTCAAACCGATATTAACACTTGGCTAACATTTTGATGAAATTTTCATTCACAGCAGAAAAGTTTACTTAATGTATATTTTTCTATTGATGGTGGAAAGGTGTTATCAGTCTATCCATAATGTCGAACAGTCTTTGTCATGCCGTTTTAATGTCACATTCAAATGCTTAGTTTTGGAAGTTCATGTCAATTGAACACATACTGCAGTCACTTCTCTATCAGCGCATCTAAAGTTGTGCATATATAAATGTTAATCTTTTCACCACTAGGTTATTGGACAAAAGTGGAAACTTGCATAAAATATTTAATTTGACATAATTTTAATTACGAGAATATTATGTAAAATATTCATCATTGAGCCGCACAACTTGAGATTAATACGATACCTCTGTCAAATGTGTTTTTCGAAAATAAAAAACTAAACAAAACAAATGCTTTTAACAAAACTAAATAAAAGTGTACCGATTCATGAATAAAAATGAGATTAATTTAAACAGTTGCATTTCTTAAACTGTTTTGTATTAAAACAAAGCATCTCAGAATAACCGTTCCAATCCACCGGCATCTCTAATGATCCTGAAATATAATAAACCACATGGCACCTGCACGCACGATAATAAATATGATCTCAAAGCAACATCTGTGATGCAGCACTCACTGCAGGGGCTTTTCTCCCGTGTGGATCCTCAGATGAATGAGTAGGTTCTTCTTGGATTTAAAAGAAGCTCCACACGTCTCACAGACAAAATTCCTCTCGTCTGCAAACGATCGCAGTACAAGGAAACAATTTTAATTTACAAAGCATCTAAATGGACATGCGTCTCAAGACACTGATTGCAAAGAAAAACGTAGAATAGAATAAATGTCGCTGCACTACCCTCTGCTGTTCACTATGCAGTGCTTGTACAAGTGTTCATCGAACCTGATCATTTGAACTCTGCACCCTACTCTTAACCCCAGCCCTGACCAGTAGCTTGTACATATGGCCAAAACTTATGGGACTTTTCACAAGCACTTTATGACAACGCAAACAACTCAAAAGGCATGAAGCATTTCCACTGCCACATGAGCCAATTGCAACAAAATCAACTATTTCGTTTACAAGGCAACGCCTATTGAGCTATTATCCCTTTCACAGAGGAGACCTGGCCTCACATGATAGCTTATCAAAGTGGCTTATTATCATACGTGGGAATATATAGTCACGGCCAAATAATCTAAACGCACGTTTCTAATGTGGATGGCAAAACCAGAGGAACCCGGAGAAAAATCCACACGACCCACGGGGGAAAAACATACAAACTCCAAATATACAAGCGTCGTCGTCAGGGCTGGGATCAAACCCACAACCTCGTGCATGCCAGGCGAGGTGGGGGGGGGTTAACATCTCCTCGCCACAACGGTGCCCACAAGAGCCGAGAGAGAAGCGTAACACGTTCTGTGTCGCTCACCCGAGTGGAGAAGCTGGTGCTTCTTGAGGTGGCGAGGCAGAACAAAGCGCTTGCCGCAGCCCTGCATGCCGCACACGAGCTTGCGGTCACCGTGCACAGCCTTCACGTGGTTCTGCGCAAGTGACATGGACAAGGCCGAGTAAATGTTACGCGAAATCCGAAGCGGCCGCGGTAAAAAAAAAGGTCGGTTCTTCGAAAAACACGAGCACGTTACGTACTTTTACCTTTGTACATATTTAAAGTAAACATTTTCTTTTTTTTGACATGGGTAAGGATCACTCGAGCAATGTAGCTCTTTTTCAGAAGCGACTTGGCCACAAATTAAATCTCAATTAAGTGGCTCATCATGTGCAAATTTATAGCAGCCAAATACTCTAAACGCACGTTTCTAAATGTGGAGAGACAAACCGGAGGACACGGAGAAAAAATCCACACGACCACAGGGAAAACACGCAAACTCCAAATATACAGCAGGTGTCAGGGTCGCGATTGAACCCACAACCTCCTGTATACCAGGCGAGGTAGTTAACATCTCGCCACCATGGCGCCGCCAAGGGGTGATTTGTCCTAATCCTATCCCCCATATGCAAAGTAACACCAAAGCCCTTTGCCAATCCACTGCTGGACGTGGCGTGGCGGTTGTGGGGATTATTTGACCAGTCTTCACCACGCTGGTCAGTATGGGTTGTAAGCGGGGAGCTTAGATGTAGCAGCAAACTACAGTTCAAAGGCTTTTGCTTCAATGCCACTGCTGCCCGCACCACCATAGCCCCGCAAAGCAAAGTACAGCACGTACTGTTAGGTACTCCTTGACCCGGTAGACTTTCTCGCAGCCAAGCTGCGTGCAGTGGTAGAGGACAGGTAGCCCATCAGCGTCCATCTGCTTGGTTTTCCTCCTGTGGATGGGACGCGTGTTGCTCCAGTAAGGCTCAACGCACCTCAGATTAGCACGGTTGGATACGTACGGTGGCTACGTACATCAACACCACTCGCAGTCCCAATGGCCACAGCTGACTCCGTTTGGACACTGCACATTTTGCATTACTCAGCATCAGTCTAAGCTGCTAGTTCTTCACTCTGAACAAGGGCCAGCATCAGAAATATTTGTCACATGAATGAACCAGTATAGTATTCAATCAGTTTAGCAGTTCATTTGTGAGTGCGGTGTTCGATTATACTTTGGCATTTCTGATGTTGCAATCAGATATCACACTCTCATTATGCAATCGGACGCTTTTATGGATTCAAATTGTATCGTATTTCCGTAACGGCAAATTTAATGTTTTTTTTAACAGATTGTAAATACTGCAAATTAAATCAATCTAGTGCTTTATGTTTTCACGCTTTTTTTATTACGTCTTGCACTTTCATTTTGTTCATTACATTGCGTGATACATAACGTCCAAAAATGACACTTGCTAAAATAGTCTCAATACCAATCAGGCATGTTGGTCTACCTCTGCAGAATGACATAGTTGAACTCTGATGTCTATTCTACAGCTGACAGTGTCCATCATAAAGCTATTGAGGTTGGACTTAAACCGAATGAACGCTTGTCATTTGTTGCTTCAATGGCAAGTAAATTTAACAAGAGGCTATCCAGTGGTGTAATTCACAATTTGGGGAAAATGTGGTATGGTGCTCTGAACAATCATTAACCTTTTTAAATTTGAATGCTATGGGATCATATTATTTATTACTCCTATCATATGATGTTATACCACATTGACCGGTGACATATTTTGTGATAATATAAAATATGTTACTATGTCTTCGAGTGTAAATACCACCGTGAATTCATAGATTTGATTGGCCTGCCACCTAGAGGATGATGAGAATTAAGTAATATCCAGCCCAAAAGACTGCAAATCCAGAAAGGCTCCATAAAAACAAACTCCCAACACACCTTACTTTACGGGTCGTAGGCTCCATTGGGTCTTTCTTCTGATACTTCCTGTTGAGAAGAAACAGGACAGCAATAATATAAGAGGGTTTTTCCCTTTTTTCTGGCAACAAAACTGAAACCTTTTGACGAGGAATCATGTCTGCATTAACCACAATACTTTTGGTCAAAATGCAAACAAAAAACACACTGATAATATATGCATTGTCCTTGAAACTGATTGGTCCACACCAGAGACGGCTTTCTTTTGAGCCTTGTCTCAATTGGTGCTAGACCAGAGGACGCCAAAAGGCGTACAGCTAATAGACAATGCACTATCAAAGTAATGAGGACTTGGGGTAAGCATCTACATCATTACTGGCAAAGGAGGTCTAATGATGTAGATGCTTACCCCGAGCCCTCAATACGATGGAGGTTGAATTTCTTTGGTACCGTACGAAGCCCGGTGCGGTGGAAGGACAACAAACTAAATACAAAAAGCAGTTCTGATACACGATAACTCTATTTGTATTTTTGACCCATCCTGTGTTTATATTTTTTCGTATAATGATGTAAACGGCCTCTTCACGACATGCCAGTAGTGGTAGTTATTCGAGCACATTTTGGCACGCTGGAGTGTGGGAGCAGAGAAACAGCCAAACATTGGATTTTACTGCACTACTCCCCTCTCCTGCCAACAACATCGCCCTGCAGCCTATTATTGATTTCGGTTGTCCATCCTACCACGATCTAGGCTCAACCCTGCTTGGCTTCTGAGATTTGACGCAATAGGGTGGATCCTAGATTACTTGGTCACAGAACATGATTTGTAGGATAGGATTTACCTTTTCTTTGGTTTGTTATCATCTCCAATGTCCTTGGCACCTTTCCTGAAAAAGAGCGCACGTTTTTCTTCGACGAGCTTAACATTACACTTATATTGGGTTAAATCTTGACTTAAAGCTTTCGTGACTGCAGGAATTCATATTCTTTGGGTCTTTCGGTAAAGCCACGTAGATAGAAAAAATAATAAAAATATCACGACGTTTCGATCACAACACAAGCAATCGTCATCTTGTGTTGCGATCGAAACGTCGTGATATTTTTTATATTATTTCTATCTATGTGGCTTTACCGAAAGACCCAAAGAATATTATATTGGGTTGTTTAGTTATTAATGTTGTGGATCTATGACGAATTTCCTGCTTACCCACCGAGCGCCTCTGTCCATGGCGCATTCACATATATCAGGGATCTGCCACTTGTGCTTCAAATCTCAGTTCGTGTGAACGAAAAATTACCAGCTGGTGCCATGCGTTGTGCAGGTGCAAGCATTGACATTTCACACAACACACCGTGTTTTTGCAGGGGTGTTCTGCCCCGGCTTCTTGCCTTCCTTGTCACTGCAGGCGCATGCACAAAGGTGTACAACAGCACAATGTGGACTGGCATCAGGGATTAACTCCTTGAATCATAGGTTCTAACCGTTGAACAAAGGACGGTTACTGCATCGCGCGCTTTCAGATGCGCTTCTGCAGCCGTCTGGAATGCTGTTCCTTCCCCATATTAGGATTCCACTGGAGATATGCACTTTTAAATCTAGATTGAAAACTAATTCGTTTGTTGTCCTTCCCCCACACCTCTGATTAGCACAGTTGGCTACGTACCGTGCAGATTGTGAGGATTGTTTCAACCGAACCTCACCACACTGGTCAGCGCAGGCATATGAGGAGCGGTCAGTGTGGGCGTATGACGAGCGTTCACCGAGTGTAAGCGACTCACTAATCAGAATCCGATTCAACGGAACTGCCGCTCCCACACTCGCCACACGCTCCGACTTCCTCCTCGGCGTTGTCGTCGCTGCCGCCAAAGTCGTACGCGTCCCGCCGCGTGTCCTTCACGACGGCGGCCGCATTGGCCGTCCCATCCGCCTCCCTGCCATCGTCGTCTTCTACGTCATTATCCTCTGCCTCTTCATCGTCTCGGTTGCTGCTGCTGCTGCTGCTGTTGCTGCTGCTGCCACTACCGCTGCTCTTGCCTTCATCTGCCGCCACGTCTTCCTCCGCCGAATGCTTCGATTGGTTCTCTTTTTCCGCTGCTGCTGCTGCTGCTACTGCCTCGTGTTCATCCTCGTGTTCTTCGGCGACTTCGTCCCCTTCCGCTTCTTCGCTCTCGTCACCGCTGCAGGCGCGCACACAGAGGGGAGTCGCGTGTCACCGGGCACAGGTGTTACATCATTACCAACAGGAGGCGTTTTGTGTTTAAATACGTAAAAAAATACACTGTTGCTTTTACACTACGAGACCTCCTTTACCAGTGGCAAAATATAGTGATAGGTGTTTACCCTTTCAACTGGTACAAAAACTGACACCTTTATACAAGGCATCATGTTTGCAATAACCACAACACAAGCAGTCAAAATGCAAACAAAAAGAAACAACTCTGATAATGATCAACTTCAAGGACAGTGGATATCATTATCAGAGTTGTTTCTTTTTGTTTGCATTTTGACTGCTTGTGTTGTGGTTATTGCAAACATGATGCCTTGTATAAAGGTGTCAGTTTTTGTACCAGTTGAAAGGGTAAAAACCTATCACTCACAATACACTGTTGGTTAGCTCAAGTGTTGGTTTCAAAGTGTTGCCAAAGTTATACGAATGATGTAATTCCCCCGAGGGTTGTAACAATTTATCCCCTCTGTGTTTGAATGAAGAATCACTATTTGGGATCACAATCTGATTCACTACTTGATTTGCTTTGTGCCCCCGTGGCGTGCACACAATTGATTGATATGATAACACAGTCGCAAAAGTTTCCTTGAATAAATATTGCAGTGTACACACCTGTCATCATCTTCCTTGTAATTTTTACTTGTGGCGCACTCTGCGGAGATGAACAGCAAAGTGTGATCAATCGCAACACTCAAACAATCGGACACACAACACTGGTCAACACACTTTTTCTGGCATAAGGTATTCCAACGGTTTTAAGGAAATTTTTGGGTGCTGATTCCAAATCTGGCATCAGTTTTTTGTCTATCACATCAGGTTTTTGAGATATCAAATATTGCATTTTAAATAAAAACTGCAGAAGAAAAATATAAAATAAATGTGGATATCTACATAAAATGATATTATAAACACACTATCCTAAAAATACAGCACCATATTTTAACACTAAAGCAGTCACTGACTCGCAACAACTTGCAATCATAAGTGACAGAGTTAATTTCGGGTAAAATCAATGAAAATGGGGTATGCCGATAGCATAAAAATGAGATGTGATAGCGCAAATCTGAGATCAGATTTGGAATCAGCACCCTGAAATTAGTCTAAAACAGCTGCAAAAGTCCAGGCCAGAAAAAAATGTTTTTTTTTGTTGACCAGTGCAATATTCTTCACCAAGCTGACCTGGACCCAGTGTATTCATGTCACTCACCCCTTCTAGTGGAGCGAGATGACCCTGGCTTCCCCCCCGCAACTTTTTGCCAATCATGTTCTTCTGATGCACAATGCACCCAGTGGACCCCGCACGTAGCAAGGTGAAAAGAATGAAAGAGATTACGATAAAACTTTAAGGTACGCAAAACACAAACTGCTCTCATTTTGCCGATTGTGTGTGGTGGGCCGTCCAAACACGAGTTTGAAGCTTCGTTAATGAGAAACTATATTTTATCATGATCATTTGCATATATTTTTTATTAAAACGGGTTTTAGCCTTTTGTCTCCAATTCATGCCAACCGTTGTACCAGTGTCATGTCACGAGCCAAAGAATCCCTTCGGAAATGTCAGATACGTGCCCTGTATTGGGGACGGGCTGGCAGAGAATTTTACAGGACTTCCCGCAGAAACTTCCAACTCGCTGCACTTGTAAATCAGTTTAATCAATGGGCAGCTGCCTGGATTGGAACTCAGGTTCACAGTAGTGCCGGCTCTGAGCTTGCCAACCTTTGATCCACCGACCTCTGAACAGCTTACGTTTAAATGTGCCGTCAACCACACAAGCTGAGCCTTAGCTTTCAAATTCCAATAGCAAAGCAAAGTCAACAACAAATATTGACACTGTGAAGCCTTTGGATCAGGAATCACTAAGATTAAGAACTTTCATTTTTAGCACCTGTTACCCAAGGTCTCCCTCACAAAAAGACAGCGATTCTAACTTAGAACATGATTATAACTTAAGATAATCATTCACAATGAACATGTGGATGATGCGTCAGTTCAATGTTTTACGTGTTGAATGTGATGGATTCCACATTATCTCTGTGGCCGCTAGAGGTTGCTACATTTGCCACAAATGGAAAAAAGTAACGGATTCTGGATTAAAATCTCAACGCTGATTCATCAAATCACCAGGGAGTGGTCAGGTGACACGGCCCTACTTCACAACTATTAATGGCTCTTCGTGGCGCTTAGTTATGGGCCAACCTTTGCACGTGGGAATATTGTATCGCTGGCTGATGCTTCAATTAAATTTTCTTTCTAAGAAAAGATTCAATCTGCACACATTAAACGGACCACTGGAGAGTGTTGCATGTACACATTTACCTTTAAAAACTGGCCTGATGTCCGATCCGTTCTGCTTTCTGGTCCTGCTGGGCAGTAGCAGACGGGTAATAATTAGTGAGAGTATTTAGGCCTGGTGCTGGTACACCATGATGATATGTTGGCTCAAGCTAAAATTAATACCGTAGGGGCAACGGGTACAAGAGCTGCATTTTTGTTGGAATATCACTGTTATCTTCTTGGTTCTTTCGGTAAAGTCACGTAGAATGGAACTTCACATAGAATGGACTTTACCGAAAGAACCAAGAAGATGAATCCCTGCAGTCACGAAAGCTTTAAATCTAAATATCACTGTTATGTTGACGCACTAACGTATGTTCTATACCCGAAAGATGGCATTTGTTTAAAACTATTTATAATACATGAATGTACCAAATGTTATGGTCAGGAGGTGAGGCTGCAACACTTACCCACTTTCACGCAGTTTTTCAGCAGAAGATTCACTCTTAATGCGAGTTTGACTTGCTTTGTTCTACAACATAAATAATATACATTTATTTTGACGTGATACAATTAACTTCAATGTAGCATTCAACAACATACATTGTACAATTAACACTTCGACAGAGTCTCTATCAAGCACATTTTGCCTTTCGTTGATATCAATATAATTTGTCCACAATGACCAGTCACTGAATAATCCACGCAGGCTATTAAACTCTGAGCTATAGCATGTTATCGTTTGTGATAAGCCATGACCATAATTAAATTATAAGATTGGCTGGGAGGTCTTATGTGCCTAATTAAAAAGGGAAACCTGATGCTCCACTATACTCAAGGTGGCATTGCCGAACTACAGAAGGATTGCTTACAGGGCTGGCATGCCACTGCTTGTTGCATTGGGAAACACATTCCTGCGGAGGGAGCTGGTAGGAACGTTGGGCTGCTCGGTCAATGGGCAGGGTCAACGGCGGCGTGGTGTATTCCGCAAATATGCCCGACTGTGAGGGTGGGCACAAGCCGGCGTGAGTAGGTTAAACGTTGAGTTTTATAAGGGTACCACGGGGTGACCAGCCCCTCCCCACCGAGCCCCATCCCTCCCACCCCCACCCAGCCCCTCCCCACCCAGCTCCTCCCTGCACGACGGACACAATAATCCCCTGTGGGCTGGTGTAACCAGGAGGTTCCTACCAGTATAAAAGTTACCTCTTAAACATTAACCATGGCGAAACATTTTTACGACCGGTAAGGTAAACACAGGATCCAGTTATTCCCATGAAGTGCCTACTAAGGAAGAGGAGTATGAAGAGGTGGATGCTTGTAATTACACCGACAGAAAGAGCATAATACAGTAAAACCTTGGATTGTGAGTAACTTGGTCTGCGAGTGCTTTGCAAGACGAGAAAACATGTTAAATACATTTTAACTTGATAAACGAGCAAGGTCTTGCAATCCGAGTAGTACGTGTATACGCTTTGTCTACCGAGCATCACGTGATCACAACTGAGCCGATGGTTCTTCTCTCTCTCTCGCTGCGGGATTGTGGGTAATCGTCTCCCATGCTCGGTCTCAGTCGGCTGTGCCTCACTCATATAGTCAACATCCGTGCGAGCGTATACTGTTTACTACAGTGTTGTGACCACGCGTGTGTGAAGCGTAAAGCATTTTTTTATTTAAATTAAGTAGGATTGGAAGGAAAACTCCTCAAGAAGGGAACATGCCCTGGAGAACATCCACCCCGGAGATGGAGCAATGAAGTTAGGTCGAGCAGGTGCAGGATAGACTGTTGCGTCACAGGACCGTGAGTGATAGTAACCGCTTGGGGGAGGCCGTCAATCAGCAGTGTGGACTGATCACGGCCGATGTTGAAGGTATTTCAAACAGCCGTGTCACAAGTGCAACGTGCACTTCAAGCAGGCCCGACTCACCTTCGATAATCTGTCTGGCTTCACGCTCAAGGTATTCGCAACAGACGCAGCAGCCGCAGTTATGCTGCAAGAAAATGTAGATCACAGGTTAGAATGCATGCATTTCACTATACCCAGACACTTGCTTAGTAATAAATGTGTACCAATGCACAATTAAAATACATTAAGCTAAACGTTACATGCGTTGAATCACATACACGTTTTCCCCACACATTGACTTCAAGATGCACACATTGACTTCAAACTGAATTACAAAGTACAGGACCATACCGATACTTTCAATGAATTCCCCCACCTCATGGGCATCTAAAATTTTACATCCCCGCAGCCACTCGACCATTTATGTAGGAAATGACTGTCGTCTAAAGCGTGTCACATTAACCAGCCCGCGCCGAATACAACCTAAAGTCCTCTAAAGTCCTCTGTCAATCCACTGCTGGATGAAGGCTTCCCTGCACTGTGTCGGTGCATTGCGAGGTTGTTTGATAGCAAATCACCACGCTGGTCAGTGCAAGGATGATGAAAGGTGGGGTGGGCGAAGCCCATCCGTGGCAGCATGATACAACAATCGATGGATTTTAGTTCAGTTCTTTGTCGCTCACAATGTAACCGATCACTATGCGCAACCACCCGTCACGCATGATGGGTTACCCATCAAAGCATTATCTACACTCAAACCCGCAGAGCTTCGGACATGTGACAAGATCGGGCACATTGTTGGCGATTTGGCCACCGGCTCCGATACTCGGATCCATATCCGTTGTCTCTCTGCGGTCTCCAACAACAACCGCCGTTCACCACCAAGTGGCGGTGACGTCTCCACGGCGCTTGTGCCAGGCTTGGGTGCACTTTGAGGCCACGCTGATTGTCGAAGGCTCGCTGGCAGGAGGTCAGACTCAGGAGCCATGGGTCGACTGAATAAGATGACTGACAGGATCTGTCACCTGTGCTCCCCACTCTGCCGACTTCGCTGGCTCGTTGTTGTGAGCGTCGCTCCTCTGCCCTCCGTTGTTGCCGGAGAGCGACTGCCTCCCACTGGAAGACTTTGCTGTTTTTTCCAGGATTTTTCCGTTGCGTGTAGTCACTTTAAGATGTTTCTTGTTCATGTTTTTGTTTTGTTGCGGTTGCACCCGAGTCAAGAGCCGCATGGTTCACAGGGTTATACCTAATACATGAAATAAATGAAAATGGAAACTGCCCAGCAGCAAGCAGCAGCATCCTTCACGAGCCTCATCCACAGGGGCCGATCTTCACACCGCTGGTACCGGTCTTCGGCAAATGTCCACTCAGCTCTACATCATCCTGTAGCGAATCTGCCCATCTCTTCTCGAGCCCATGCCACCCCCAAGGAATAGAAGTCATGGGAGTCGTGAGGCAAACTTGACGACCAGCGAAGAAATAAATTGGCAGTCAAGCAGTGCGTGAAGCTCAGAGTATCAGTAACCATGGTAGCAGCGATAAGGAGCTGACCACCTGGTAAGGGGCCGTCCATAAATGACGTCACGCAATTTTGGAGATTTTTGACCCCCCCCCCCCCCATCGTGACACGGCGTCACAAAAAGTCAGACCCCCCCCCCTCAAATGACGTCACAAAGCTCTGCCCCCCCCAAAAAAAGCTTCAAATCGCTTTAAACTATTGTCATTGTGCTGCGTATTTAATGTGGCGCTGCACTCTGATGTAGGAAAAACATTTATTAAAAAATCAATTTAATTAAGTGGAACGTGTTGTCTATATTATTTAAAGTTGCGCATTTTGATGTGACGTCACAATTCTCAAACCCCCCTCGTCACACATCGTCACAAACGTCTGTCCCCTCCTCCCCCCTAGGTGTGACGTCATTTATGGACGGCCCGTAACGCGTGATTGGAGTGATTCAGTGAGTGCACCTATGGCCAATGTGTTTACAACACTTTGATTGGAAAATCACCCTTAACCGACACGGTATTAAACTGGAAGTTACTTTATACAAATTAGCATTATACAAATTATACAAATTAACTCCTGGGACCTCGGATTGAGATCAGCCCCTCCCACCACACTATGAGACCTCCTTTACCAGTGGCAAAATATAGTAATAGGTTTGTAGCAGTTGAAAGGGTAAAAACCTAGTACTATATTTTGCCACTGGTAAAGGAGGTCTCATAGTGTAAATGCTTACCCCGAGCTCTCAATACTCTTGATTGTGTGCTGTCTTTGAGTTGTACGCCTTTTGGCGTCATCTGATCCAACACCATGTGAGACTAGGCTCTAAGAAAAGCTGTCTCGGGTGTGGACTAATCAACTTTAAGGACAGTGCATACATTATCAGTTATGTTTTTTGTTTGCATTATGACTGCAGGTATTGTGGTCTATGCAAACATGACTCCTTGTAAAAAAAGGTGTCAGTTTTGTTGCCAGATAAAAGGGTAAAAAAACGACAGTGCATATCATTATCATCATCAGAGTTGTTTCTTTTTGTTTGCATTTTGACTGCTTGCGTTGTGATTATTGCAAACATGATGCCTTGTAATAAAGGTGTCAGTTTTGTACCCTCCCACCACCCCAACTCACGCATCTCCATCATCTCCTCCACCACCACCACCATCACCACCTCCTGCTGCTTCGTCATCTCCCACCGCAGTCACCGCTGCTACTGCTGCACCATCACCACCATCACCACCAGCACCACCATCAGCTGCCTCTGCACCCACAGCTGCCCGGTCGAGCAGAGCCAGCAGCTGCCCGGCGAAGTCCTCGTCCCGAGCGGTGCCGGTGCGCCGCTTGGCTGCGTCCCACCGCTCCTTGTGGCGACCCACGTGGACGCTGCGTCTCTTGCGCTCCGCGTCGCGCCGCGTGCGCGCAGCGCGCCGCTCCGCCTCGCTCGCGTACACGGGCGTGCGGCCCGGGGGCCGGCCCGTGCGTCGGCCCATTGCAGCAACAACAATTCGCCAGCAACAACAATTCGCCAGCAACAACAACTCGCCAGCAACAACTCAGCAACTCGCCAGCAACAACTCACCAACTCCACCACCACGAACCCACCAAGCCAGCATCTACCACTCCACCACTACCACCACCACCACCTTCCCAACTCCACCACCTAACTACCACCTCACGACCACCACCACTACCACAACACCACCCCAACACCTCCCCACTACCACCACCCCACCACTACCCCAACCACCTCCCCACTTCCACCACCACCTCCCCACTAGCACCACCACTTCCACCACCCCAACCACCACCACCTCCCCACTAGCACCACCACCACCGCACTACCACCCCAACCACCACCACCCCAACCACCACCACCACCTCCCCACTACCACCACCCCACTATTACCACCACCACCACACCATCAACACCTCCCCACCACCACTACCACCACCACACCATCAACACCTCCACTACTACCACCACTACCACCACCACCACACCACCTCCCGACTACCACCACCACCACCACACCATCAACACCTGCCCACCACCACCACAACACCTCCCCACCACCACTACCACCACCACACCATCAACACCCCCCACCACGACGGCTGCTGTACGCGTGTAGCCCCGCGCCTGCCGCGTCTCTGCACCACATGGAGAGGGGGTCTCCACTGTACTCGATGTCTCTCCAAAGCCCTGCGACATTCGATTCCACTTGCGCGAGACAGGAATCGATCGAGTCGATTCCTGGGTCGTGGTGGGATTGTGTGTCTTGAATGGATCACAGTAGAAAGCAAGTGCTTCGATGAGTTCCATTGGGCTGATGGTGACAGTGATACAAGGAAGAGCCGTGCACGTTTATTAAGGTGATATCGATCGCGGGCTCGGACGGTGAGCTCGATTCTATTGGCGGTTCTGAATCGATTGAGTCGATTCTTCAGAGGTGGTGGATCAGTCGGGGCAGGTGTTCGAATTGGGGTTATGAATCGATTGCTCGATCCGGAGGTTGTGGTTAGTCTTCACGTTAATCGATAAGTTTGATTACCTATCACTAGCAAGAATAGCGGAGGGGGTCGAAGGAGCGTGTTCGATAAGCGACGTGCTGGTGCTGGTGGACGGATTCTATTATTGAATCGTTCACCATGGAATCAGAATTCGTTGAACCGGGGGCTGGTACACGGATCGATTTATCAGCTAAATGTTGAATCGATTCCCGATGAGAATCGCGACTTCGTAATCAGCCGTGCGCTCTCCACTGCTGGATGAAGGCCTCCCCCAGCACGTGTCTATGTCTCTGTCTCTCTCTCTCTCTGTGTGTCCCTGTCTCTCTTTTTTTTACGATCAGTGGAAACAAGAAGATGCTCGGTGTAGTCGGCACTTTGCTCCGTTCATCATTTCGTAATTTTTTTTTATTTAAATTTTTTACTTTGATTTATGTAAACCCCCACCTCTCGCTCACTCTCTCGCTCTCTTTTTTTTGTTACGATCAGTGGAAACAAGAAGATGCTCGGTGTATTCGGCACTTTGCTTCATCATTTCGTAAATTTTTTTACCTACGTGACTTTACCGAAAAAAACCTAAGAATATGAGAGGTGGGGGTTTACATAAAGCAAAGTAAAAAATTTAATATAAATAAAATTACAAAATGATAAACGAAACAAAGTGCCGAATACACCGAGCATCTTCTTGTCTCTCTGTCTCTTGTCGCTGTCTTTTTGTGTGTATCTAACTCTATACCTGTGTCTGCTTATGGGGCCGTCCATAAATGACGTCACGCGATTTTTGACCCCCCCCCCCCCATCGTCACACGGCGTCACAAAAAGTCAGACCCCCCCTCAAATATGACGTCACAAAGCTCTGCCCCCCCCCCCAAAATAAAACATGCTTCAAATCGCGTTAAACTATTGTGGGCATTTAATGTGGCGCTGCACTCTGATGTAGGAGAAAACATTTATTATAAGTCTATTTCATTAAGTAAAACGTGTTTATATTTATTTAAAGTGGCGCATTTTGATGTGACGTCACATTTCTCACCCCCCCCCCCCCGTCACACATGTCTGACCCCCCCCCCCCCAGGTGCGTGACGTCATTTATGGACGGCTCTATCCCTTGCACGTGCATCTCTATCTGTTGTGTATAAATTCAGGCCTCTTCTCTCCCCGTGTTTCGTATCCCCGTATTTTCGCACCTATCTCTAGCCCCGTCTCGTTGCCTCTCGCGCCATCCCCTCTCTCCTCCTGGGTGTCTCACCGCTCCACTGGACGTCTGTGAAGAAAAGAGCTTTACAGCTCATCGGATTTCTCCACCAGCGGAAATAAATATTCCCATTCTGATTCCACGCAGCCAGACAGCTCACCCACAGAGCTGTGGGTGGCTATGGCAAGTGCCGTTCCAGATGCTCACAATGGCATGCGATCTAACCCCCCCCCCCCCCCCAAAAAAACCCCGATGTTATGAATGAAGTTGCGTTTGTATTGCGTTAAGGAAACATCTCAGAGCGCAGAGCCCCCTAGTGGCAGTTTGACGCGTAGGTATTCGCGAACAAACACATTCCTGCGGAGGGAGCTGGTAGGAACGTTGGGTTTCTCGGTCAATGGCCAGGATCAACGGCGGCGTGGTGTATTCCGCAAATATGCCCGACTGTGAGGGCGGGCACAAGCCGGCGTTAGTAGGTTAAACGTTGAGTTTTATAAGGGCACCACGGGGTGACCAGCCCCTCCCCACCCAGCCCCACCCCTCCCACCCTCCACCTAGCCCCACCCTCCCCACCCAGCCCCTCCCCACCCTCCCCTCCCTACCCAGCCCCTCCCCACCCTCCCCACCCAGCCCCTCCCCACCCTCCCCTCTCCACCCAGCCCCACCCTCCCCACCCAGCCCCTCCCCACCCTCCCTACCCAGCCTCTCCCCACCCTCCCCTCTCCACCCCAGTCCCACCCTCCCATTTTTGGATGCACGACGGACGCACGGACAGAATAATCCCCTGTGGGCTGGTGTAACCAGGAGGTTCCTACCAGTATAAAAAAGTTCGTTGTTGGTAAGATCGCGTAAGTATAAATGTGTCGTGAACCCGCCACCAACCGACAAAGCCAACCAGTAAGGTTTGTAACGGGAACAAAACGTGCCAATTATTTACTGCTTTAGCCTACTGGTGTGTTGGAGAGTAAATCCACAACATTTACAATTTGAGTACCGTAACGTTTCGCTGCCAATTGCACCCAGCATCATCAGGCGATGTTGCCTGATGATTCTGGATGTAACCTGCCCCTGTGTGGCACATGGTGATTTGGCACATAATTGACATTGCATTTTCCAGTAAAACCTTGGATTGCGAGCATAATTCGTTCCGGAAACGTGTTTGTAATCCAAAGCACTCGTATATCAGTTGTGATCACGTGACGCTCGGCAGACAAAGCGTATATACTTACTACTCGTATTGCAAGACCTCGCTCGTTTATCAAATAAAAATTCATAAAAAAAATTGCTCGTCTTGCAAAACACTCACAGACCAAGTTACTCGCAATCCAAGGTTTTGCTGTATATGTGAATATGTTTTTAGTTATTGGGGGAAATCCATACGGAACAATACAAAACTTCACGGCAGAAAGGCACCCGAGTCAAACTCTGCACGCTTGGATTATGGCTCACGAAGTGTTTACCACTGCGCCTCCCTCTGCACACAAGCATAACTCCGCAAGTAAATACATTCATATGATGCTTTCGTTCATCGGCCAATGGGGCTTTCTCGACCAATATTATCCAGCAGCATTTGTTTCATCCAGCAAACGTTGAACTAGTTTTGACGTTCTGGGTCTCACCAGCAGATTCAGGCTAGTTAAACAAATGCCACTGGATTTCCAAATGATTTTGGCAAGAGCACTTGGTATACCGGTTAGCAGCTACGCTTAGCAGTTCGGTTTGGTTTTACTCCCTGGCCCTGGCTACGCGAAATGGATATAAGCATTGCCCCAAATGTTAACAATTTTCTACGGGTACACTGCCTCTGCCATGGGAATGTGGAATTTCCACCACCATCTTGGAGCTGCCAATCGAGATGAGCATTGCTTCATTCTCATCTGTGGCCTTTGCCAGGGTGACCTCTGGACCTCATTTCCAGATGAGTGTGGCTGTAATGCTGGAAACAAAGTCTGTAATGACATTCAAGCCGGCCATATATGGCGTTATTATTACACGTTCTCTCGGCATGTGTTGTGAGTTGATAGGGCTATGGGTGTGCCGCTGGGTGTGTGTGCCTCTGTGCCAATGAGCAATACAAGGATATGTCTCATTAAGAGAGAAATCTATCCGCTGCATGCACACGGTCACCGCTACCCGCAGCGTGCAAACACCATGCCCCTGCATGAACTCCAATTCGGTAAGTGTCATCTCAATACACCATCTAATAAGCATTGCACTTTATTTGTAAATTGCTCGCAGCTGTGAGTACTACCGTGTTCTCTGGATTATAAGATGCATTCCACCTCCCCCCACCCCCCATTTATTTAAACCAAAAGTGTTGGTTCACCTTATAATTAATCTGGTGTGTCTTTTGTGTGTGTCACCAGATTCGCGTAACGTTATTGACACTGGGCACAAGTTTGGGTCGCGTCTTATTTTCCGGGCCGTCTTATAATCTGCGTCGACACAATTTGCGCGCACTTACCCACGCCGCTTTTGTTTGTTTGTGTTACTTTTCTCAACAAACCCCTCAGCGTCCCTTGTGCTTATCTGTCTCCTCGTGCCGAGCTGCTCCTCCGACGGCCGCGACGAGAGCTGTGACATTGGCCCCGACAACGCGGGCCGTCTCCGAGCTAACTGCAGCTCCCGGGGTCTGCGGGATTTCCCCACCAACCTGAGAACGGACATCAAGGTCCTGTGGGTGACCTCCAACCACCTGGTCGCCCCGACGTGGGCCGTCCTGGAGGGCCTCCCTCTCCTGGAGGAGCTGGACCTGGCCCACAACCGCATCGTGCGCTTGACGCCGCGGGCGGCGATGCCCATCTTGCACATTGACGCTTCGCACAACGCGCTCACCGAACTGCCACCACTCGGCTACCTCCTCCGCCTCACTCGGCTCAAGATCAACGACAACCAGATCGCACACTTGCCCGCGGACGCTTTCGCTGCCCTCGTCGATCTCCAGGAACTTTTTCTCGGCAACAATCGCCTCGGGACTCTCGACCAAAGCTCCTTCACCAACATGGATTCGCTCCGAATGCTGTCCCTTCATGGAAATGACCTGGCTTCCGTTTCTGCTAACCTCATGAGCTCAATGAGTAATCTGGATGTGTTGGACATCTCCAACAACAGTCTTAAGTCACTGCCGCGTGGATTCTTTGAGCCGGTGTTCCTCTCCTACTTCTACGGCTACCAGAATCAGTGGATTTGCGACTGTTCTGTTGCCTACTTATGGGAGTGGATGCACGATATGAACGACGACAAGGTGTACAACAGCTTATTGCAAAAGGACATCGAAAGCATTGTCTGCTCAGACCATGGTCCACATTCTGCAAGACCATTGTATAACTTGGACAAGGACTCTTTTTGTCCAGCAACTCTTGATCCGAGCACAAATGTCGCTATACCCACTTTTCCGATCCCTGTTGTGAAAACTACACCTAGACCTGCGACTACAGCATCGCCCTCAGCACCAACAACAGTTCAAGGTAAACCGACCACCGCATTTCAAAAGATGACTACGGTTTCGTCAACAACAGCAGAAATGACCACTGCCCAAGTCACAAACGTTCCCTCCACTGTCAAGGCGACTCTTAGCACGACGGATCGAAGCCAGCACCGCTGTTATGACCACTGCCCAAGTCACAAACGTTCCCTCCACTGTCAAGGCGACTCTTCGTACGACGGTCGAAGCCAGCACCGCTGTTCCCAGCGCCGCGGTGATTCGCGTGAAGACCACCCCATTGGTGGCGAGCACGGGGGAAGCAACGACGAGCCGAGTCGTCACCGCACGAGCGCAAACAACCACGCGGTCCTCAGACGACTTCACCAATGCCATCCCGCGTTCAAACTACACTCGCAACTGCAGCGCCGGCGACGACGACGACAGCGCGCGTGGTCGCAACAACCGAAGCGGACGCGCCGAGCAGCACCGCTTCACCCACAACTCTGCGTAATCCGACCACGAGTCCACGTCAAACGACCGTAGCTCTTAGCGCCGTGCTGACACGGACGAGCGCGCGTTCTCGCGCAACTACTGAAGGCTACGGCGGCGAACCGACGACGGCTGGACGGAACGTGACCGTTGAAGGCACGGCCATAGCTCGCACGTCTGCATCGGCTCGCACTCGACGCTGGTGTCTCTGCCAACCGGAGAAGGCGGCCACTTCCCTGGAAACTCCGCGGGGAAATCCGTGCGACAACAGATATCAACTTCCGTCGACAGGAAGGCCGGTTAACCGACGATTCTCTTTCCGACGCTTCTTTTTCCGATGCTTTAGCAAGTCACTTGAAGAGGCTCACCACGACGAGGTGCCTCAGGTACGGCATCTTTCCCTGGCTCCTGCACCTCATCCACGCGCTGATGTTTCTGTCGCTCATTTTCTGCATTAGCCAGCTTCGGGGTTACCTGGTGGCCGAGCGGCACGCAGCCTCTAGGCCGACAGAGCAGGGCAGGCGCCGCCCCGACCATTTGTCCCGGCGCTTCCAGCACGAGATCATCAACCACCCGCTGAACCTGCGCCACAGGAGGCTGCTGCCCATGGGGGAGGGCACACTGCCCAGCGACGAGACGAAGCCATTCCTCTTCCGCTTGAGACACGCCCCCGAGAAAGACCCGGGGCCCGAGGTCTCCATAGTGTATTTCTGAGGTTTCATCATCATGGTCATTATCACTATCAGCACCTAACATTGATAATGCACCTCCCATGCACATAAATCTCAGGGCACTCCTGCAGCAGGGGACCGCCGGTGGCCGCTGTGAGTTTCAATTTGAACCTGGTCAGAAGTGGGTATTAGTATGCTGGTAAGTGTGTGATGTTGCTATATTGCCGCCTAGACCGAGACCAATATCATCGTGAAGTCGCACACGCCGTTAGGCAGCACTAAAGAAGAAGAATTAAGTAATTAATAAAATTTGCTACATCTTGGACCGTGACATGGGCTACTTTTATTCGAACAACATTGCGTTATGTTTAGCTATTATTATGAAGCTGATGATGCGTATTTAATGTTTAGTACAGCCACAGTATTAACAAGGGCAGCCACTGAAATTGAACCGCAAACCTTTGCAAAAAGTCTCGAATGTGCTGTGGCTAGGCCATGCCTCCACCCTAACATGCGTGTTCGCGATATAGAAGAATGAAATTCGTATTAAACAGATGCATACACTAGTGGTGGCTGGGAATAAGAATATTCTTGAGAACATGTTGGGAAACACCAGACATTTGCTTAACTGGTGAGACGGTGTGACTACAGCAAGAAGATTGTGGTCATTGTCAGCCTGAAATGCCTACATATTTGCCATCGGCTTAAGTGTGAACCATGTTTCAGTTTCATTTATTCGGAATAACCCTGTGAGCCATTCGGCTCTTGATTCGGGTGAAACCGTGGCTTGAGCTGTATATAGCTGAATACAGCTCAAAACGTAATCTGACCAAAATATCGAGTGCATTGTGGACACTTGCCCACAGATAAGCATGTGGATTAGCATTTTGTCAAAGCTCAGGAAGTAGGAAGGGGTGAGGGCAAGTTATTTTTGAGGTGGAGGCGGTGAAACGATTGTAGGTGGATAGGGTTGCTACATGTGCAGACACATGTTGTGAACGTTGTTCCGAACGTTAAACGTTTACTGGGACGCTGCATAGTTGATTTTGGGTGAAGGCCAGAATATTATTCTGGGCTAATCAGAATGCCGTTCCAGCGTATTCGATTTTATTCTGACTTCCTTCCTAGATTTTTTCTTGAGAATGCTTGGCGAAGTGGAAAGTCACATATAACTGATACATTTGGTAATAAGGATTGTTCTTAAATCTTGACTTAAAGATTTCGTGACTGCAGGAATTCTTATTCTTCGAGTATTTCGGTAAAGTCACGTAGATAGGTATATTGTTCTTAAACTCAATGGTGAGCTAAATCAATAAAGATAATCATTGGTGCGTCACATGCTTGTGCACGTGTAAATGATCATGTCGGGAAGTGTAGGGTCTTAAAACTAAATTTGGCCATATTATTACATGGCCTAATCCAAAAATAAATTGAGTCATAATATTGGCTGTGAAAACCTCTACGTTAAGAGATATTCTTGTTTATAACATTATGAAATGTAATCTACAGTATACTGTTTGAAAAAGTACCTATATATACATACACACAACATAAAACAAATTTAGACCGTATTTTTTATTTCCGATTTATTAGAATATATAATAAATCCATTTACTGCGGTAAATTTTGGACAATTTACATGAAGCCAGCACTTAATCAAAAATTTCTAGAAAGCATTGCAAAAACCACACACGTGAAATAAGATACACTGCTGTGGAATTGTGGTGTGCGGCAATGTTAGGGCGCCTGTACAGAATTGAAAGAATGTGCTCGAAGTGACATTTCACCAACGTCATTTGGCCCCTTAATGGCAGAAAAAAAATCGGCAATCCAACAAAGTTTCGATGTAAAGCTTTCGTGACTGCAGGGAATCATCTTCTTGGTTCTTTCGGTAAAGTCACGTAGAAGGGAAATAATAAAATAATTAAAATACAACTAAAACATAGTAAAGTAATATAATAATATAATAACATTTTATAATGTTTTATTTTTATTATTTTATTATTTCCCTTCTACGTGACTTTACCGAAAGAACCAAGAAGATGAATCTAACAAAGCTCTACATTATAGTCCAACACAGTGGCATGGTGTTTGAGTATCCAGGCTACTGCCACTGCACCGGGGCCCATGGGCCAGAAGGGGCCCAGGTTCCTGGCTACGAAGAGGGTGGACGGTGGACAAACAACCCATCGAACATTTTCCTCCAGCACAGTCTCTTGGATGCTAAAGACTGTTGGATGATTGTTATTATTGGGGACACGTAACTGGTAGCGGGCTTTACCCACTTTCAGCTTTAGCATCGTACTCTCTGCTGGAGGCAAATCACTTGTGGTTCGCTGACGGGGATTGGATATTTTTAAGAGTTTAGCATGAGCAATGTGGAACTTTAGTTTATCCATGCCCTGTGATTATAACCAAGTAACCCACCAGTAGTACATACATTTTGACCGTCCAATAATTTTTTCAATTCAGAATTTCAGGAAATTTGTTATACGCAATGACTTGAATATATTTGTGCTAAATTACAGATTTTAGCCCTTCTAAAATGTTAGCATTTACCTCAGTCATGATTGTCCATCAGTGTTGCTTATTGTGCATTAATAATACATGAAATGTGGGTCATTTGGCCACTTGGTTAATATTGTTTTCTTCATGGTACCCACATTAATCAGTAATGCAATAAGGGTGACGTTTTGGTCACCTGTCACATGGTATACACTATAAAATCTGGACAAAATTAAAATGTATTAGTATTTAGAAAATGGGCACCGGTTTTTTATCGTGCAGTGTGCTACTAGTATTCATTTATACTTAGCAATATTTATTGTGGAATCTTTGGGAATTCGTTCCACAGTGCTGCGCTTATACTTTAAAATACTACTGTATACGCATGTATAGTTGGGTGCCACGGTGGCGAGATGTTAACTACCTTTCATGGTATACAGGAGGTCGTGGGTTCGATCCCGACGCCTGTATATTTGGATTTTGCATGTTCTCCGCGTGGTCGTGTGGATTCCTCTCCGGGGTTCCCTTCCACATTTAGAATGAACATGCGTTTGAGTATTTGGCTGCTATACATTTCCACGTGATAAGCCACTTCGTTGAGCTATCATTTGTGGCCAGGTCGCTTCTAAAAATGAGCTTCATAGCTCGGTGTGCCTTACCTGGTAAAATAATAATATTCATCACAAATATTTCCCAATGGCAATCATCGTTGTGATTGTCAGTTAATTGCAATGACCAAGTTCCAAGTCACCTTGTCAGCACTTATCCTGCACAAGCTTTCGCATGGACACAAAGCGCACACACACACATATATAAAATATTGAGACAAGGTGAAACGAAAGCACGTTGCATTTTCGTTTTAAAATGTAGCAAAGCCTCTCTGTAATGTTTCTGAGAAGACCAGCGAAATAGAATGTTCCGTGTGGGAAAATGTTAAATAGGGGAACATACTCTATGTAAATGTTTTTTTTGGAGGGGACTTAAAAAAATGGGATGTTAGGTAATTCGAAAAATTCACGTGGGAAGGTGATAAAAAGGTTTCACTTCATGTTATTTTGTGTAATGTTGCAATGCATAGCAGAAAGGCAAATATTACATATTTTCGTGATTTATGCATTAAACAATTATTTGTATGTATTTTTTTGCCTTAATCACCTAAGTAAAATACAATGGAATATCTTCAATAAACCCTCTTCCCCCCATCTTGTTTTATATACATTACATCAACTAGTAAAAGCACTCAAAAATTCATCAAAAATATAATAACGGCATGCTCCCTTTAAAAGTCTACTCCAATGCAAATCCATCGATCATGAGTTTTGCTATTACAGCCACAAAAACGAAAGTACATTCGATGCAAAATATCTTTTAGTTAAAATTTCTCGCAGTATTTTATACTGTAATTAGCAGAATGATGGTCTAACAATGTATTTTCTTGCGGACATTTTCCATCAACATGCTTTCAAAATCTCTCCACAATCTGGTCGTCTTCAGTGTAGAAATTACATTTGATGACGAGCCACCAAATACAAATTAAGCATTTGTATGCCATTACTAAATTGTGTTTTTTTTTACGCATAAAATTGGTGAAATTTTGGCCACAATCTTTGGACAACAAAAAAATGTAATGCTAATTTATTGAAGGGACTGGGGTTTTACACGCACAATATATTGTAAAAAAAAACTAAACTGGATAACCAACCATTAGAGTAGACCTTTAATTAACAGTGCTGCCATTAACATGACGGGCATTGATCATACGTCAGCCGATGGAAATGTGTGCATATCACTTTACAACAATTGGCACGGCTTGCTTTGTATAGCAGCAACACAACCTCAATTACCTAAAAAATATAGACAACACCTTCTTTACATATGCCCCTCCATGTAAAAAAATAAAAGCTTTTCTTAAACATCCTATCGGTCACACGGCCTTCTGTGAGCGAATTTTCTCAACATCATCGTTTTAATACAAGCAAACACTTTGACATGCGGTGTCTCATCAGCAGATGCAAGGCTGCTTGCTGGTATTTTAACCAATACTGCTGAACAGATGAATTCCCGGAAGGCCGTGGATGAAATACTTAAATTATTTATCTGGAGAGACAAACATGGGAAGAAGGCGTTATATAATTATCGACATTCTCCACAATGACGCCGAATGATTAATGCATAATTAAGTGAGCTATAGCGGAGGTACAAATATAGTTATCGATACGTAGCAAGAAGCCGGCTAGATTAACAGTCGGCGGTTTTGTGCACAGTAATATGGCAATGTGCATGTTAACCAACGTCACAAACTGGGGCAATAAAAGTCGCACGCATTCTCAGGTTTTACCCAGCAATCTGTTTAACGAGTATATTTTTCATTGCCCCAGGAAGGAATGCCTACACATCGCTCAAGGCGAGCAAGGGCAAGCGTTTGTTTTTAATGAAACGTACGGTTTTAACACGGCGTTTATCACGATTCACTTCGCCCGTACGCGGGAGTGATTTGCGACTTTTCTGTAAGCACCTATATACAAACACGACATATCCAGTTGCTATTGTTCAAATACAGTACACGAAGAAACAGTTTTGATGCCATAGTCATGGAAATACTAAGCAAGGAATTGAAGCCAGCGCTTCTCACGATGATCGTGGCACTGTGTATCTGTTACAGATACCAACCTACTTGTTTCTCTCTTGCATTGGGGCAGTTTTTCAGATGTCAAACCCACCCTGGGATGGGTCAATGAATGGTGCTCTGGAGATGGTGGTCACTGTCTGCTATTTCCCGCAAATAATTTCTGTCAATCCACTAAAGAAGGCTTCCCCGCACCATTTTGACCATGGAGGTTGTTTGACCATACTTCACCACGCTGGTCATTGCGGGTTGGCGAACGAAGGAAAGCCAGGACCGGTGTCGATATCACTCGCCAATTCTGATAAGGGACCGTCCATAAATGACGTCACGCGATTTTGGACGATTTTTGACTCCTCCCCTCCATCGTCACACGGCGTCACAAAAAGTCAGACCCCCCCCCCCCTGAAATATGACGTTACAAAGCTCTGCCCCCCCCCCCCCAAAATTAACATGCTTCAAATCGCTTTAAACTATTGTCATTGTAGTGCGTATTTAATGTGGCGCTGCACTCTGATGTTGTAGGAGAAAACATTTATGAAAACGTCTATTTAATTAAGTAGAACGTGTTGTCTATATTTATTTAAAGTTGCGCATTTTGATGTGACGTCACATTTCTCACCCCCCCCCACCCTCGTCACGCATCGTCACAAATGTCTGACACCCCCCCCCCCCCCCTAGGTGCGTGACGTCATTTATGAACGGCCCTAACCGTGGGCAGGAATCGAACACGTGGCACCGTGTTCATAGCACATTACATTTCGCCTTTCCCGCTTAAATTATGTTCACTTTCAACACTGTTACATCACTGCTCTTCCGTTATATCTTGCACTTTGTAGCTGAAGTTTAGTTTCAAGGTGCCTCATGAATAAATTCTCGTTCTGCAGTTGTTCTCAGGACAGACCGGTCCAAGCCTTAGGAATGTGGAATGTCTACCCATGTATGGGACAAATGCATACTCTCCAAATCCCATGCCAGCATGTGGTGCCACTGACAATAATTAACACGCATTGACACTTGTGCAAATTACCAGTGACAGCGGGCTATAACCGCCAAACTAACCACACGCGTGATCCTCTTTCTCGCGAGCGTTAATCCAAATACATAAGCCCAGCATTATGGAGGCCCTCGCTTTGAGCCACCCAGCCCAACATTTGCTCTGCTTCCTTTAACATCGAAATACATCCAAAGACCGCATCAATCTGGGGGGTCAAACTCGGCCGTCGAACTCATCGCACCCGCGAGCCCGAGCAGCGGCCCCCCTCTCTGGCACGCATACACGTGTCACGTGGTGTCCCTGCGGCCGGGTTGAACACGTGGGGTGGTGGTGGTACACGTGCGTTTTCGTCACCACACGGAGCACTTGTGCTGAGGGTTCATGGGGGTGCCTCGCCGGCAGTGGAACACCCTGCCGAACTCGTCGAACTGAGACGCGCTGCCCAGCACCCTGCGCCACCAGCGAACAAAGACACAAGATCCCCCCCATGTAGCCTCTGCCGACCCTTAGGGCAAGTGCTGTTAGCGAGTAGCACCTATGAAGGCCGCCACGGCACACCAGGAGGTGGCGTGGCCAGCAACACGTCCTTTGTCCCCCTAGTTGCAATGTTTACACACCGCACAAGGTACTCATTTGAGGCCGAGTCGACCTAGGGGAGGCCCAGGACCGGTTCAGATAATCGTTACTGGTTTTGGCGTGAGCGGGAATCGAATTCGGGTCACCGGGTTTGTAGCGCAGTAAACGAACCCCAGGACCCTACGCCGCCATCAAACACCAAAGACAGAGATCCCCCGTATAGCCTACGACATGCTGTTGGGGCAAGTGCTGCTAGAAAGCACCACCAAACAGAATCCATCGCGGATGCGGATATCCGATGCACAAAAGATGAAAAAATAACTCTCCAGTTTGCGACTCTGGTCATTGAGAACAGAATGTACAACAAATAATCCACAAATACGAAATGGGCACCACAGCGATAGATTCCGCTGCTCCTGACGAGGTTATTTGGCTTCAACAACCTGAAAGGGAATTTATCTACAGTACATGCAGCCATACGAAAATGGAAGGGTAAAAAAAACAGATCACACAACACAATTGTTATATTCTTTGGATCTTTCGGGAAAGCCACGTAGAATAGAACAAATAATAATAAAATAAAAATATCACGACGTTTGATCGCAACACAAGCAATCGTCATCAGGTGAAACATATAGCGGGAGAGCTGCTGAGAATATAACGAAACATAACAATTGTTGATTTAAAGCTTTCGTGACCGCAGAGATTCATATTCTTGGTTCTTTCGGTAAAGTCACGTAGAAGGGAAATAATAGCCTAGACTAACAAAGACACCAATGGACTTACATAGAGAACCATTCACCATACACATAGGCTTAGATCTTCTAAGCCAACAGTTATATTATTGTATCATGGGGTTGGCTGTTAGGATTTTCTTTCTCCATGTGCCTCTCTCCTGTGCATCTTCTCTAGTCACAGCTGTTGCCCTCATATCTCATTTCACCGCATACTCCCATCTCACCCTCGGTTTCCATCTCGATTGGTATGGTGCAAAAGAAGTTCAACATACATACATACATCTCCTCCTGCCCTGCATCGGTGGCATCTCGATAGGCTTCACGTCTCTGGATCTCTATGTGAGCCTATGTGTATATTTATATTTGTGCGATCTAACCCCAAAACACCTCTGTTACGAATAATAATAATATTGATCATGAACGCCTATGTGTTAAAATGAGCCGATGGGTCTCGATGTGAGTCTACGAATCTCCATGTGAGTCTGTGGTTCTCTAATCTCCAAAGCCCTTCTAATTGCATCGCTTCCAAACACGTGCCCAAACCATCTGTGCCCTGCTTCCCTTACCTTTTTGGGAATATTAGACACCACCGCTAAGGTGCCAATATCTTAATTCTGCCTCCTTTCCAATACAGATATTCCCAAGATCAATTTCACGAGGATGATGGGTGGAGTCGACCCCAAACCACGCTTTGAACTCACAACCTTATCTGCTAAGCGCTGTGTGCGAACTACCGCACCGCACTCTTCGGCCGGTGGTCAGTTTAAGTGGGGCACCTGTAGTTGTAGTCCTCACCTGTAGTTCTCGGGCGAGTGCTTGTCTGTGAGCAGCTGAAGGTAGAGAGACTGCGGTCTTCTCTTCATGCACCAGTTCTGAGAAGAGAATGCACACTGCTCAATGAATCCCCGACAGCTTTGAATCAATCGCCAGAGTTTGCCCGTGGTTACGCTACGTGCAAAAGCCAATTGGTGTGGGGTTTTTTTCAATTCAAAGTTTTGTACCGTTTATGCAAAGGAACACGCCTGTGAATACGTCAACCGCAGAGATGGAGCGATGAAATCAGCTCACGTTCAAGTGTTGGGTGGATTTGCTTGACTGCCCATAAGAGATGAAGGCGGTTTGGGGAGGCCTTCACACAGCAGTGGATTAACCATTGCTGATGATAATGATGGTTCAATAGTTTGTAAAATGTATGGAATAACAATGTATACATTGTTGCTGCTAACGACACGGTTAATCATGCAGCCGTCATTTATATTGTTTTGAAAAAAATACATTTAGGATGCAGTGAATGACAAACAGGAGGAAGCTACATATGACAAATCCCATCTAATCAGCACACCTTGGTGAAAGGTGCACATACATTACAGTACAGTACAAAGAACACCAGTGGGCTGTTAAGGATAAACAATTCTGTCTTGCGAAATTAGAAGTTACTCGACTTATAGAAATAAAATAAGGCAATATTGATTTAATTGCATTTGGGCATTACCCCTACTCCTGAATGAAAACCAGTGATTGACTCCTCGTCAATAAGTCAGGGTTCAATCCGTCATAGTTTGTCACGAAATCACTTAACCCCAACCCCAACCTTAACCCAACGCTATTTAAATGCTCAACACTGGAACCACTCAAATGTCTGCATTGTTATGGACATATGCTGTATTTCCGTGTCATATATGGATTCAATACCAAACTCTAGGCTGAGTGGTGAATATCATTAACGTGTTTTTTTCTTTAATTTATGTATTCGAATTACATTAATGTATACGTCCTTCCAAATAACGTATCCTGCTTACCAAAAGGACAAATATATATAATGTGGCAGTCTAAATTTGATTAACTTCCACTTTTAAATGTTTGCTCAGTGAGCAGGATGAAATTAGGTGCACGGCAGAGAGGTTGTGATGCCATAGCAGAGGTCGCAACCGGGTACCCGATACCCGTACCCTACCCGATACCCGGCTACCCGTACCCGGCCGGGTACGGGTACCCGTTTGCGACCCTGGTGCGGCCGGGTACGGGTACGGGTAGGCCGTGAGTCACTGGTGAGTCACCGTTTGTCACTCATTTCGGGTAGGGTACGGGTACGGGTAGGGAACGGGTACCCGTACCCAGCCGGGTACGGGTACCCATTTGCGACCCTGGTGCGGCTGGGTACGGGTACGGGTAAGAAATCAAAACCCGTTTGCGACCTCTGTGCCATAGCCATGGGAACCATGCATCCACAGAGCAGGGGAGCTGTGATCTCTGTCGTGCCCTAGACCCACGAGGTTCACTGCCAGTGCTGACCAGAGGCTCCTGGAGGCCCGGGGGCAGCATGCCGCATGGGGCCCCTTCTTACTCCACCATCCTTGTGGGGCCCTCTGCAGCGTGAAGCCCCCCCTGGTGAAAATTGTCCCTTTTACTCCCCCTCCCCACCACCCACCCACCCACCCCCCTCTCTCTGGGCGGCCCCAATTTCACCGCTGGCTGAGCTGCTGGCATTGGGGACGACGCACTCACCTGTGCGAAGGCAACGAAGAAGAGCTGCTCGTGGGTGTAGGCCATGCCCTGCAGGGGAGGCTCGGGCCCATTCTCACGCACCCACTTCTGATAAGCCTATACACTCGCACGCACAGCAGCCGGGGCCCGTGCAGCAATCATAGGGCACGGTTATGGGGCAAAGGGGTCGTTTGAGAGCGCATATTACAGGTACGGCCCAGCGCTGGGTACGCAGGAGTGGGTTGTAGCAGCATCATTCCTAGCCAGCCTAGTCCTTGCCAGGGCTACAGACCGGATACTATTATCATCATCACGTACCAAAGTGACACATTACGTCTTGCGAACGTGATGTGTCACTTTGATCATTACTTGTGTATCGATAGTTTAATGTTAATGTGACATTTTATTGAGGGACTACTACTGTGTTGTTATCTTGGCGTGGTCTGGGACTGTTTTGTTGTTTTTGCTGCCTTGCCCAATGTTGATAATTCGGACTTCTATCAATCAAATATTTATGATTTATTTACATTTAGTGACTTGCTTACCATATTCTCTATTTTGCACTGATATCGTTTTTCGTTTTCTGTTGTAACTTGCTGACCCGCCCCTACTGGTCATCTGTACAGAAGAGCTTCATAGCTCATCGGATTCCTCCAGTATACAGGAATATTCTGATTCTGATCTTCCGCTGGCCATTATCATGTGCCCAATGCTGGATAAACACGTGACTGTGGTAGCAGGACACGAGAACAAGATGATGCGGCCAAGAGTAAACTTTTTATCTATGTGACCCTTTTTGCCGGTATCAAAATGATGACAAGGGAATTGGCTTTAAACCTGGATGTGTAAATATGTTCAAACACCCTTCTATTGCAAGGCATCGGAGTCTGTATTGACCACGCATACTTGTGGTAAAACATGTAAATAAATATGCTGTGATAGCATATGCAATAACGTTGTGAAAACAACCAAAAATCCTGCACTAATATGAATTATCTTCTTGGTTCTTTCGGTAAAGTCGTGTAGAATGGAAATAATAAAATCATGAAAATAAAACATGAGTCTGACTGTCTTCTCGACAGACCTGTTCTTCACCTGAGGACGGCTGCTTGAGTTGTGGCCGAAACGTCGTGAGAATTATTTAGTTATGTTTTATTTTTATTATTTTATTATTTCCATTCTACGTGACTTTACCGAAAGAACCAAGAAGATGAATCCCTGCAGTCACGAAAGCTTTACATCGAAATATAATATGAATTAATTTCAGCTGCTGGAATCTCACGGACAAAGAAGGGCTTAGTTACAGACACGGATATTTGGGAATGACACTGCTCGTATTCAACAGAGGGCAGCAAATTCCATTGGTGTATCATATACGTTTGTGTAGCAAACCACACTGACTAGCGTGGTGAGGTCAGGTCAAATATCTCCCATGACCTACGCGATGAGGGAGGCCCTCATCCAGCAGTGGATTGACAGCCGTGTATATATAATGTATCCACGTGTACAGTCAAAAGCCTCTTTTTTATGTTCGTGCTTTCGTGGCAGATCTTATTGTCCGCATTTGTCCGAGTAAATTTTGCGTGTCTGAGTAACTTGAAGTGTGGATAATCACGAACAGTATAATGAATTAGCCATCACTTCTGAATCGCTCCTCTTAAACAGCATAAAGGATCGGGACAACAGTAAGAATGATCGGTGGCACACGTGTTTGCAAATGTGCCCCCTGCTGTGATGATAAAGACATGGCCATGCATTTGGTCATGCGGTTATCATACTGCCCAACACGAATGACCTCGGGCAGCGGTTCCTAACATTTCCGAGTGTTACGGACTCCATCTCAACTTCCAAAAAAATTGAAATTGTACATTGCCTTAGTGAGGACGTTACTCAAAAAAAATGTATTGCTCTGGTTTTCCCACCTGATGATGATTGCTTGTGTTGCAATCGAACCGTCGTGATTTTTTTAATTTTTTTCTAACTACGTGATTTTTTTTCTAACTACGTGACTTTACCGAAAGAACCAAAGAGTATGGATTCCTGCAGTCACGAAAGCTTCAAATCAAGATTGACGTTACTATAATTTGTATTCTTCTTCTTTTCCCTGTAGTAGCCTCACGGACCACCAGGGGTCCGCTGATCACAGGTTTGAAACCGCTGACCTAGGGCCCTCAAGAGAATTGATATCGTGGCCATTATTTCTCTTTGCCTAATCTATTGGGAAAACAAAATCGGGTCGATTCATTAAAAAGAGAATCTCTGGCCCCTCGCCCTGGCAATGGAATAGAGATTGTTTAAGTAAGCGCGCACGATACCTCTGTAATAACTGGCAACATTTATTTCACAAATTATTACGGCAGCTGAGATGGGTGGTGGGGGGGGATGACTTCACAAACATGCATTGAGATGATTTATATTATTTTGATGCTATAATTGTCCAAATAACGGGCTACTTTGTTGAGCTATCATTTGTGGCCAGGTCGCTTCTGAAAAATAAATTAATACCACAGTGGCCTTGTATTTATTTGTGTTTGGGTGATTTGTTTATATGTATTGTACTTTGCACTCCTATCGTGTTTTTGTGCTGTTTGTTGTTGTAACGTTATGTTAAAATAACTTCATAGCTCATCAGAAACCTCCAGTATCAATAATCTGATTAATTGTTCTTGGTTATTTCGGTAAAGTCCGACAGCTCTGTTCTTCACCTGAGGACGGCTGCTTGTGTTGTGGCCGAAACGTCGTGAGAATTTTTATTATGTAATTTTTATTATTTTATTATTTCCCTTCTACGTGACTTTACCGAAAGAACCAAGAATATGAATCCCTGCAGTCGCGAAAGCTTTGCATCGAAATTTAATTAATTATTGATTGTGACACTGTACAACGTGGTCCAGATGTCTTGTGACCCCCAATGAATTGACCCCTAATTTTTGTTTCCCATTTCATATTCATTTGTTGTTTTAAATAAAGCTTATTTAAATACAGCTTATTTAAAACATACTACGTTTTATATAATTAACTGGGGGTCACAAGACATCTGCACCACCCTGTACAGTACTTCCCACCGCCAATAATGATAGCATACTTTAAAGGAATACTCAGTAGAGTTACAAAACGAGATGAATGACTCATAATCACGTGTGACGTGATACATACACATTGTACACGCACACTGGGTACGCACACACAATGTGTGCTCGACTCCCGAGATGCCAAATCATCAAAAAAAAAATCTAAATTGCTCTCGACTCTTTTGGCATATCATACAAAACAGTGTTTAAATCCAAGAACATACCAAACCTTTCTCGATAAGCCAGAGAGAGCTTAGCAGCTGTCATTGAAACAGATTTTTAACCTCACTTAGCAAATTACTTGGTACACTTTCTCACAAGGGCTTTGTAGCGCTTTTTTGTTTTACAGAAGCACAGTGTTGGGATGATGCGGCGTCTTGTTACGTCTGCATCTCACAACAACGAAAAAAAACGGGAAAAAAGGAACACAGCACCATGTCTTACCGGAGTACGGAGCAACGTGCAAATATGCCCGGAATGATAATATTATCTTCAATAAAATGCCTACGTTGTGTCCGTTTTCAAAACAAGAGAAATAATTCTCACAGAAATTGCCTTACTTATCTCTTTGGTTCAGCGTTGCCAGTTTAACCAACCATTTTGTAAAAATAAACGTTCACCAAGAGAAACCCATGATTTGAAAGAAAGTTAAAGGCTAAAACAGATACAAATAATTATTTTCACCCATCAGCCTATATGCTGCTTCTGAAAAAACGATCTATCTTCCAGCAGTAATCAAACCCTGCACCCTGCTGGGTCGGTTTTAACTTTCAGAGTCTCATCAGCAGAGAGTGACTGGATACATGAATGTTGCTGGGTTGCATAATTGTATAAGCAGGATATCTCTCTTCACAGTATGGCACCCATTCAGCACAAAGCAGTACATTTGTACAAAAGCTGTGTGGAGTCCTAGAGGCTTACGGGTAATAACATTGCAAACCGTACATGTCCCCCCAGCCCCAATGAAATCAGAATTTGTTTTAACAGCGTGTTCGTTCAACCCAGTGGCATTTAATCTTAATTTTGGAGCTTTCGTGACTGCAGGAATTATTCTTTGGTTCTTTCGGTAAAGTCACGTATAAAGATAAAATTATAAATTATATAATATAATAATATATAATATAATAAATTAAATAATAGCATACTACGACGTTTCGATTGCAACACAAGCAATCATCATCAGGTATAAAAGAAATAGCAACAAAAATCTAACCAGAAAACTATAGACAGACATATAAGCAGACAGACATCATAAAGATACACACAGAGAGAGAGAGGAGAACACGTATCGGCACAAAGAGAGTGGCATTTATATCACGGGCCGAGCCGTGCTGATGCGACTCTGAGAAATCTAAACCCGTTCACAGTTTGCTGCTTAAACGCATGCTGCTGGAAAACAATGTTTGGAAGGGCACATAGGCTGATGGACTAAAAATGTTATCTATTCTCGACGTGTTATTTATATATTATATCTTTAGTACCCATATTGTGATTGTGCCACGGACACGTACAGCCCTAAATTTCGATTTAAAGCTTTCGCGACTGGAGGGATTCATCTTCTTGGTTCTTTCGGTAAAGTCACGTAGAAGGGAAATAATAAAATAATAATAAAATAATAAAAATAAAATTATAAAAATAAAACATAATAATTATTTTTTTTTATTATTATTTTATTACTTCCCTTCTACGTGACTTTACCGAAAGAACCAAGAAGACGTACAGCCCTTTTTGTCAATCCACTGCTGGATGAGAGCCTCGCCACGCCGTGCAGGGTCGTGGGGGGGTCATTTTACCATACTTCACCACGCTGGTCAGTGTGAGTTGGTGAAGGCATTGAGCATAGACGTGGAACCGAAGTAGAGTACAACAATGGATTTGTTTGCACTGCCTTCTGCTGACCACCACGTAGCACTACCCCACAGCCGCCTATGACAACCGGGCTCGCATGGCGCTTGCCCATTCTAACACTATCCAGGCTCCAACCGGATTGGCTTGCGATATCTGAAGAGACCGGGTGTCTTCTGTGTGATATTTGTCTGACTCGCACACAATCCTTCACCACAGTGCGTGGGTTTTTGTCGAGGTATGTTTGTTATCGACAGTAATGCTGTATCTGCTCAAAAAAAAAAGATGAATGGGTGAATATGTGTGACATGAAACAACTGTGAAGACGTGCTCTCTGAATCCATATTAGCAGAAGAATCTTAATGCAAACAATATTGCATGTGAACATGGCCTTTCGTGTGTGTGTGTGTTGTTGGGGCAGTGGTGCAGCGGTTAGTACGCTGCACCACGAACCTGGCGACCCGAGTTCGATTCCCACTCACGATCAATAACAGTGGCAAATAATTGAACTGGTCCTGGGTTCTCTTCTAGGTCGGCTCAGCTTTAATAAGCACCTCGTGCGGTGTGTAAACATCTTCCCTGGTGCGACGTAACCCACGCCACCCCTTCGTGTGCCATGCCAGCCTTTATATTTCCTCGCTAGCAGCACTCGCTCCAACAATCTAATTGGGCGATTGGGCGATTGGGGGGAGCTTTGTATTTGCTGCTCTCTGATACGTATCAGGTTGTACCCGCCACATTGTATTCGGAATGATGTCCGACGTTTCGGCAGCTACCACTGCCGTAGAGACTCTGCGCGTGTGATTATAGACTCTGTGTGAGCAGATTGTGTTGCGGGAAGCTGTAATGTGTGATTATATTTACATGATACGCTAGCTTCAGTCCTCCCATGTCAGCAATGTTTTCTCCCAGCGTTAATTTTCCATTCACCTAAACGAAAGAAAAGCCACGTGCATTCATGAAGGCAAACATCGTTTTAAACGAATCAACAGCAACACATTTTAGGAAAGTCACATTACACCCGGGGTTGTAACCAAATGTCATGAAGTAGCGTTGTTTGCTCTAGCAAATTGTACAGAATTTCGATTTTAAACTTTCGTGACTGCAGGGATTCATATTCCTGGTTCTTTCGGTAAAGTCACGTAGAAGGGAAATAATAAAACACTAAAAATATAACAATGCAATTCTCACGACGTTTTGATTGCAACACAAGCAATCATAATCAGCAAGAACATTTACAAATTTTCAAGAAAATACAATTTTCAAATGTTCTTGCTGTGGTTTTCACACCTGACGATAATTGCTTGTGTTGTAATAGAAACGTCGCCGTGAAAATTTAATTGTTTCATTTTTATTATTTATTATTTTCCTTCTATGTGACTTTACCGAAAGAACCAAGAATATGTACAGAATTTATTTGCTTTGAATTTGCATTGTATGTATACGTATGCGTAACCACATGTGAGTTGGCTGAGACCAAGACATCCATTTTCAAGGGAGACCTGACAATTCTTGATATTTTAGCGCATTTAACTTCAAGCAATATTAAAACATATATATGAATACAGGTCCACACTGTGTTATCTTCGTAGCGGCTTTTGGCTAGCCATCAAACAAAGAAAGCCACCACATCACGCTCTTTCAGATGAGCTTCTGTGGACGTCTGGAACGCTCTTCCTTCCGATATTAGGAAGCCACTGGAGCTATGCACTTTTACATCTACATTGAAAACTAATTTCTTTAGAACAGATTTATGTGTTCAGTTTGTTGTCCATCCCCCGCACCTCCGACGAGCATGGTTGGCTTTGTAGAGTGCGAAAGAAGTTCAACATAATACATACATGGAGGCTCATGAATGTACAGCCAATGTACTATACTAATGTGTGGTTACGTGCACCTACACACCCCGTCTGAAACTGGTATAGTCTTGAGTAATTAAAATGTTTATTTGGGATTGGGATTCAGAATCTTTTATATGTTCATACAATGTAAACCAACATTTTTTCCTTCGTGACCACCGCGTCCTACACATCAGCCCCCTTTGGGAAGGTACATTTATCTGTAGCCTCATTAACAATGTGAGTGGACGTGTCATGCAGATAACGTGCATTGCCGTTTAGTACGGGGTTTCCTTAACGACCCACCACGGGACGTCTTTACATTTTAGCAATGTCGTCCATTCCCATGCACATTAAGCCGAGGAATGCCGTTTGGCATCCATGGTTAAGTTGACCATCCGCATTGGTCTCTCCAAGGCTGGGTCCACACCAGAGCAGTGCCGGATTAAGCTAGTGCGGGGCCTGTAGCATATGTTATAATGAGGCCCTAAATACAAAAAAAAACACGTAAATATTAAAACACAAATTTTTAACTTGCACAGTAAAGTCATTGTATACTTTTTTATCTGCTATACAACCAGATAATGTGACAAATCGCTAAACCTTGAACACCCAGTCGTTCATACGAGTTGAAGGCAGTATAGTACTATAGTAATAGAGCAAGTGCAGAATCACCGAACCGGAATTGATAGCTTGAAAGCATATATCACGGGGCCCTTGAAAGTGTGGGGCCCGTAGCATATGTAGCTACTTTTGCTAGAAGCATAATCCGGCACTGCACCAGAGCATGCAAACTTTCTTTAGAGCCTAGTCTCATATGGTGTTCGACCAGATGACGCCAAAAGGCGCACAGTTCAAAGTATTGTGGTTAATGTAAGCATGATTCCTTGCAAAAAGGTGTCAGTTTTGTTGCCAGAAAAAAGGGGAAAACCCCTATTAGTATGACACGGAGAAAAGTTCACACAGCCACGGGGTGAACATGCAAACTTCAAATATATAGACATCAGGGTCGGGATTGAACCCACGACCTCCTGCATACCAGGTGAAGGGAATTAACATCTTGCCACCATGGCACCCCATTCAGTTGCGAGGTAATCCAGGGCGATTTGGTCGAACCATTGATCGCTCGGCTCAGACGTTATCGTGTCGCGTGCTTTGCATGGTGGGTACACTGCTCACGTTCTGCTTGTTGATGGTAAAGTTGTTGTACAGCTTCACGACGCATTCTGTTCGCTCCAGAAACTTGCCGTACGAATCCGCTGTCCACCACTGTTTCAGATTTCCGTGTCTGTCATACTGCCCGCCTGCAGTCAGAATGCTTAAGTCATGACATCATCCGTTCATCAAGGATCCTCAAGCAGTATTTCATTCATTATTAAATCCTTTATATTAAGTTCACTTGCTTGCGTGCTTGCGTGTTTGCTTGCTTGCTTGCTTACGACCGTGCAAATCTTTCGGTCGCTTTTTAACCCACTTCCCGTGATCCAATCGAGCTGACATTTTTGCACACAGACTCGTTGTGCGAGACAATTAATTTTCGTGAAATTTTTCCCCCAGAATTTTACACTGTTTAGGGATTTTTTTTTATATTTAATTACCAATTGCTTAATGGTGGCAGACAATCATCTGACCCATAGGTGGCAGCCATCTCAAGCCAGAGGACGAGAGGACTCTAGCCGCCCGTTTCATGATGACGCAAATGTTGACTAACCACATGGCATGAAATCCCTGCCCCCACGCTGTACAGTGGATACTATTTATAGAGCAGTTACATTGAAGCCGCCAGGTTCTTGAAAGTGGTAATACGGGTCAACGCTAGTGCCCTCGGGAATATACGGGGCATGTCAAGAGGTGATCTTACATATAAAGGATTTATAGTGAAAAACTTTGTTTTTACGGGTTAATTTTTGTACCATCACCATCACCATCATTTATACTCTGAATGGAATGCTCCTGGTCCCATCAGATTGCATGAGCTAAGCAGCGCTTTTTTTACCTGGGATGGAATAACTGCCTGAGAATGTGGATGGTTGAGTATTAGCCTCTTGTTTGTGTGAGTGTTATACTCTGAATTTAATCTTCTTGGTTCTTTCGGTAAAGTCACGTAGAAGGGAAATATTTAAATAATAATAATAAAACATAATAAAATACAATTCTCAGTGAGGCGGCCATTTAAACAAAGCATCACGATAGATAATTTAATCTATCCGTGTGAATGTTTGAGTATTAGCCTCTTGTTTGTATGAGTTTTCAATGGGTATTCCAATTTCCTCCCACATCCTAAAGCACTCAATTTGGGAAATTGGTAAACATTCAAATGCAATACTCCAGAAAAAAGTTTTTGGAGACTCAGCGAGGCTTCTCTGCGTTAAATAAAGGACACGTTGAGTACTATTCCTATTTTTTTTTTAATCTAACATTTGTCAATGAATCCAGCCAATTGAGTCGATAGAAAAGTACCTGGCTCACAAGAAGGCCGTGAGTCTAAAATCCTGGTTGGGATTTAATTCAGTCCATAATCTTTAAAAGGAAAGACAAAATAAGTATCACTTTCTAGGAAATCTAGAATGGTTGTCCTATGCAGAAAATGACGAAAGGAAAGTGGAAATGTTATTACAAGCCCACTGGATACAATTTAAAATGAACCACAAATCCATTTAAAAAGGTTGACATGAATTACAGAACAAGTAAATACATTCCACGAACATGAATACTGGCAAACATTGTTGGCTGGGGGCAGATTACTCCCTCACACTAAATCAACAGCATTTCCTAAAACACAGCACGAAGAGTAAACAATTTCAGGAGAGAGTTCAAACTGCTTTAAGGGAATGTTAAAATTGAACCCTTCCAACAACCACTCTGCCTCCAATGATGAACGTGTCTGCTCACATCGCAAGCTTCAAAGCAGTTGAATCCCTTTCACGGTGAGTCCAGAGATACGATTGGGGTTTCAAAGTTCGCCTAATGTGCAGTACGTTCTAAACACTGCATCTCATTATTCTTACCTTAAAGGCATATATTTAGTGCCTTATCCAATGCGTTTAACACAGAATTAACAACGGTACGTATGGCAGAGGTCGCAACCGGGTACCCGATACCCGTACCCTACCCGATACCCGGCTATCCGTACCCGGTCGGGTACGGGTATGGGTAGCCGTTTGCGACCCTGGTGCGGCCGGGTACGGGTAGGCCGTGAGTCACTGGTGACTGGTGAGTCACCGTTTGTCGCTCATTTCGGGTAGGGTACGGGTACTGGTGCGGCCGGGTACGGGTACGGGTAAAGAATCAAAATCCGTTTACGACCTCTGACGTATGGATGTCAATGGTGGAGATGAGATGAATGAAATAGATGACAGGAAGCAATGGGGGGCAAATCTGTGATGTGTGAATTCGGGGAAAGCGAAATTGATGGCAGTAAATGATGGTGAATAGCTTGAATGGGGAGTGAGTGAAACCCATATAATCATATTCTTAGGTGTTTTCGGTAAAAGAATATGATTCCTTGCAGTCACGAAAGCTTCAAGTCTAGAACCATATAATCAGAATATGAAGAGGGAAAAATAACGGTGGCAGTTACGAGGGGGAGATTAAGGGGTCATGGGATGAGCTAGGGAACAATAAGTGAGTTTTGAGTGCGGAGCGGAAGTTATTAAAACGTTCTCAACATCTGCCACACATACAGATTATAATATTCCATACCGTGTGCACACTATTACCTGGATAAAGCACGCCACTGCCGGCAGAAGGGCCTCCACTAGATGGGAGCTCTCGAGAGAATTTATAAGCAAATTAAGTTTACGTTTATTTGATTTGTTTACACGGATGGTCCCATTTAGCCAGTTGCCCGGCTCTTTTACAAGAGGGATCCGTAGTGCGTGAGCACAGCAGCAGTAACAAAACAAACACTTTAAAACATAGTATGTATCATTTTATTGTTTCATAGATTCGGGAAATGTCCGTGTATGAAACATTATCGGAGCCACTTGGCCGAATTGGTCGTGTGTTTAATCGCTGCGATTGTGACATTGCACAGATGTTTGTACGGAAGGCGTCGTTTTCTGCCGTTCTCACCCCAGTCATCGTATCCGTGCGTGAGCTCATGACCGATGATGGTCCCAATTCCCCCATAGTTCATGGATCTGTTGGAGGAAAGAGACGCGAAAAACCATCGTAAAACGTGCTCAACCTCGTTCTTCGAGACCAGGGGCTGGCAACCGAAATAACAGGAAGAGACATTTTCTTTTCAAATTTGGTGAACAAAAAACTCAATATCCTAAGCACCGCAATGCAATGTGAATACGAGACGGTGGACCTTAATAAATGACGGTCATGAAGCCGTCCTTAAAGAGCCGCATGAGGCTCCAAAGCCACAGGATGATGACCCTTGTTCTAGACCCTTGTTCTAGACCCTTGTTCTAGACCATGGGTTGGGAACGTCCGGCCCGCGGGCCGTAAAAGGCCCGCAAAATCGTTTAATCTGGCCCTGCCAAGGCAACCGCAGGCAGGACTCGAAATTCAATAAATCTAGGAGCAAACCTGGAAAAGCAGTTGCGAGTAGCAGCAACATCATCAACACCAGCTAACATCACACGCCTTGCCAAAGAGAAGCAGTTCCAGCCATCGCATTAGGAGTGAGTAAATTAAATGCTTGACCAAGTATAACAGGCTAGTTTTTAAGTTGATACTTTTGTATGGCCTGCGAATTATGTTATAAATATCCAAATGGCCCTTGGTAGAAAAAAGGTTCCCCACCCCTGTTCTAGACCCTTGACCTATTTAGCTGTCGGGGCATGGACGTTTCTATCACCGATATTTCATTGCAGTGCTCTCTTCTCCACTGTCCTCTAGAGTGAACTTGCCTGTGACATTTCCATGATTTGGTCCCGAAGTACTCAGGAGGTCACCTTTGTAGAGGAACCATAAAAATTAGTTCTCCAAAAAAATACTTTTGTTTTAGAAGCGGCCAGATGGCTCAAAGGTCGGAGGCGCCGAGTCAGCACTGCTGATATGCTGGGTTTAAATCTGGGCAGCCACCCATGATTCAAGTGTAGATAGTTAATATTAATAATACTACTTTACATTTGTGAGGCGCATTTCATTCGTAGATCCGAATAAACTGGGTATGGAAAGCGTGAAATAAGCAGAACCAGGGTATATTGCCCGAACTAGGTGGGTAAAGGCCAATTTAAAGAGGTGAGTGTTCAAGACAGACTGAAATAACTCTTATTACCAAAAGAAAAAGCGTTTCATAGTCAATAATTGATGGTCTCTGCCTGGTCACCGATGACTGAACGAAATATCATCAGGTAAAACTGAAAAAATATATTTTTCACAAAATTCGTATGGCTAAATTACAGCTATGAGAATTAAAATATTGGTTTGGCTGTCACGTGACGGCCACCAATCCCAGACGTTATGTAAAAGTCTCTTGCAGACCTAGGGCTGCAGTGCTATTGGAGATTTCCAAATGAAATCTCCGTGGCATGATGTGCTGATAGCACGCTGAAAATAAAATTGGAAAAATAGACCAAAATACATCCAAATATGTAGATTCATTGGGTATGCATTTGATTAACTTTAAATTACTTTGCCAGGGTAAAGCGGAATTATTCCAATAGAAGCCTATTGAAATCCAGCCATGATTAAAACACGACTCTAATTGTGGCAGTTTCATTTTTTTAATTGGATTAGAATCTCCCACTGTGATTCTGCATTGTTCTATCTGATCACACACTAACAAGATCTACACGCAATACACTGACACAAAATGCCCTCATTTCCATTAAAGAACATGCATCTATTTTCCATTTTCTATCCAGCTGAACAGCAATAATTTTCTAAGGCATTTTTAAAACGCTTGAATTAATCATTCGAAATCTCATCCAAAATTCTTACAGGCACATGGCAATACAATTGTGAAAGCAGTTTGCATTTTACATTGAATAAAATTGTGATTGCAAAAGTATGAAATTGTGGATGAGGGACGCAGATTAATATTACTTAGTTTGAATACGAGTTGATCAATGCATTGTAGTGCTGTATAACCACGTAAGACACATGTCAATCCCAGCTTTGGAAATGAGAATTCAGGAGAGGCCTGGGTCGGTCTTTGGAGACCAAAGCCGAGCCATGTTTACAAATGTTATTGACGGTTCATATGCTCATTGTGCCACTTACTGTGGGAACTCAGGGTCATAGAGCGTGGGCTGGAGGATACCAGCTGGAAAGACTGGAAGGCAAAAGAAAAACAGGGCATAGAGACAAACGCACATACCAACAGAGACACGAGAACGATAGACGACCAATTACAGGCCCGATGGAACACAGGAAGATACAATATGTATACATAAACACACAAGCACACACGCGCAGCAGACCAGACAGAGACACGCGTAACAAAATTACGTTGTCATTAGATTACTGCCGGCAGTCGATATCTTAATTCATTTCATCTTTACATGACTCATGCAATGCATGGAGAAGCGTGCCGTTATTTTTGGTAGAGGTATGTTTATTTTGCATGACCGCCGGGCATGTAATCATGTTAAACTCACAGCGCTTCGATGAATTGTCACGATTTATTTCTAGATTAGTAAATTTAACTTTTTGATAATTATATTGCATGCTCAGGGCTGCCCAGAGTCTTGGGCAAAAGAGGCAATTTAGTCTGGGCCTTATAAAAAAAGGGGACTCATAACGGGCCTGTTTTTTTCTTCTTGGTTCTTTCGGTAAAATCACATAGAAGGGAAGTACGCCAGGGTCAACATCAGTGGAAAGTGGCATCAAAATCAGTCCTGCTCTTGCCCAGTTTCACCAACTCGCACCGACCAATGTGGTGAAGTATTGTGTTTCATTCAGACTCTGCCTTCTCGACAGACCTGTTCTCCACCTGAAGACGGCTGCTTGCGTTGTGGCCGAAACGTCGTGAGGGCTTGTTTTTGTTGTTACTTCTAATGCATAATTTAGGGAACCTCACGTGGCATTGCGCCATGAGTCTCCAGCAATCATTGGGTGACCCTGTAATAGGCATATTAATTGCATAATTTGCAGATAATAATTTCGCATGCACAAGCTTTGAAGCTTGTATCCTGTGCATAAGAAACAATTTAAATTTATGAATTAATGGGTATTATGGCCCCATCATGATGTAACGAGTGTACTTAAGTGTCTGTACGCTACAAGAAGCATCAAGGTAATTGAAAAGATCTCAATCATCTTTGACAGATCAAAGACAGAGCGGGGCTCCAAGGCATAGACATTTAAATATACGACTTTATGTTTAGACTACAAGAGGAGTGTTTCGCAGATGAGCTCACTGAATACATCACGATTGCCATTACTTGCAAACGACATTAAGAGTATAAGTAAACATACTCCCTCGCTAGGATTCAAATAATATAATAAAAACACCATAACCTCTCCTGCACTTTAAACACAACAACATTTGCTTCCAGGGGGCATCTAAAACATATCTCACCCATCTGGTTGTGAGTGGGCAGATAATATGCGTTGAGAGTTTGAGGAGGAAGCAGCCACCTACAGAAGTAAAGACACGCGGTTGGAACGTTACGTGTGTCAAGCTCTAATGTAGTCCATGGGCCCAGAATAACACATATCTTGCATGTTGCTACCACTGGAGATGGTCAAACTGGAGTTGTACCAACATCTTTAAATTGGCAATAAAGTGAATATGCAATAATCTTATTTAATAAGTAAAAACAAATCAACGCATTCCTCAATAACACTGCCTTGAACGTAAACTTAGATGAGGCGGTATTTTTGACAAATGCGTGGATGATTATTTTGTTAGTTATTTCTGCTTGTGCACCACGGCAAATGCAGTTTAACCAAATAATGTATTTTACTTTCTAAGTATGTTTACACATAATTTACTCTTTTTAGTTGAATACATGTGTCACCTCTGACTGGTACCAAATTCTAATCTGGCCCATGAACAACAGATGGTTAATCCGTTTATTATCCCAACGTCATGAAAGTCTTAAAGTCAGGAATGCAATTATGACAATTTAAAATCTCATAGACAAAGTTGTTGAACACGCTTAAAATCAGTATTCATATCCCCCTTGCCGATTGTTATCTCGCCTGCAAACCATCGGATATGCAATGGGTTCAATAATAATAATGATAAAAAAGAGTATTAATATACAATGGATGATGGCGATGATGGATGGGTGACGGATGATAGATTAAGATGATAATGGGTAGAGATGGATGGCAACGATGAACGACTATGATGGCCATTCATTACGATGACAGAAGCAAATTGAAACCGATAATGTAATTTGCATCGCCCATGAAAAGGCACCAAGAAAGCTAATTGTCAATCGGAAATATATGGCGGTGATGGGGAGGTAAAGGGAGCAACGGGGTCTGAACCCCATCTCGATGACCGTATATTGCCAACGTATTTCCTTTGTGCCCAATGCGTGTTTTTAATGGTCAATTTTTTTCCCAGCTTCAGTTTTTACAATGGCGAAAACGATAATAATTCTTAATTCGGGGCGAATGTGCAAGCAACAGCCACGCGACTGTGAGCAGCGTGATGGACTCACACGTTGCGCTCCACCTTCTGATGAATCTTGTGGATCGACACGTTGATGTTGAACTCGATGCTGTTGAGGATGTTCTTGAAATACGACTTCTCGTTGACTTCAAACTGAAGCGGTAAACAGTTCACCACCGCCGTTTAGTCATCCACAAACGTAAGCTGCAGGCACTCGAAAAGATCACAATCGGTTCAACCGGTGGTCAATCAATCCACGCAGTCGATGATTTACGCATTCTCGCAAACACACGCGCACACCGCACACACCGGCATCAGGGTCGAAATTTGCCAAATTCGAGCATAAACTGTTGAGTCCTTCTGAATGAGCAGTTCCCATTGTGTAACTCAATCTGTTGTAGGCACAATAGACATATTGGCTGCTTTCCAGTGAGTTCATTGCTCAGAAGACACAACGATTGATTTACGGTCCACAGAACGGCGCTGACATTCGCCTGCTGTAAGGAAATATGGCATAACTACAGGCCGCTTTGTGTAGTTTAGCATTCATTCATTTTTTGACATAGTTGCTGAGCACAGGCACAACGCCCGCTCCTCCAAGACCGAAAACGGCAAGCGGCCAGCCACAAACAGCAGTTGTGATAGCAGTTGTGATAGCTCAAGGTTATGAGGGCTCGAGGGGGAAAGATGTGATTGGTTGGGTAACTGGATTTCAGTACCCGTTTTGAGCACCGCGAATTACTCACGTGAATTACGTAGAGACTCACAAACGTATCCACGGATCGAATCACACACGTGAAAGAATCACACGTGTTTTATTGTATCTGTACAGGGGTGGGGAACGTCCGACCCGCGGGCCGTATGAGGCCCGCGAAATCATTTGGTCTGGCCCTGCCAAGGCAACCGGAGGCGGGACTCGAAATTCAATAAATCTAGGAGCAAACCTAGAAAAACAGTTGCGAGTAGCAACATCATCAATGCCAGCTAACATCACACGCTTCGCCAAAGAGAAGCAGTTCCAGCCATCACATTAGGGGTGAGTTAATTAAATGTTTGACCAAATATAACGGGCTAGTTTTTAATTTGATAATTTTGTATGGCCGGCGAATGATGTTGTAAATATCCAAATGGCCCTTGGCAGAAAAAAGGTTCCCCACCCCTGACGTAGAGACTCACAAACGTATATACGGATCGAATCACACACGTGAAAGAATCACACGTGTTTTATTGTATTCATATATGCCGTATGCAATGGGTTTGCATGGTCCCTTCCAGCTACGAAGTGGCCACTACGTTCACCCCGCGACGTAAAACCACACGTATCGATCCGAATACAAAAAAATTGTACGCAGCAAGACAAGACGCGACTTACTCCGTATTCCTTATCGACTTCGTCCATCTTCCCAAGAAACTCGGGATAGCCGATCATATCCATCATGTACTGCAGCTGCAAAGACAAAGATCCCCCATGTAGGCTTTAACAGGCTGTTAGGGCAAGTGCTGGTTGCGAGAATCTGTGAAGGCCGGTACAAAGTGGGGGGTGGCCAGCACCACGCCCGACCGCCTTTGTCTCCCTAGTGGCGACGCTTACACATGGCACCAGGTACTCATTCGAGGCTGAGTCGACCTAGGGGAGGCCCAGAATCAGTTCAGATAATCGTCGCTGGTGATGGTCGTAAGCAGGAATCGAACTCGAGTGGTCGGGTTCGTAGCGCGGTGCGCGAACCACCGGCATCAGGGTCGAAATTTGCCAAATTCGAACATTGAAAAAATTGCGATTATAAATTTGCAATCATCGCCCTCCTACTGGATGGAAGACGGAACGCTCCAGATCAAATAATTGAAACTGGATTGCAATGCCAACGCAGAGTTTGCTGTTCATCGTCATCAGACTTGCGTCGGCCACAAAGGGTCATTACATGACCCCGAGTGTCCATGTCACACCGCGCGACAGAAGGAAAGCCTCTTGCAAGGTCAGACAAGGGTCACGACCGCTCTGATGAACCCACGAGGTCTCGTGGTCGGCCGGCTGGATGGAGAGAGTCGACTGCTCTATGTGTGCCCGTGAGTTTTCCTCACCTCCGATTAACACGGTTGGCTATGTACGGTGCGAAAAAAATTCTACGTACATACAAAGACAAAGATCCCCCATGTAGCCTTAATAGATTGTTGGGGCAAGTGCTGTTAGTGAGCATCTGTTAAGGACAGAATGGCGCACGAGGAGGTGGGTGGCCAGCACCACGCCCGGGCCGCCTTTGTCTCTCCAGTGGCGATGTTTACACACCGCACCAGGTAATCATTTGAGGTTGAGTCGACCTTGGGGAGGCCCAGAACCTGTTTAAATGATCGTCACTGGTGTTGGCCGTGAGCAGGAATCGAACTCTGGTCGCCAGGTTCGTAGTGCAGTGCGCTAACCGTTACGCTACCGCTCCCCAATACACTCACCCACTCACTGATCCACTCGCTCACCCACTCACGGTTGGCTACGTACGGTGCAAAAGAAGTTTAACATACTATGGGGACCTCATTTGCCAGTAAAAATATGATAATTGGTTCTTTACCCTTCTATCTGGCAACAAAACTGACACCTTTTTGCAAGGAGTCATGTTTGCATAGACCGCAATACCTGCAGTCATAAATACAAACAAAAGACACATTATCAGAGTTATGTCTTTTGTTTGTATTTATGACTGCAGGTATTGCGGTCTATGCAAACATGACTCCTTGCAAAAAGGTGTCAGTTTTGTTGCCAGATAGAAGGGTAAAGAACCAATTATCAAGTTCAACATACACACATAATGCAGTAGCTGCTGCTAATTGGTACCTTTCCTCGTGCTGCGTCCTTGGTCTTTTCATCCATCCAGCCCAGCTCCTCCAGCCGCTGGTCAAAGGCATGCTTGATGTCTTCCACCATCTGCTGAACCTGAGTGTTCGGCAAATTGAAATTTTAATTCAAACACGGCTTCGACAGGGGGTACGGAAAATCAACAACGAACAGCAATTGAGTGACACTTTATTTGGGGGGTGAACGGAGGGTGTCCAATCAGACTACTGGTTACTGCTATTTATTTATTGAAGGGCTTTTGTCAAACCACTGCTGGATGGAAGTGGTGCTTATTTGACATTTGATTTACTCATCTCTGCGTTTTGTCCAGCCCCTGTTCGACAATTGTCGAAATTTCGAACGCAGTTTGCAAATGAAAGGAAGATGGCTGAGACATTACCCTCCCTTCTACACCCCCCTTCCCCTTCTATGCGTGGGTTTTCATTGGGCACTCCGGTTTCCTCCCACATGTATAAACACTCATTAATGGAGATAGCGAAACACCCTAATATCGAACTACAGAACTTGGGCAACTGTTGGTTCTGGTTCTGCCTGCCCTTCCCACTATGAAATGTGGTTTCCGGCACTTTGAATAATTCTCTCTCTCTCTCTGTCTTTGAGAGTGGATGAAAACTGTGCACGTGACAAATTCTAAATTATTATCAGTGGAGGGGGGCTCTCTGCACCCTCTGGCGCCTTTCCGACACTTCGGGCCTCATGCCAACCACACACTACGCCGCTGGATCTGCTTGGTGACCAGCGTAAAGACTAAAAACGATGCTCTTTGAGCGCTGAGTTTTGGGCTTCTGTCCGGTGGCATTTCTGTGCCCCTTCCATTTTTTTATTGCTTGTGCTTCATGCCGGGCTTTGTAAAAAAAGACAAAAATCCACCTGCTCCGGCTCGTCTCTAAAATATTGCTTCCTTCAGTGCCGGATTAAGCTAGTGCGGGGCCTGTAGCATATGTTATAAAGGAGCCCTTCATTTAAAAACGACACGTAAATATTAAAACACACATTTTTTACCTGCATAGTAAAGCAATTGTATTTTTGCACGTGCTATACAGCCAGCAAATATGACAAATCGATAATCTAAAACAACCAGTCATTAATAAAAGTTGAAGGCAGTATAGTACTATAGTAATAGAGCAAGTGCAGAATCACTGAAACGGAATTTCGAGCTTAAAAGCATTTAGTGCGGGGCCCTTAATAGTGCGGGGCCCATAGCATTTGTAGCTACTTTTGCTACGAGGATAATCCGGCACTGGCTCCCTTCCCATTGGGATGACAGCAGCAGCAGCAGGAGGGGGGCCATCTCTCTCTCCCTGCGCCGCGGTGGAACCGAGGCGGCCCCGCCAATCGCCGAGAGTGACGCCCTCGCGGCGAGAGAGAGAGAGAGAGGGCACCTCACCCTCTGCTTGCTGTGCAGGGAGAAGTGTTCGCGGACGAAGAGGGCCCCGAGCACCATGCCGAAGTACTTGTTAGCCTGCGTCAAGCAGAGGCGCTCCAGGTCCACCTCCTTCTCGGCTCCGTCCACCTCGCGCGAGAAGTCGTGCAGCGCGGCGCGGAACGGCGGCGAGAGGTGCGTGCTCAGCACGATGACGACCCGCCAGAGCATGTAGTTGTGCAGCACCCTATCGGGAACGGGATCGGGATCGGAATGTTTATTTATGCTGGAGGAATCCGATGAGCTATGAAGCTCTTCTTTTTTTTTCAAAACAGACCGCTGTGCTGATGTGGTAACGAATTGGCACGTTTTTTTACGTGACAAACCTTACTAATTGGCTGTGTCGGGTGGTGGTGGGTTAACGACACATTTATATTTACTTCACCTCGCTGCTCGATAAGGGTTGTTGAAGGCGGGGAGCGTGGAACACCGGACTAAAATGGATTTTACTGCACCGCTGCCCACCATGTCGCCTTGTCACATCCCTATGTTAACCTGTTGGTGCACGCTGGTCCGCCCATCCAAGCAATATCCAGGCTCAAGCATATTTAGCTTCTGAGACCTGACATGACCGGGTGCATTCCGGGTGATTTGGTCAGAGGCATTATTTTATTTATAGTATATATATCTGAATTTTGCATATCTGGCACTGCAATCATAGTACGTAGTATAAACAGCAAACACGTGGTGGAATGGGATTTTTCTACAAATTAAATAATGCATGCATATTAAAAAAACAAGATTTCAGTCATAACTGCGAATGCCTATTTCAGGCAGCAGCAAAAATGCATTTGGAAAATTCCACGCGAGTAATTTGCCTTTGAGTTGGAGCCAGGGGGGAAAACTGCGGTGCCCCATTCAATTTGCGGCAATGTCTGTTTGATGCCGCTTACGAAAAATGTAAGAAAGATCACCTTAGACATGCCAAAGATATTTTACATTGTTCAATATGCCAAGCTTTAGATACATATAAGTGGATTAACGCATTAATGAAGACAATTTATATTTTAAAAACATCTTTAAAAAATTCCATGTTCGACTCACGCGAATGCCTCAACCTATATTTTCCCGCAATAATTGACCCCTGATTAAATAAATTACTTTTGCATTATTTTCAGCTGAGAATGCTTTGAAACACAAGACAATGTATTTTATCGGCAAATGAGGTCTGAGATTAAATCAATTGTAAAGACGTTACGACACAAAACAGAATCAATATTCACAGAGCATGCAGTAGAAAGATGAAGGTGCAAGCCTGCAACTGCCTGCTCACGCATTTGCTGACGGAAGGGTTGGGAGCTTTAGAGAGCCCCTCTAGACAGTATTAATTTGGCCTACTTCTCCACGCTGGTCAGACGTCTTGGAAGAAGTGGGAGTACCCATGATTTATCCCCGCAAACGCGACCCCCTGATCTATTGTGGTGGTGAACCCAGTGCAGGCAATCTAGATTGAAAGTTTTCGTGACTGCAGGGATCCATACTCTTTGGTTCTTTCGGTAAAGTCACGTAGGTATAAAATATCAATAATTTATTTTATTTAAAATAATTTATTTTATTTTATATAAAGTGACTTTAAAGTCACGTGACTTTACCGAAAGAACCAAAGAGTATCCAGTGCAGCCAGGTATACTGCTGGGCGGTTGCACAGAGGCCCATTATTTTAACTGCCACACCGGGAGATCAAACTGTCGACCTCTGGATTACAAGTCCGGCGATCCGACCCTGATGCTACAGTAGCAATAGAACCAAACTGTAATCCTCATCATGGGAGTTGGTGAAACATTGGAACAAGAGTCTGCAGACTCAGTGAGGCATTCCTGGGACATTTAAAAAAAATGATATAATTTAAAAATGTGTTCTAAATCAGTGACTTAAACATTTAAACGTCTGCATAAAACATAGCTAAATTACTATTAATATTACAAAAAAATAAGCTTACAGATGTTCTAGACCGGAGGATGATTTATAACAAGTTCAACATTACTTAGAAACGAGCTCAACGGTAGGGGTGACCAATCCACCATGCACTGTGATTCAATCTTGAGGTTCTCAACAGGTTCCATGATCCACCAGAGAACTATAACAATTACCAGTACCTGTTTGTATAGACATAAAGTACTAGCGCCATGCATGTACATATCCTGCACTTCTTTCGCACTGTACGTAGCCAACCGTGCTAATTAGAGGTGCCATTCTATTGGTAGAAGTCATTATGTTTTTAATGTGTGGAGTCTTCGTCGGTGATTTTTATTTCGCCATCAGCGGTAACGAGAGTTGTTGTTGTTGTGTGCTTATGGCAGCATTTGTTCTGTTTTGTCCTTAGATCCACAGCAAATATTTTTGATCCACCCGTAGAATGCGATCCACGTATTGGCCACTCCTGCTCGAGGCCACTGCTTAGTCTGTTGGCCCCTGATAAGTTTGTCCATCCTTCCCCCGCGCCTTACATTTGCACGGTTGGCTAAGTATGGTGCGAAAGAAGTTCAACATACATACATGCATGCATTAGCAATATCACATTATGACCACACCAGAGCAGGTCCCACACTCATCTTCTTGGTTCTTTCGGTAAAGTCACGTAGAAGGGAAGTAATAAAATAATACAAATAAAACATAATAAAATAATTCTCACGACGTTTCGGCCACAACGCAAGCAGCCGTCCTCAGGTGAAGAATGAAACACCACCAAGCTTGGAGCGTATATTTAAGCTGGTTTAGAGGGGGGGAGGTGGGAGGAAGAGTGGCGCTGTTCTTCCCACCTCCCCCCTTCTACGTGACTTTACCGAAAGAACCAAGAAGATGAATCCCTGCAGTCACGAAAGCTTTAAATCGAAAAAGGTCCCACACTTTTGAGCTGTCGCACACAGTTAAAGAATAATTAATCATTATCAAATATGTGCAGAAGTTCTGACCCTTATGGTTAAGGATACATGTCCAACTTTAACGTCTGATCTGTGGCTATTGGTCAACCCTGTAGGTGTGGGCTGTGCTGTACCTGACAGGAGTGGTAGAGAGGAGATGGGAGAGTTTCTTGATGTAGGTCGTAGCTAAAACCACGACTTCTTCATCTTCTGAAATCCGCTTTCTAAAAATCTGCTCCAGAAATTGCCTCCAGTTGATCTGATCACGTAAAAGAAAATGCATTGATGTAAAATTGGGAATGTTGGACATGGCAGCGAGGTAGCATCTCCACCAATACCAATTTCATTTAAAAAAGCTCATTTCGCATTGTTGAAGAACATTATGTCAAAAATACAAATCGTCTTCCATTCATCTCTCGATATATAAACACAAATATGTATTTAGTCCATCAGCCGATTGGCATTCTGGTCCAATATTTGCCAGCAGGCATAACTCTGGGCTGGTTTCAAACTTCAGGGACTCATCAGCAGAGACAAGCCTGTTAAACAAATATTAATGGGCTGCCAGATGGTATTGGCAAGGGCACTTCATCTATTAGATGACGGGTTCTTGTTTGGCAGAAGAATAACAATTCTAGATTTGAAGCTTTCGTGACTGCAAGGATTCATACTCTTAGGTTTTTTCGGTAAAGTCACGTAGGTAAAAAATAAAATTAATAGAAACAAAATAAATCAATAAATCACGACGTTTCGGAGGCAACACAAGTCTCCGTCATCAGGTGAGTGACTCACTTGATACAGTAAATCTAGCTGTGACGGTCCCACCCGATGACGGAGACTTGTGTTGCCTCCGAAACTGTCGTGATTGATTATTTTATTTTGTTTCTATTAATTTTATTTTTTACCTACGTGACTTTACCGAAAAAACCTAAGAGTAGAAGAGTAACATTTGTATAAGAACTCATTATGCGGCAGGCATGGGTAATACAATAGAAGGACTTCTGTTGGTTGCTCAAAATAAAACAAAGCATTTTTAGTTTATCACCTAATAGGCTTTCCAGATCAATATTGCCCAGCAGCATTCGTGTTAAGCAATACATATCTCTGGACAAATTTCAACCATTTGGCTATAATCAGCAGAGTTTGGCTTGTTAAACAAATGCTGCTGGATTGCCAGATATCTTTGGCAAAAGAGCGCTACATGTGTTTTAAAATAATGGTCCAGAAAGGCCATAAGCTGATGGATTAAATTATCACGGTATATAAATCACACTTGCTAAGCGAATGGGCCTAAAATGCCAAGTAGCCAGCAACAAACAGCACAATTAAAGTTGCATAATTTGGAGCGAGAATTATGCTCATGCGATCTACTCATGGTTATTGATGGTAGTACAACACATTACTTCACGATAGCGTATTACATGAACTCTTATGGGCCACATCTACTATTGAAAAGCAATCCCTCTTCTGCTTGTTTAATTAGTTTCACGGCCAAGTGTCCACTGGACGGACGGTCCACCCAGCTGCAATGCCTTCCGCACCGCAGGCTTGGTTGCCCGTGCATGGGTAGATACTCACAGCTGGAGCCAAATGATGAAGGTCCCTCAATTTCATTTTGTTGTACATGTTATTGATGTCCCGTCTCAAGGGGTCTGACTCTGACAATGTGATCTGTGGAGCAGAAATCACGCGAGTTGCTTTTACCCCCGCCACAACAACAGCAATTTCAGCCACACTTAATGGGCCAGTCCGGGCTAATGGCCACATTCACCGTACATTACGGTCATTCCAAAACAAATCAGGAATAGAAAGGGGCTTTTATTACTTAATATATATCAGTATGAGAATCAGGTCGTGTTTGGTGGCTGTGGGTGCTGCCACTTCTTCTAAACCATCTGGTCAGCGTGGAACAGAGGTCGCAATCGGGTACACGATACCCCTACCCTACCCGATACCCGGATACCCGTACCCGGCCGGGTATCGGGTACGGGTACCCGTTTGCGACCCTGGTGCGGCCGGGTACGGGAATGGAATCAAAACCCGTTTGCGACCTCTGGCGTGGAAGAGTGGACCATATGGGCCATAACATCCCCTGGAGGGTCCCTCTAGAGCAGTGGTTCTCAACCTTGTTTTGGCTCCTGATGAATTGTGTTTAATCCGAGTCACCCCCACTGCACTGACCCAACATGAAATAAATGTATGAATAATGATGATCATCAATATTTTAGCCGATTGTCCATTCTGGGAGGTATCCTAACTAGCTCGTAACTGCAAGCGTGTACAAAATTCAACGGACACACTGCATGCGTGATGTGATTTGTTCACGCTCACTGATTATTTATTCTTAAAAAAACACGTTATTTACGATCAATGAGTTTAGAAAGGTGTTTTGTATCGTTCTAGGTTACCACATGGACTAACATTTTATCGTAGTTACTTTATATTGCCAGATTCGTACATGCTTACTCACCAATGACTCTCGTGTACCATATAATTTCACACATTTATACATCTATACATGATCTCACGTATTGCCACGTGCCCCCAGGGGGTCCGCGTGCCCCCGGTTGGGAACCACTGCTCCAGGGTTCCCTTCATTGGAGGCATCTTTCCACCAGCAGTGGCCTGAGCGTGGAATTGCAGGGCTGCCAACCTATAGATGTGAGGTGTCGTGCATCAATGAAACTCCTGTTGTTGTTGTTGTTGTTATCGTTATTATGAGCGAACTGATTTCCCTGAAGCTCACAGTTGCCTTAAACAGTGATCATTATCACGTGTTAGTTCAACAAATGGTGCTGCGCAAGAGCACAATCTTATGACTCCTTGTAAAAAATGTGTCAGTTTTGTTGCCAGATAAAAGGGTAAAAAAGCTATTATCATATTTTGCTACTGGCAAATGAGGCTCCAATGGTGTAAATGCTTACCCCGAGCTCTTATACTCTGATGGTTCATTGTCCTTGAGTTGTGCGCCTTTTGGCGTCATCTGGTCCAACACCATGTGAGACTAGGCTCTAAAGAAAGCTGTCTAGGATGTGGACCAATCAATTTCAAGGACAGTGCATACATTATCAGAGTTATGTTTTTTTTGCATTCCGACTGCAGGTATTGTGGTGAATGCGAACATGACTCCTTGTAAAAAAAAGGTGTGAGTTTTGTTGCCAGATAAAAGAGTTAAAAAACAATTATCATATTTTGTTACTGGCAAATGAGGTTCCAATGGAGCACAATCTTACGTTGAGTTCATTCACCCAGTGAAATTATGGTTCACGGTGGCGTTCGTCCATTCTAAGTGGGCTGCAAAAATAAAGGGCCTTTTTCACAGTAGTTGCACCGACCACAAGGAATGGCCGCTTTGTCAAGGTATTACACGTATTGTGTTACTTCGAAGATATCGAGTGCTTTGACAGTAGAATGTGTCCATGCAATGTGAATAGTCACAATTTGTGGTTGTGATTCATCTTACATTTGATTAATCGTTCCTCTCTCTTTTACCATCTCATTTGTACTCTTTATATATTTTTTTGAGTCTCGCTTGTAGAGTTTTATTTTGTTCCATCAGCCAAAATGTATGACTGGCATATCATTTGCATAGGCTGTGAAATAAATATATTCTCGCACGCATAGTTCTATGCATGTATCATTTTATTCAACACATCGATGAATTATTCCATACCCACTGTCAAATAAAAGCAGCAGTCTTCACAGTGGCACAGATGAGCTTGATGGCTGCATGCAATCTGTAGGTGTTTTATTTCGGGCAGTTTATTTATTATCATGTATGTATGTTGAACTTATTTTGCGTTGTACGTGGCCAACGATGCTAGTCTACCCAGCAAAGCGTTGCCGAGTCTCAGGACTCCTTTTCAGGAGGGTCCTGCCAAGTTTTCGCAGTAGCCAGTGACGTTGCTATATGTAGCGCTGATTGAGATAAAATCTCAGGACATTTTTCAGCATTGGGATGTTTGGTTAATACCACTTACATTGGTATCTTTTTAGAGAAAAGCTTGTTAAACACATACTGATGGGTTGCCAGATGTTATTGCCAAAGGCACTTCATCGACATTACGGGGTCCTGTTTGGTATTTTAGTAATATTTGTATAAAAATTGTTATGGGAGGAAAACCAAATAACCCAGAGGAAACCAATGCCGAACAGGAGGATAACATAAAAACTCCCCACAGAAAAGGTTCCCGAGTCGGGAATCGAACCTTGGCCCTTCTTGCTGTCAGGCAAAAGCGTTTCCATTGCGCCAACCTGCTGCCTTGTGTAGGCAATTAAAACAGCTCTGTGGAAACCACACGCAGTACTGTGTATATATATATTTTGCGAGAAGAAACCATACACCATGCGACCTCGACAATGTCAAAAACAAATGCACCATATTCACTGGCTAACCGGCATCTCTGGCCGATGACTCACGTTGGCCAGCTGCTGTTCAAACTCAAAGACGTCCTCCAGCTTGTGTCTGGCGTTCCTGGCTCCCAGCAGGGTGGTGATCTTGTTCATCAGCACTTTGTAGGCCTTGATCACCTGTGGACCCACGGAGAGGGGGAGAAGGAACGAGGGTGCGTGGGGCGCCGAAGCCCCATCGTCTGCATTCGAAGGTCGAATACGTTATAAGGTCGCACTAATTTCACGCACAATGTGCTTGCCACGAATGAACCACAATACCTTGCTGATCTCGTACAGGAGATTCAAAACAAATTCCTGCGGAGGGAGCTGGTAGGAACGTTGGGTTGCTTGGTCAATGGCCAGGGTCAACGGCGGCGTGGTGTATTCCGCAAATTTGCCCGACTGTGAGGGCGGGCACAAGCCGGCGTGAGTAGGTTAAGCGTTGAGTTTTATAAGGGCACCACGGGGTGACCAGCCCCTCCCCACCCAGCCCCACCCCTCCCACCCCCCACCCAGCCCCACCCCACCCTCCCCACCCAGCCCCTCCCCACCCAGCCCCACCCTCCCCACCCAGCCCCTCCCCACCCTCCCCACCCAGCCCCTCCCTCCCCACCCAGCCCCTCCCTGCACGACGGACGGACACAATAATCCCCTGTGGGCTGGTGTAACCAGGAGGTTCCCACCAGTACAATAACGTGAACATCCTCGCAACAGCGGCAATTGGCCAACCATCTGAGCAAAGACAGTCAACGCATTGCGCGCTTTCAGATGCACTTCACCGGCTGGTGGTGGTGGTGATGGTGGTGCTTGCCACAAATGAACCACCAATAACCTCGCTGATCTCGTCAAGAAGCATGAACCATCACCACGCGACACTCCGGTCACCCTCGCAGCAGCGGCGGCTTTTTGCTGTCCATCGGACAGAGACGGTCACCGCATGTGCGGCCGTCTGGAACGCTCTTCCTTCCGATATTCGGAAGCCACTGGAGCTATGCACTTTTAAATCGAGATTGAAAACGAATTTCTTGAGAACTGCTTTTTGTTTTAGTTTGTTGTCCTTCCCCCGCACCTCCGATGAGCATGGTTGGCTACGTGCGGTGCGACATTTCAACAGACACAGCATCACATTCAGGACCGCACGGTGACCTAGTTTCTCATCTCGTTGAAAGGTCTTTCGTCACGTGGCATTCCGAGAATGTGCCTCTGCAAAGAAAGAAATCGCCTCTGGTCACTTGGGTTCACAGCGTGGTGTGCAAACCGCTTGCAACACCGCTCATCCCCACCCGATTTTGATGAACAAACTACAGTCGCTATTTTTGTCTTGGTGGATCACTGTAGTGCTAACAAAATGTATCATTGCTCTGTATCTCCAATAAAGTTGACGATGATCTTGAAGTTGATACTAGAACTAAATCGGTTGGAGGGACCGGAGCATCGAGATGATGAGTCGATGATGATATCCGGGGTGTGAGCGAGAAGCCTGCCTGCTGGCAAACTCTGGCTCACTCGGAGTTTGGAGATGAAAGGGATTGGCGGAGACCATTGAGGAGACCATCGCAGTGGTGAGCGTGCTCCAAGGTTCTCAGAGTCAGTGGGGGTAAGTAAGTGGCAGGCGTGCTTCAGAAGAGGTCACGAGATCGCAGATATAAAGTACGTTGATGCTTTTTTTTGTATTATTCAATAGCCAGCACTGACCAGCGTGGTGAAGTATGGTCAAACATCCGCCAGTCAACATGGGGTTGACACGGGGCTGAATACATATATTTTTTAAAATATATACTATTTTATTTATGAACCGTAACACAGGAGGGGGTTACAGAAATTTTGTGGACCGAAGTCCAAACTCGGTGCTCCTGGGTTCCGGGACAAAAACGTGTCTTCATGATAATGATGCTTTCTTAAGTTTCCACTGAAACATGCAACCTACCTTGAGGCTTTCTTCATCCTGTCCCAGGTAGAGGGACCGCTCAGGCAGGGTGAGTCCCTCTTGGTCTATCTACAGGCAGGGACACAGGTAGGAGAAACACAGAGGCGATGAAGAGTCGAGCACAGTTATTTCTAAGATTCAAGAGATGGAAAGCAATCAATCTTCACGAACCTGCTCGTGTTTCTCCCTTAAGACACATCTCTTCTCTCTAGCACATCCCGCTACTGCTACTCCCTACCCCCCCAGCTACGACCAGGCCTATCCCAACCCAAACCCCTATCACTACCCCAACCCCTATCACTACCCCAACCCCTATCACTACCCCAACCTCTATCACTACCCCAACCCCTATCACTACCCCTATCACTACCCCAACCCCTATCACTACCCCAAACCCCTATCACTACCCCAACCCCTATCACTACCCCAATCCCTATCACTGCCCCAACCCCTATCACTACCCCAACCCCTATCACTACCCCAACCCCTATCACTACCCCAACCCCTATCACTATCCCTATCACCACCCCTACCTCGATCACGACCACAACCACTCACCGCAGATAACTGTAGCGACATGACCACACTCTACGATAGCTGGCGCCAAACTGTGCCACACGCCCTCGTGGGAGCCTTGGTATCAATACAGTTATTTTATGTTTTCTTCTGATTTTGTTCGGACGACGTACGTGTTCGTACGTGTACATAATTGGAACGAAATAGGAAAAAAAATTACTGACGTACACGTACAATTGATAAATTGGCCGGAAAAATGCATTAATTAATCGAGAAAACCCACTTGGCAACATTTACGATATTGGCAGACCAATGTCCATATGCTTGCCGTTTGATGCGTGCACCTTGTGCCACACAGGCACATCTGCAGCGGGGGGGGGGGGGGGGGGGGTTCCCCTGGCTACACTGCACACGTACGTCATCGGAATGGGAAAGTGTTTACCAGGGCGGCCCGCTGAGCCCGAGCCCACAAACGTCTGCAACAAGTGTCGAACGCGCTCCCGCTCGGTCACGCCCGCCGCCCCATCGCCCTCAATTACCCGGATGATGTTGCGGCTGGAGTTCTTGTCGTCGACGTTCACGGATATGGAGAAGTAGACGGAGGTGCTGAACATGCCCTGCGCTCGGAAGAGCAGCTCGTCGAAGTTCCAGCTGCTGGGCCTCCAGGAGCCCAGCACGTCCCAGCCACCGCACGCACGGATCACCTCCAGCATGGGCTCCCCGCCCAGCCGCTCCAGCTCTTCCATGTCCATGCACGAGCGGAAGAACGCCTTGGCTTTGTGCTCTGCAGATAATGGAGACGGTGGTGCCGACGACGACGACGACGATGAGGACCACGTCGTCGATGACGCTGCCGCTGCTGCCGCTGCTGCAGATGACGACGACATGGACGAAGGCGCTTCCACCGCCGATGACTTTGACGACGACTTCCTCGAGGGCGACTTCGACGACGAGCGCGCCGCCGCCAGCGGCGACCTCGGCGAGGCGTCCCGCCGCTCGGCGGCTCCTCGGGCCGCGATGGGGCCGTGCAGGAGCTTGGCCAGCTTGTCCTCGTTCTGCTCCGCGATGGCCGTGACCAGGCCGTAGCTCAGCTTGTCCTCGGGAATAGGAGTGCCTCGCCAGCCAGCCGCCGCACGCGAACGCGTAGAAGTCCGCGCACGGGTCCACCGAGGGGTCTACGTTGTGCGCCACGAAACGCGCCGCCTTGGCGAAGCAGCGGCCCCTGGGGTTGCACGCGGACGACGCGGGCCACCGCTGGTTGCCGCTGCCGCTGCCGGACGGCGGCGGCGGCGGCGGTGCCGGCGGAGGCGGCGGCGGTGCCGGCGATCGCGTCTCCGAGATGTGCCTGAGCAGCAGCACGCAGCCGAGCACCACGCAGAGCCCCAGGGCCAGGGCGCACGCGGACAGCAGGAAGAGCTCGCGAGCGCTCCAGCGACTCGAGCACGGGCCCCCTCCGTTGGTGGTGCCGCCGCTGCCACCGCCGGCGGCGGAGCCACGGTCACCCGGCTGGGGGACTCAGCCGGGCCTCGAGGGAGAGGGTCCGGCCCGACTCGCCGGAGCCCCGGGGCCCGAAGCCGTTGAGGACGGTGACCTCGGGGAAATCGTCGTAGCGGCCGATGAAGGAGTGGCGCTTGCTGTTCATGGCGCCTGCGTGCGTGCGCGTGGACGCGTCGACATTCGAGTGTCATTGTCATCGATGTAATCGATGTCATCGTCGATGCGATCAATATCGTCATCGTGATTTTTGTCATCATCATCGTCATCATCCGTGTAATTGTCATCACCTGATTATCATCATCCATGTCATCATAATCGATGTTATCATAATCAGTGTCATCATCAGTGTCACCAATATCATTATCAACACCGTGTTGTCTCTGTAATCACACTCCTCAGTGTAATCAATGTAGTTACCACCACCGTCACTCAATCAATCGTATCATCAAAATGTCATTGCTATTATGGTCAACATCCATTATCAATGATTATGATCATGATCGTCAAAGTAATTGTCATCTTTCCTACCACCATCATCTATAGGTCATCGTCATCATCATTCCATGATCATCATCACCTTTAAGAGTTGCTGGTGGACCTTTCAAATACCTCGGACAAAAACTCAACTGAGTCCCAATACTCTTTTCAAATTGCGTTCACCGTGGAATCTCTGGCCGCGTGCCTCATCGTGTACTCTGAAGAAGCACAAGAGAGTTGGCTGTATTAACCATATACAACTGCAACGCTCTCAACTTTCAGTGGGACGCTAAAGATCCCGTGACGCCCTTCGCAAGAGTAGGCCATCGTGTGACGGCGTCGTGGTCCAAATAGAAAATAAGTATAACCCGTAAAAACAAAGTTTTTCACTATACAATCCTTTATATGCGTGGCGGCTAGAGTTCTCTCGTCCTCTGGCTTGAGATGGCTGCCACCTATGGGTCAGATGATTGCCTGCCAGTATTAACCAATTGGTAATTAAATATTTAATTTGTTTTCCCTAAACAGTGTAAAATTTTTGAAAAATTTTTTCACGAACATTAATTGTCATCGCACAACGAGTCTGTGTGCAAAATGTCAGCTCGATTGGATCACGGGAAGTCGGTTAAAAAACGACCGAAAGATTTGCACGGTCCTAAGCAAGCAAGCAAGCGAACTTAATATAAAGGATTTAAAAATAATCTGGGATTTCACGAAGCATCCATCGCCCACTACTGCGGGAACATGGCAGGGCCCTCCTGAAAAAAAATGTTCAGGATAAATAAGCCTAATAAAACAAGTAATAAATATAGTACAAGCCTATGACTGGGATATGTGTTTATATATATATATAAAACAGTCGTAGAGGGAAAGGGAGAATGAGACCATAGTAACACTTTCACCTGGCAGTGGATAGAAACTGACGAGGCTAACGAGTTATAGGTGCAGTTGGTGTCCATGAATCATTCTGAGGAATAAGCTCTAATTTCACCTCGTAGCCAGATTCTAAAATCAGAAATACACTCCAACGAAATGGAATCAATGCTATGTCGACGCCCTGCGCACACGAGTGGCTAACACTGCACGAATTTGCACGGATAGATCAGCGAACCTATTTGCTGTACCCCCTGCAGTCACCTCGCTTCGCCTGCAGGTCCGTGTCTCGTTCACCACGTGCTACGATCCCAGTGCGATCCAGCAACGCCCCTCTCAAGCCCGGATTGCAATAGGCAACGCGTTGCCAGCAACACCCTCCGAGCTAACTTGTGCTTAAGGGTTTGATTTCAGTCGGAGCTGTCCGGGGCTGAACTCCGGAAAATATTTTCCACGAGAAGTTAAGACTTGCTCGTATCACTTTACAACAGGTTACCGAACTCTTTATCTTTGTGACCTACTGCGATACGACTTTTCCAGTTTATCAATTTACCCCCTTCCCCCGCCCCCCCCCAGATCCAAAATATTCAGACCCTGTGTTGCCATGTAGATTGCTGTAGCAAGTTGTGTTAGCGAGCACCTATTAAGGCTAAAACGATGGCCAGAAACCACTTCTGGCTTGCTTTTGTTCCTCCAGTGCTAATTTATACACACTGCAACAACTTGTCATTTAGGGCTGAGTCAACCTAAGGGAAGCGCAGGACAAGTGCTGACACTACTTGCCAAAGGTGGCCCGGAATCGGATTTAGGTTGCTGGGTTCGTACTTCGGAGCGCAGCGCGCTAACCACTGCGCCACCGCTCCCCACGTGGGACACCCACGTGCACATGTGTGCATACATACGTACACACACATTCGCGAGGTAATCTAAATCGGCGCTCTGCATCTCGCGGGATACACATGTACACACGTACATACAACGGCATTTCATGCTAAGTCGACCTAAGAGAGGTCCTGGCCAACAACACGGGGCTAACCTTGGGCTCGTTGCTTGAGTCAACGCGCACATTAGCAATAGCAGCCACGTGCGTGTGATCTCTTGCGCACCAATTGAGAATGAAGTGACTCAACACTTGCACACACTGCTCTGACATTCCGTAACTACTGGCACCCTCATCATCATCAACAGCAGCAGCAGCCATGGTCAATCCACTGCTGGATGAGGGCCACTCCAAGCCACCGTCTTCTCTCACGACGCAAGTCATGAATCCACCTCGCCACCCGCACACGATCAAGTAATTTCTGATCATTATTCAACAAGACGCATTGTAAAAAAAAACACACGAAGACTTGTACGCCTGTAATAAATATTAAATCAAATACAATTTGTCGGCTATGCTTAAGACATAGTACGTCGGAAACAATTACAATTCAGCAATACATCATAAAATATTCGCATTTGCAATATGCGATGAGTGTTGCATTCCATGGGGTTTTCTCTGTCTCCCCCACCCCTCTATACTTTAATCAGTATCACGAATACATAGTCAAGCAGCAACACATTGAGTTACTTGCAGCCACTCGTAATAATACAGACTGCGCGATACAGTATATATTTACCCACTGTGTGCGCGCGTATTTTGTATGCACCGGCACATTCGATATAAAACGTGTGCGTTCGTGCATGAGGGCACCGCCGTGGAGTTACCACAACATTCAGATGAACACATCACAGCTCACCGCCGGTGCATCACATTGTTGAGACACGTAGGGCAATTGGTAAATCATCTTACCAGTCCGTGTTGAAATGACGCTCTCCCTGTACGTGTGTTGCAGACTCCTACCAAGGCAGTTTCGAGTAGACAACCAACATCGTCATTGAGAATGACCGACAGCGAATGGGAGCGCTGAGCACGAGATGAACAGATGATGGCAATTATTGTAATGCTGACTCTAGGATGATTATGATGATGATGTGAATTAGAGTGGAGGGTAGTGATGGTCAAGGTGGTGGTGATTGTGATGATGCGTTCGATGATTCTAATAATACTGTGCTGATTATTAAAGTGGCGATGTTATGATGATGATGATGATAATGATTATTATTATTAGAGAAAAGTGTATTTACGATGTTGGTGCTGACCGCTTTTGGTGCCGATACTGATGTTAGTTATAGTGGAACAATATCGGTGCCGAACATGACTTTGCCCATCAGACTGGTGAAGATCAACACCATGATTAGCGTGCCGTCATAATGCCGGTGACAGTGGTGGCGACTGTGAAAGATATGAACGATGCTGATGCCTCCTGCGTGGATGTTAACCTGCAAACGCTGCGTGATGGAACGCACCGAAACCCTCCCGCAGTCACAGCCTCCCGTCAATGTCGATGTACTGCGTGCTACTCCTCCCCCTACCTCTCTTTTATAAGCAAGCCACTGCCGTGAGGGGGAGCGGGGGCTGGGGGGCACACAGGGGGTGGGGGGGGGGGCTCCCAGAGCCCAGGCTGTGGTCACCTCGCCGACGCTCATTGCTAAGTGCACGCGGCAGTGAGATGCAGCTGCTGTTCTTCATTGCATAGACGCCGCACGCACGCACGCAAACAACGTGGTCTTCTTGTAAAGAAAGTGGGCACCGCACATCTCCACCGGAATATGTAAGCCTCGCTGGAGTCCCATGAGGCTGTTTTCAGGAGGCTCTTGTGCCGCACGGCGATCTTCGACGATTAATATTTTTATTATTATTTTCGTGAGGATGACAGGCTGGTCCAGATGTCTTGTGACCCACGTTAATTTTTTTTTTAAACGTAATAAAAATATTTTAAAGGTAAGGTTTATTTAAAACAGAGATGAATATACAAAGGAAACAAAAAAGTCGTTAGGGGTCGATTTATTGGGCGTCACAAGACATCTGGACCTACCCTGTACAATGAACTTGCAGCGTTTTACACTTGGTTCCTAAAATAATCTTACGTTGAGATTACCCTTTTAAATTAGTGTCCATAATATGCGGGTACGTCGAGTTCTGTCAAATCTGAAATCAACGGTGAGTGCTTAAGTCGCATAAAATAAATGAAGAGATGTCGTATTTTACAGCCACTTTGTCAATCCACTGCTGGATGAAGTGCCCCCCCGCCCCATGCCGTGGCTGTCAAGGTGGTAGTTCGACCATACTTCACCACGCTGGTCAGTGTGGGATGGTGCAGAAGGGGGAGGAGGGTCGAGGTATGGTACGCCCTGGAGACGGCTTGGATATGACTCGCCACTGATGTTAGCCGTGGCCCAGGAATAAAATTCAGGTGACGATGAATCAGGTTCATGATATTATTTGAGCTCACCACTGTGCCACCGCTCTATCAATATGCATGATTAGCTTATTATATGTCACTGGTCTAATGATAATGATCTGCAAATATGAGATCCCTTTCACACGAAAACATGTCAAAGCGCCATGCATGAAAGGTAGGAAGATAAGAAAAAAAATTAACCCGTAAAAACAAAGTTTTTCACTATAAATCCTTTATATGCGTGGCGGCTAGAGTCCTCTCATCCCCTGGCTTGAGATGACTGCCACCTATGGGTCAGATGATTGCCTGCCACCATTAAGCAATTGGTAATTAAATATAGAAAAAAATTCATAAAAAGTGTAAAGTTATGGAAAAACATTTTCACGAAAATAAATTGTCACGCACAACGAGTCTGTGTGCAAAATGTCAGCTCGATTGGATCACGGGAAGTGGGTTAAAAAACGACCGAAAGATTGGCACGGTCGTAAGCACGCAAGCAAGCAAGTGAACTTAATATAAAGGATTTAAAAACCGGGTGGCAGAACAAGAGCCAAAGACAAACAACACTAATGAGGACAAACTTTGGATGGGGTGTGTTTTAGTCGGGTCCGAGAGATGTCAACACTATTCGAGAGCCTCCAACGGAGTTTCACATCTAGGGGGGGCACTAGTGGGAAATTCCACATCTAGGGGGGGCACTAGTGGGAAATTCCACATCTAGGGGGGGCACTAGTGGGAAATTCCACATCTAGGGGGGGCACTAGTAGAGAGTTCCAAAGCTGGGAGGGTGCATCACAGGTAAACGCCCAACAGAGTTAATTACAGGTGTGTTGATTCTCTGTTATATATTTGAAGCAGATTTAAAAAAAAATCACTTAAAATAAAAAAAAGCTGTAGATGGTGTGAGTTTCATCTCAGCACCGCAAGCACTCGTGTGTAAAATGTGCAAATAATGAATTGTGCACTCTGATGCCTTTGCTACTAATGCACTGAATCAAACATCCAATTAATTAGAAACAATTTCCATTAATCTCCCCGGATGATTTACTCGTTCTAGATACGGTACATTAATGTATTTCACAACAAGAGAATTGCATACGCACTTACAAAATCATTGCATCAACATACATTGCTGTGAAGTTTTGCCCGTTCATATTTTCGGCGAGAAAATTCCTATATACGAATGAACACGTGTTTATTATAATTATAGCTGAATAAAACTAATAATGGTCCGCTTTATTTACACTTGAAAATCTCACTGCCGACATCAATTTCTGTCTGCATAGCGACCTTACTTTACTTCATAGTTAAAGCCAATATACACTTAATGATAATTTATATCTCTGCTAAGCCTGTCCCAGCAGATTACTTAATAAATTCATCAATAATAATAATAATTCATCTATAATTTTTTGTTACCAGGAAAATATCCTTGTGTCTCCAGGCTCTCTTTTCACGAGGGTCCTGCATCGATTGGGACGTTTGGCCCTATCCCATTAATGAATGAGTGCTTAAACAAAATATTTTAAATTTATTTTAACATGTATGACCCACTGAGCTATACAGCGAACTGGCTAACGCAAATGATAGCTCAACGAAGTGGCTTATCACGTGGACATTTATAGCAGCCAAAAACTCTTAACGCACGTTGTTGGCAAGTGGGAAAAACCCAGAGTGCCTGGAGAAAATCACGCAAACGAGGGAGTAACACTCAAAGGTCCGTACAGACGGATTCAACAATTATTTGTAGTTCTGATATCTCCTGGCCAATTCCCAGCTTCAGTATTCACCACCCACCATAATAAACTAGTCCTTACGTCTCAGGTCGTCCTTAGCTTGTTTTAAAAAAATGTCGAGGTCCTCTATTTCTGTGATACATTGTCCCTTTGAACATACCGGCCCCCGCCATAGGAATGTGGATGTCATCCACTGGCTCCGGGCCATTAATTAATCTGAGTACAGCAGCACGCTTATTTAAGAATGGAATCCGCTCTATTTGATATATATACACATTTTATAATTAGAAATTAGTGAATATAGGAAAGAACGCATGGAAGCGGGAAAACATCATTTCACGGGCACGAGTGAGATGGATAGAAGCAACACTGGACCATGATGGGGATGACACGGGGGGGGGGGGGGGGGGAGCGTTAATGCAGCAGTGGATAGACAGACAATTATTGTGATGATGAATAAACAGTGATGCTTAATAAATGTGATGTTTCGTTGTGTAGATTTTATTTTAGGATGGCATTGACTTTAAATGCATTCAATTCTGAAACTCCAACGTTTCGGATTTGAGTGAAACAGAGATATAAATTATATACACTCAGAAACCACAAACATATATGATGTTCAGCATCGCTGATTACATATGGAGGAGCCCAAAGAAATCTGAGGAAGTTACAGATTATTGCAAGTGCGTCAGCCAATGAATTAATCCGTATTAATGTCTTAATTTCTCACTCGATATTGTCAGAGACGCTGCTAGGCTTGGCTTGGGGTAGAGATTACTGGCATTAGGCACTACAACTAGAGGCCAAGTTATACCTATCCACAATTATCCCATTTCTTTGCACATTTAGGAGAAAACAAGGCGACATGAATGTGACATTGGCAAATATAATTCCCACAACAGCATTCCGGGAGCGCTCCGGCTGAAATTCAGCACCGCCTCCATCAAACGGAGAACAGATCGCGTGCATTTGTCCAGCGATCTTCCGCGCACTTCGATGCGGTGGTGTAGGAAGCTTCCGCGGATGTTGATGTGTATGAATTATGGATCACGGGTGGCAGTGGATGAAGCACATCGGCTGTGAAACATGCGCCGAGACCCTTAATGCATCACGGTGAAACTGCAGACCGGAGCAGTCGTGTGGCTTAGCCACTTGGCACTGCTCATTGCCCAATTTTAATAACAGAAAGCCTTTGAAAAATTACGGGTGTCAAGCTGGTACGTAAAAAGGTATCCAAATATAAGCTGCATAGCATAAGCATTTAGACTGTACGTTTAAATAAAACGCGATGATATTAATAGTGAATATGTAATACTGCCTCGCAAAAATAATATACACCCTGTGGTTAATGTACTGCTGGATGAAGGCCTCACCATTCCATGCTGGTTATGGGGTGGGGGGGTTGTTTGACCATACTTCGTCACCCTGGTCAGCCCTAGGTTAATGAAGGGGTTGTCCAGGAACAAATTCAAATGTCACGTTTCACTGATGTCAGTCAGGGCATGGAATTGAACTCAGGTCACCAGATTCATAGCCTCACTTATCCTTGTATAATGTGATGTATATAATGTGGTTTTTAATTGATATATTTTTTAGTAGAAAACAATGATGATGATGATGATGATATACAACAATTTTGTAGAAAACACAAATATTAATTCTATGAATGTAACCACATCCCCAGACACCGTGCAAGAAGACATTGCTTTATTATGAAATACTAACAAAAAGGTAATAACTAATTAATGACTCTTACCTCTTGTTTTCTCATCACAAATAATAATAATATGCGCGTATGAGAAACATGGTAAGATTATAATGAAACATTCGTATATTCGTTCAACAATCTCGCTTGTTTTCCATCATATTGCAAGCTTTAATAAGTCAGTCTGAACTATTGACAACGTCTTAATATCGTTAATGCGACAAGTGCACAAGAAAGGTGACTGAAACAGCACAGTAATTGGCATAGGGACACCATTGTTACCCGTGATGTATATTCAATAACCTCGCGTATGTGTTTCTGTAGCATGTCGCACTGGGGAGCTTTGTGAAAATGTCATCAAAATATGTTTTGTACTCCTTTCAAAGTCTCAATTAAACATTAATCTACAATACACCATGTGAAGGATTTGTTGTTGTTGTTGCTGTCGAAATGGAAAGTGAACACTATTCATTCGGATGCATTCAAAACAAACCCCGGCTTATTGTAGATTACGACAAAGTCAACACGTTCGCCACTTGTGTTTGGTTGCTATTGTTTGCTTTGAGCACCACTGACAATGCAGCGCATCATAAACTCATTGAGCTGGTATAGCAGTGATCCTGAGTTCGAATCTAGGGTTTAGCCGCTCGTAATTA